ATAGATAAATTACACCCAGACACAGAACAAATGATCATGCTCATCACACAATTATTTGTCTTGGGTGGGATCGAACCCACGACCTGTGGCTCAGCAGTCAGGATCATTAACTACTAGACCAACAGAAGTCAGATGTCAAAACGATGAAGATGTCAAATCTTATCGATATTGAATGACAATGACATGATCTCTCCTACATATTATTTCCTACTTTTGCATAAAAACTAAACTGCATCCAGCTAAACCATAGCGTTTTTCTGAGACACATAATAATTAATTAATTTAATAATAAATAATTTTAATTTAGGTTAATATTTTAGGTTAATAGAACACAATAGCTGCCCATACATTAAATCAACCTCATTCTTTCTTCTTCAGCGACGATGATTTACATTTAGGTAAATGGGTTACGACAAGTCTAATGTTCTAGCCCCCAATACAACAACCTATATTCGTAAACGTTGCCATGTGATGTGGATAGTCCGGTTCAATTGGCCAATTGTGGTGCAGCCAGGACGTCAGGAGGTCAGGTCCGGCACACCGTCTGACGTCAGCGATCGTTGCAGCGATTCAATCAAAGCGCATCTGAACAGATGCGCTTTGATTGAATCGCTGATAATTCTTTCAATTGTGTCGAGGAACACCGAGACAATTCAAAGAATCAACGCGATCTACTAGTTGTATTATACAACCTGCTCGAGATATTGTTTCAAGCCATCTCCTTTTTCTTTTTTTTCGTCACCGTTTTACCTGCTCTTTCCTATCAATATTAATACATTACTGAGTTTGAATATAATTCAATGTGCCTGGTTGACGGCTAAATGGGATCAAAATATCGCTAGTAAAATACGAGCACCTAAATAATTATATTTGTAGATAAAGATGTCTATTAATCCATGTAGTATTTAGAAAAAGACAGGAAACCCAAGATATGAGCATATCAAATTGGCAACTCCCACTGATGCTTACAGAAAACTTTGGTCGTTATTAGTATTCATCGTTTCTGCGGAAAGTGAAGTCACCAGAGCTGGGTCAGATGGGGTCAGCGTTAGACTATCATCAGTGCCTACACACGTTTAATGTTGTAAATGTTTATAGGCATCGTCAGTATAAAACATAGAGACAGTTGTTCATTAAGTAAAGTTGTAGTAAATAACTGCATACTTCGCAACGGTTAAACAAAATATAGGTACCTAGTGGTATGCACGGACACGGCGGCGCGGCTCATTTCTAAGAACGTCTTCGTAAAGCTCACGAACGATAAGTCCAGATGTGTGGATGACCTCACTCTTGTGCACCGTCCACTAAACATCGTCGTATTAAATTACTATACACTAACTTTTGCCCGTGGCTACGTTCGCGTTTATGTAGATTTTGTCAGCATTTTGCCGGCACAATGAGTACTGTATGTGCCATTCAATACTAATCTACGTAATCTATCTCTGCGTTACATTTCTTCCAGGTTCGTCCAGCCGTTCTGGCGTAATTGAGTAACAAACATTAATTCACAATTTCGCATTTGTATTGTGAGGATGATTAGTTATTTAATTTGTAGGTATCAACAAGTATCGCATTCGTCCAACTACGTTTATTAGTCGCGATTGCTGATACGCGGTTTAAAATACTCATAGATCTTTGGGTTATCAAAATATATTGAACTTATTTACGCCGTGGAATATTTAAAGCAAAAAAGATACAACCAACATTCTGATATCCAATCAGTGGTACAGTAGACTGACGTTTATAAAAAATACAAAACACAATTAAATAGCTAAGATAGTATTTTTCTTTCACCGACTGTCTCAATATCTGTGACGCCACTCCTGGCACAAAACCGCCAGGATTGGCGTGATAGATAAGAGGCCATTACCCAGCAGTGGGTGCAACAGGCTGCTTAGGTAGGTAGGTCTGTCTTGTTGGTCTATTCAACTCAAGTGGTTGGCGGTCCTGACTGACCACTAAGCCAGGGGTAGTTGGTTCTATTCCCTCCCAGGACAAATATTGTGTAATGAGCACGATCATTTGTTCTGTATCTAGGCATATTTCATCTGTAATATGTATATTTAGAAATAAAACCTTCAAGTATGTTTATCAGTCGTCTGGTTACTGTAGTGCAGATTCATTCTAGATAATAAAAACTTGCCCTAAAAAGGTGTTTGTAAAAATATTTTCATGTCATCAAACTTACAGTTGTTTTTTCTTTTTTGTTTTTAAACAAGACTCCTCCCGCACTAGGAATGAATCCTGTGTCACGGGGGACTTCACAAACATACATGAAAGGGACAAAAAGAACACCCAGACTCAGAACAACAATTTGTGGATCACACAAAGTGTTGTCCCATGTGTGGATCGAACCCATAACACTCAGCGCAGTAGGAAGTGGCGAGGTGACCGCCTAAACCACTACGCCATCCGTGCGCTCTTGTAAATTATTTACACTAAGAAAGTTGGCAATCTTTTCTGACAAACCCTATTTGTCAACGGCAAATTTCTTTCTAGCGCAGCGCTGCGGCGCCTACGTGCATTTGCTGACGACTTGTAAAATGTCAGGAATTCCTTATCGGCTATTATGCAATTAAAATAATTCCCACACATACTGACTTACCTACTAGCAGCAATTTTATCGAAAACGCATACAATGAGTATTTCATTATAGTGGTAAGAATAAATTGCTGTGATTTACATGTCTTTCTTACTTTTTACTATAAAATCTATGTGTATATGCCTGTATACACATAGTTTTTATAGTAAGAAGTTAGAAAAGACAACTCCGGCACTAGGAACATGATCCTGTGTCGCGGGGGACTTTACAAACATACATGAAACGGACACAAAGAACACCCAGACTCAGGATAAGAATTTGTGAATCACACAAAGTGATGTCTCATATGTTTGTATGTGGATGTCCCATATGTGGATCGAACCCACAACACATAGCGCAGTAGAAAGTGGTGAGGTGGCCGCTTAAACCACAACGCTATCAGTGCATTCAAATAACCAATAACGTCCTTTCACAGACAGTTAATTTGTGGTATGGGTTCATGGTTGTAGGACTAACTATCCTTTGTCCTCTTGTTTTTATTAAAGCACGGATCAACATATCTATATATTTTTCTCGTAGAAATTGGACCCATAGGCGGCACATCTAGGCAAATAAAAATATAATGTAAATAAAACTTTAAGTTTGCATTGATTGGAAGTAAACCCGCGATGTTTCACCGGAAAGTTCGACCATCGTGCTTGTTAAACTTAATCTTAATTTAACCATATATTGATCTTGATCCTAAGTTGATTTGTTTATATTTGAGGCGAGCACGAACACAGTACGAGGTTCGTCTCGCAGACGTCCGAAACTGCCTAGCCTGGGGCTCCGGGGAGCGTTGGCCTCGACGGCAGATTGCTCGCACACACAAGCGTGCCATTGACACCGTGAACCTCGCAGTACAACTAAACTTCAATACACATGAATGTCTACTACAAGAGCATATCCACTCCATAGTAATAATTCTGTGTCTATAACGAGCATTAACTAAAAGTACCCGACTCTAAATTCCCTTCAATGATTAGAAAAGGCCTAATAATCTAAGATTGCTCTCGATTCATCAATTCACCTTCCAAACATAAACACATACATTCATCAGACCTGCACAGATGATGATATTTTGAAACTGACTGTGCAAACTCTGTTTAGCAAGATTTGGGCTTGTGTGAAAACTGTTGCTAGATAACAAACAAAGTCACCACTGCGAGCTTATCATCATATTCCATGCTTAAAAAGTCGAATCGAAAACGGTTGAATCGTAATCATGAGAAGTGATGATTTTTTTATAAAAGTCAGAGTAAAATGCCCCTTTGGCCCAGACATAATTAAGTGTATTCATTTTATTAATTGTTAAAAGTATGTAGTCATTTGTTATTTATGCTTTTTTCTATGGCTGTTGATACGTAAAGTGAAGATAGCTATGCGTCTGAAAGCAGACGTATCCACAAATCAACGTTTGTTTGTTAGATCTGATAAAGTGTAATTTTCTTATTATTTCTAATTCGACCCCTCCTAAAATTAAGTCCATAGACAAAACAAAATTTTCTTTCATATACCTAACATTTATACGTACGTTGTCTTACATTACGGCGTTCAGCGAAATGCAATTAGCTCGGGCTTTAAGCACGCCTGCACCGTTCCCGAATGTTTTCGCAATTAACCTGGAAACGGGCGAAACCGAGCTTTTGACACGGTTTACATTTGAGCACCTCGGTTTAGCCAATCACATGGCATGTCGTGTCAATAGGGTAATCATTTACATTGTTGCTAGTCCATTGTTCTATGTATAGCACTAGCCATTTCTCCAACAACTTTGATTAATTATGCAATAATATAAAGAAAAGTTCGATAGGTTATAATATACACATAAATATAATTGAAAACATTAATAAAGCAGTGTGACACAAAATTATCAGTTGAGGAAGTTCATTTAACCGTTTCCCAGAACGCACCAGAGCGGATAACTCGAAGCTTCCTTACTCACATACTCGTACTTACGTTATACATATGTGCAATTCATAAGCATGCATTATTTAGGGTCTGAGCGTGCAGCACGAATTAGTTATTTTTACGGCCAATTCAGTGCAAGCCTAGTAACATGAGAGAAAAGTACAAAAATGGTGTTTGTTGAACAGATCATGAAATTTTTATTCTGTCACGGTGCCTACGTCAGAAAATTGTTTTTAAATTTTGTATCCTTGGCTATGTAACTCCTCAAGGGATGTTTAAATGATGGATGATAAATCTACCGTATCGCGTTCAATTTGCATCAAATCACAGTTTTTTTTTCGCTTAATTTTTTTCCGCCAGTGCGGATCGTCATATATATCATTTAAACGTGTGGTGAAATATCGCTGTACAGACGGGCCCTTAATTATGTGAACATAATTACTAACGGATAGGAGACATTTGATTTACCCACACATTTCGTTCTTGCTTACAGGTAATAAGGTAGAAGATGAGAGGGCTACTGTTCCTGACCCTCGCGGTCGCGGTCTTGTGCACCGCAGACGCTGAGGTAAGTTCATAATAGTTTATACACTTAAAATTACTTACCTTCTCACTCACTGACTGATTCATCAACGCAATCTAAACTGCTGGGGCTATAAACTTGAAACTTTGATCGCCGATGCTTTTTATGTTGTAAGCACCCAATAACAAAAGATTTTTGGATGAACGGTTGTATGGAAGTTCATCATTTTCAAAGTTGGACCACGAAATAAGAAATAATCACGCGATGGAAGCCGGGCGCTATAGCGAGTTAATTTTAATTTATGCCTATGGAGAGCAGAGGTACGGAACGTTATAGGGTGTCGAGCAGGGCAGGGCCCTCGCGCACTCGCCGAGCAACCCGACTTAAGCTTTGCATTATAAAACTAATGTCTCAATTTTTGAGAGGCTTCCAGTGTCAACTGTTGTCGGCCTAATGTTTTTATGTTCGAGCAGCAGTATGTGCTGCATTACATTGTTAGTTCCAAGTCATTAAAATTAATTCCACAAAGACAAGGGCCACGCAATGGATCAAGCCAGCACTGAATGCATTTACTGCCACGGTGTAGATCCGATTCTCGATCAGTCTAAGTCTATGCTTGAATATGGCTACTTATAGTAAATTGTATGTATTTATTTACAAAGTGTTATCCCTGTTCTAGAACCGAGAGTTAGTAACTACGAACTCCGCTTTCCGTTAAACAGCGATGTTTAAATTATCATTATATTGTGTTAGACGTGTACGTCTACACAGATAATTTTCTTGCTTCTGGTGATCATTCCGCCGCCGCTAAAGTCTTCTCTGGTGTGGGTAATCTACAAAGATCGATGTTTAACAGCGTCACCGACGAAAGCACAGACGTCTTCGCGTTAAGACGTCGACAGAGCGTGCGCAGCGCTTCGAGTTACCAGCCGCGCCGGTGCGGGAGGACTCAGAGGCCGAGCACCTCGAGCTCGGTATGGCCGAGAGGCTCGACGAGAAGCGCTTCCAGGTATTGTAACAATTTTCGAGTTAGTATCTCGTATTCTCTAGACACTAAAGTTTTTATAATGACGTAACACAGACCACAATTAACCAGTACTCGTGATGACTGATCTGAGGTGACGTCATGCTTTTACCAATTTATGGTGTCTAACCATAAATAAAAGCAAGACGTCATCAGTCCTTAGATGAAAATATTAACTAAACAGATAAAAAATGAATATGCAACGAAAATATGTGTGTTTATATATTGTGTATGTCTCTGGACTTCAATTATGTTAAATTTAATATTTTATTATTATTCACCTGAAGGTTGACTGGGAGAGAATGCCTAATGGCATTAAGCCCGCCTTTGTACAACATGTGCATACATTTTTAATTAAATAAATAAATAAAATACAGGTAATTAAGAGAATACTCTTTTTTGGCATCGGTTAAATTGATTTCATAATGGTTTAATGATGGTGTGTTGCAGGAGTCTGAGAGGAGACGCGTCAATGAACTGATGAATGAAAACGGATTCGATGGCGAGAACGATGTGGTGCTGGATGGTAATGCTTTTATTTATATATTTACTAGTTTTCTAATAGTTTTAACGAGTAGAATTAGTGCGTATTGTGTAGTATTTATCTTTCAAATGCGCGTTTGACATCGAAATAGATTTATAGCGCCATCTAGTGCATTATTTCATCATTATCGTGTCATGTATGTGTATAGATCCCTGTATATGTTTTTAAGGTAGCTTTCAACTGTAGTACCATAGCTCTTCTTCTATTAATATAATTAATATCTCACAGGAGTCAAGGAAATTTTATTTATTATTTTTAAATGATTGAAATTAGGGCAGCTACGGTGGATTTCATTAGAAATAAAAGTTTTTTTATTTTTAGGGTAGAAGAATATCGTAGTGATGAAATTCTGCTTCCTAAACTAAAGCTAAACTAAACATGAGAATGTAACACACGCAATCTTCTTTCATTCCTTATAATAATGTTACGTGCTAGGGTTCGTTGATTCGGAATAACAAGCCTTCTGACGACTAAAGAGACTTTATAATCACTACACTTAAAAGCGTTCAACAACATTGATTCCCGGGATTGCGCCACTAAATGAATTCTCACTTTCTCTATCAAACTGCCGCGATGTTTCGTGACAAAAATATTGAATCAGACGGTTCACTTCGATGATTCCTAATTAAATTGGTGTGATATTAAATAATTTAGAGCAAATTTGAAACCTGTAGTAGGTATACTTGAACATAAAAAGCTTAATAAATGTTGTTATTGAGTCTTTGCTAATAGAGTGTGTGTGCATTCGGTAGACCCGTGCCTGAAGGTGCACTGCAGTGCAGGGCGCGTGTGCGAGATCGACGAGCACGGCGACGCCGTGTGCAACTGCATCAAGGAGTGCCCTTACGAGACGGACTCGCGCCGCAAGGTCTGCACCAACCACAACGAGACCTGGACCTCGGACTGCGAGGTGTACCAGCAGCGCTGCCTCTGCCTCGACGGTTCCGAGCTGTGTCGCGGCCCGCAATACCACCACGTGCAGATCGAGTACTACGGCACCTGCAGGGAGATGCCCGTCAGTATATTTATTTTCGGCGCCCCTTCACATACCTAAAGCTTTTATTTACACAGACTCGGTTTTCTGTGTGAATCCTCAGTTTATAATTAGATAAGAAAGAGAATTTACAATTTATCATTTTATTAGTTTCGGAGGCTGTAACAGACAGACATCAGCAAGAGCGATCCTATATATATAAGCATTTTTTTCTACGTACGGTAGTACCCTCAAATCGTATTTATTCGTATGAGTTTCATCCTCAATATCCTTGTACTGTACCACCTTCGTGTTTTATTTAACACAAGATTTAAAGACATAAAAGTTTCAAGATAGACACTTAAATGTAGACCCTACATTGGCCTCAGACACTGATCAAACCGTTTTCATGACAGGAATGTACTGAGAACGAGATGTCCGACTTCCCGCGGCGCATGCGCGACTGGCTGTTCAACATAATGCGCGACATGGCGGAGCGCCGCGAGCTGACGCCGCACTACCTGGCGATGGAGCGCGAGGCCGAGTCCAACCTGACGCGCCGCTGGACCAACGCCGCCATTTGGAAGTGGTGTGACCTGGACGCGCACGACAACGACCGGTTCGTGTCCGTGCACGAGCTGTTCCCCATCCGCGCGCCGCTCATGGCTCTGGAGCACTGCATCGCGCCCTTCCTCGAGCGCTGCGACGAGGACGACGACCACCGCATCACGCTCGCCGAGTGGGGCAAGTGTCTGCAGCTGGACGAGGTAATGCCCGCTCTCTGGCCTACTCGGGACCTACGCGTAACAATAAACTACACTACGCGTAACAACATACAATAAACTAAAGATACATATCAGTGTATTGATCTCAATTATTATGTTGGCCTATCTCTGTTATAATTAACTAAAAGAATATATCTTAATGTTATGCAATGACGTTAATGGGTTAGTTGTAACAGTATCCGTTGTGTTCCAGTACGAGCTGGAGGACCGCTGCGACGAGTTCACGGACGATCCCACGTTCCACTAGCGCTGCCTAGCTGCCGCGTCGCGCATGCGCCGTACACTGCCACTTTACATCCTTAGATGATATGTTTACTTTACTTAAGTTCACACTTTATACTTAATGTAGAATGTACTTTAGCATTCATACTTAATTTTTATACAGATTACCAAAAAAAATTGTAACGAAACATGTAAATAGCAACTACTGTGATGATGCTACCAAATGTTTTACAATAAAGAATGAAAGCTTTCCATGGTTTTTACTTTGCTCGTTAAGTTATGTTATGAGTCCTGCAGCCAAAGACGGATTTGCGCTCTAGGCAAACGTCTCATTCTACTATTGACGGAGTAAAATCTTAGTAGAGTGCCTCAATAGCACAGGAAAGATTAACCCGGCTTGTTCTCCTAAATATACACAAAGATGTGTGAACCTTGATTTCGATGAAATTATCATTATTGTCACAAAAAATTTACCGTGAGTTTGCAAATAGCTGGGCTCGACCGACGTTATACCACGGCCTCACAGGAAACCGATGTTGAGCCATTATTTCTTGCTTTTCACCGAATGAGTGAAGTTACTGGAGCCCAAAACTCACCAACCCCTGATTGTGGGATAGGGGACGGTTTGGTCACCTGTTTAACAGGCGACCTAAGTCTGCAAGGGTTCTGAGTGGCTTTCCTATTAGGGTACCTCGGGTCCTCTGCAATAGATTCACTTGGGGCGGAATACCGTACGTAGGTTTTTAATCCGCTCGAGTCCCCTCAGTTCTCCCTCGCCTCTGATGAGGTGATGACCCGTGACTGTTCCCACATAAAAATTGTTAGTCTTTTTTCATATAGTGTTGCTTATGTGTATCATTGAAGTTATAAACATCAAAATCAGTTTAGTAGTTTAGTCATTTAGACTCTAAACATTGACATTGACAAGTGACATTGTGATACCTATGCAAACAAATACACATTTACTTTTGTAACTTTCGTAAGCGAACAAATAAACATTTTATGTAGCAATTCACTAGGTTTAACCCCACGGCTTTGGCCATGTAGGATCCTTTGGTCCAGGCGTGATATATTTTGTAAATATTTCGTTTGTGGAAGGGCACTATTTCGATCAGTCTCACGTTATGTAAAGAGTTTGATTTGGAATGAATTGTGCTAAAATGGCAATAGGTTAATACTACTCTTTGCAGACTGTTGTATTCAAAGAAGTAAGTAGGTAGGTAGATAGTACCATCCCAGAAGTAGTGTTCAAACAATAAGTAAGAACAGTGATTGTTCCTCTATTTTCGGCCAAGTTAGTAGTAAAAAAATATACCAGGCAAAAATTTCTGATATAATTTAATAGGATTTTTGTCATAGAATAAACCATTTCAATATCATCATCATTATCATCCGCCTATCGCAGTCTACTGCTGGACATAGGCCTCGCCTATTGCAAGCCACTTTTATAGGTTTTAGGCTTCTCGCATCCAGCTCCTGATAGCCATCTTACGCAAATCGTCACTCCATCTGGCCTGTGAGCGTCCTACACTGCTATTGCCGAGACGCGGTCTCCACTCAAGAACTCGTTTACACCAACGGTTGTCCAGAACAGTGATTGTACCTCTACTTATGGCCAAGCTAGTAGTTAAAAAATATACCAGACCAAAAGTTTCTGAACTCTACTTTTATCAAAAATTTAACATACTAAGAACAGGGATGTTTTATGATTTTACTAAATTATAAATTAATTTATAATTTAGTAAAATCATATAGAAAATAAATGTAAGGAAGAAAAAGATGTTGTACTTAAAAGACCACAATAGATAAAGTATTTATATAAGAAAATATTAGATGAATTGATTAGTCATTTTGTAAAACGGGGACACGATGAGACAGCAAAAATTAAACGCTTTAAAAAAATACGTTTAAAGTTCCATAAAATGTCACTATGTGGCTTGGCAGCACTGTTCGTTATTTCTCGCCCGCCATTTCAACTCAAGCTGATTGGACGAATCCCGTGAGACGAGCGTTGTTTGTTTTTTACGACACTTCCGCTTGCGGGCAATTGGCTGCCCTGATCGCTTCGCAGCCATCTTGTATTTTGCGTTTTGGCTTGGCGCCTTTCCTGTGTTGGTTGCTCACCGTGTGTAGTAGTGATAGTGTGTTACACGTTTCAAAATGGTGAGTTGTAAGATTTTGTGAAATCGAGTTATTGTTTCCAAGATATTGCTGTGTGTTTCACTGGACAATGATGTGTTTTACCTACTGGCAAAGTTTCAGCTTCGTACAAGAAAAATTAATGGGATTTTTCATCAATTTTAGGCTGGCGGTAAAGCGGGTAAAGATTCGGGTAAAGCTAAGGCTAAAGCAGTCTCCAGATCAGCCAGGGCAGGTTTGCAGGTATGTTAATCATTGATCTTAATTTATTTTAGGAATTTTCAGGATGTTTATATGTTTCAATTGAACCTAGATTAGTATTTCATATAATTGAATAATATTAATGACCCACAGTATGGCGGCGACAGACTTCGTCAAAGGAAATAATCAATAGCTGTGCCTACATTTTAAATTTTATATTTCAGTTTCCCGTAGGCAGAATTCACAGACATCTCAAGAATAGGACAACGAGTCATGGACGCGTTGGTGCAACCGCGGCAGTATATTCTGCAGCTATTCTGGAATATCTTACAGCCGAGGTAAGCTAAGCTACGCGACGCCCTATCAACATGGCGGCACTGAATATAGCGCTCAATTATAAATTGAAAATGCTAGCGTATTCTGGAATTTTAATGCGCTATATTTGTTCGTGTTGATCATTTCTTTTTCATAACGACTTACTGTTTGAAAATAAGTTTTATTGGTTGTAATTGGGATGTATACAGTTTTGGCGGGAAATGTAAGATTAGGTTAAGTGGGTAGGAATTTCTTTCGATTCTGTTTTGAATAAAATGAAAATATACATATTATGCAATTATAATGAAAACATAGCTATTTAAATAAATAATTGTAACACAATTAAATTCTTAAAGACCTTCAAGTATCTTTGTTTATTCTAGGTATTGGAGTTGGCGGGAAACGCATCTAAGGATCTCAAGGTAAAACGTATCACACCACGGCACTTGCAACTCGCTATCAGAGGAGATGAAGAGCTGGACAGTTTGATCAAAGCCACCATTGCAGGCGGCGGTGTCATCCCACACATACACAAATCGCTCATCGGGAAAAAAGGAGGCCCTGGCGCACCCGTCTAGAATTAGGTAATTAATTATTTTTTCAAGTCACACAATAAGCTTGTCAACATTAATGTGAGTTCAGTATATTTTCCTTTTACTGTCTAAATATAAAACTAATGGGCCTAGTTAGTGTCACTGTCTTCTTCGTGATGGCAATACTTTAAACGGCTTGGCCGAGTGCTTGGCGTCAAGTATACTATAAGGGATTCTAGGCTGGCAAGTATCACTGCTGTAAACATAGTAGACAATGATAACCTGTTTTCAAAATATTTTACAACACTATCAGTATAGTGTACTATACTAATACTGTATTTACATGTTGACTACACGGATACCATAATGGTTTAAGCAGTCGCCTTGCCGCTTTCTCCTACGCTGAGTGTTGATGGTTCGATCCCCCCACAAGGCACGACATTTTGTGTGATCCACAAATTGTTGTTCTGAGTCTGGCTGTTCTTTGTGTCTGTTTCATGTATGTATGTAAAGTCCCCCGCTACACAGGATATATTCCTAATGTGGTAGTTTATTTTTTTAATTAAAAAAATCTCCAATTTTGCCTGAAATAATTGTTTGAATTTAACAAAAAGTACACAATTAACTCATGTTTACACATTTCCAAAGACGTAAGAAGAGGCATAAAAGCTACCTGCTCCTTGCCAACTGTAATAATTTGACGCCACTAATATATGAGAATAATAATACTAAGTGGTAATGTCAGGTAGTCAAATCACAGGTGTAGAATGCATGTTTAATCAACATTTGGCGCAATCATGGTCTTTATAATAAATTGAAATCAGACTTGTCTGACACACTTCAATGCCAGTATTGCTCTTTCTGACTGGAATATTGAATTCTTGTTTGTTTGTTTCAGGTTATCCATGTGACAAGTTTTGCTGCATTTGACACCGGGCATGTTTTCTACATAAAACTAATCAGCTCATTGACATAGTTTTCAAAAAGTTAGTGATGTGAACTGTGGAGTGTTTCCAGAGAACTGTTGGGTCCGGACTAATCGTTTAGTAGTTCATAAGTACTAGAAATATTTTAGTGATAAGGAGATTTAATATGATTGTAGAATTAAGTTTAATTTTCTTGTTTGTTCATGGGACATGATATTTTTCTAAAACATTGATTATTACAATGGACATAGACATCTAAAATTATTTTGCCACCAGTTTCAGTTCAGCTGAGGTAATGTTGCGTCGTATTTTATGGAGGCTGGTGCAACATGATTTTATAGATTGAATAAGTATGTATGCAAACTTAATTCACTTGATTGTTTGAAGCTATAAGCTGTTGTAATCAGCATTTTGTATTTTTTTAAGTGACAAACATTTTAGCAATAGTGGAATACATAATGTTGTTCTAAATTGTAATTTCGTATAATTGAACTGTTACAAGTTGTAAGAAATGTATTTTGATCTTTGAAATATATTGAGAAAGCACTGATGTTTCTTTATTGTAAAAAAATATGTCATTTCAATTATAAAACAAAATTCACTAGTTGTGCATTAGCACAGCCAGCTATTAACAATATGGCTAGACTATGTCTCTGATCACTCAACTGTAAATAGTTGAGTGAGACAGACTAGTCACTATGTAAACATTGCTGTGGAAGACTAATTTTAGGTTTACTATCATCATTAATTAACACTAAGATGAAGCACTTAAATAATTTTAGAATCTGTTGTGGCTTTTCACCACCCTATTTTATGACTAAACAACTTATGTGTAATGGTGGGTCACCCTTGATGAACTATAGTTTTGCTAACTTGTATAATTAGTATTATGTAAATAGTACTCATCTTCTCATTACAAACATATCTTACACTTAAAATCGTAAAATAAATCCAAAACCCCTTCATATAACAGGTAACATTTTAATAGCAATAGTTCCTTCTAGTGTGTTCGAAGTTGGTGCCAGGCCCAATGCACAATAAGTAATACTGGTCTGTGTCAGCTTGATATTTGAACAATAAAAAATTGAGAATTCAATATAATTCTAATGAAAAATCGCTGAGTTTAAAAATTTATAAAGCATTTAAAATAATAACATTATTGGAAATTTGCGTAAGCCACTTAAGCTTGTTCAGCATGTTTTGAAGACTTGCAGCAGCCACGCTACATTCTATCAAGCACCTATTCACACCGAATAGTGTTTAAGTGTAATAATGTTATTATTTTGAATGCTTTATTACTTTTAAATTCAGCGATTTTTCATTAGAATTATATTTAATTCTCAATTTTTTATTGTGCAAGTATCAAGCTGACACAGACCAGTATTACTTATTGTGCATCGGGCCTGGCACCGAATTCAAACATACTAGAAGGAACTATTGCTATTATAATGTTACCTGTTATATTGAGGGTACTTCTTAGTTTTTTTACTTAATTTGTAATTATTTTTTAATTTTTAGTGCTTTTTGTCAGTATTGTTTGCAGTTGGTTCAACTTTTTTAAAAGGATTTTTGTGTGTTGTACGCAATTCACGTAAAATCCGCTGGACGAATATGAATGACGAAGCTTAGGTTTTACGTTAACGTTACGTCCTGTGTAATTGTAAATGGGTACTGGGTAATGGGTAGCAGGTATTTAAAGATTGTATGAAAAAGTCGATATTATTGCTGCTCAATATATGAATCTTACATTAAAATATTCTTCTGAAAATGATTTTATGTAGCACAAGAGAAAAAGGTTTCATGTCTTAAAATACAACAAGCTAGGCAACTGACTTCATGAGGTTACTGGGTATAATTTTTTGCTTCAATTAGCTATTTCCATTAGTTCAGTGTATGGAATGTGGGGGTGGCAAAAGTTCCATGTGGAACTGTCTTTATGGAACTACTTGGAATAAACCAACATTTTACATCGATAAAAGAACAATATAATTTAAATTACCTACCTAGTAAATTTCCACTACGTTACTATTATCCCTGTGTACTCGTAACTTTTAGTTTTATTTTGATGTATTTATTTGTGCACTACTTCTGGCTACCGGTCGACGGTTAGGTTTTTTAGCAGAACATCTTGGTCGGTCTAGCAGTACGTATTTTATCAGTCGTCAGCAAATGTGTGGAGGAGTGGTAGTCCAATACTGTACACAGAATTATTAGTCTACAGTACCTAGATAACGACTTCCGAACTGCGTTTACAAACTCAGTTGTACAGAAGGCCAGTAGAAAGACTGAGAGAAGAGTATCAAGTGTCAGCAGTCAGTTAAAACAAACAAAATATGTCATATATTAATTTTATACCAATACATAGTGCTTTGCTAATATAATAATAATTGAATAGAATTGTAATGTGACATTTGGTGGGCCTTTCGTCCCCCCTTGATAGACATGGAAATTTTCTGCCCAAATTTAAGCCGCCCGACCATTAAAGACTACTAGCAGAGCAGTACCCTTTCTGCTGGTAAGTAGGGTTGCTCTCCCTATTTGAACTTCTATTTGTGTTATTTTTCATGGCTCTGCACAACTGGTAGATAGGGATATTTCATTTTGCAAGTTTAGGTATATACTATCCACGGTCCACCAGGCATGATCACCTCGCCTGGTGGGAGAATCCTCACTTTATGTTGGAGTGACATGACTCTCAATCCTCCACAAGATCGACGATGATTTTTATTTCAGCTTTTAACAATGTAGTCAAACAGTTTTATGAGGATTCATTAACTGGCTTTACTGGCTTGACGCCGAGATGTTATGTAATAAATTATCTTTTCTTCAGTTATGTTATTTTATAGGCTTTAAAGTAGAAAAAACTATTTAAGATGGAAAGGTAAAATCTGCAACGTGTACGCGATTCAAAGACCTAGAAGGCGGATACATGCTATGAACAGAAACATGACAAAATGTAAGTATCTACCTAGGTATGTATGTTTTAATTTTAACCGTGGGAGAGCTATTCTTCGGCAGATATGGCCCGTCTCCACCAAGTGATCCAGAAAACTTCAACTTTTCTCGGAGCGAATGAAGTTACAGTGGGCCTAACAACATACCCATTGTAAGTCTTGGGAGGGAGATGAGCCTGTTAGTAAGAGACTCATACAAACAAAAGAAAATTAGTAAAATTGTTCTATAGTCTGTTTAAAATAACCTGTATTTAGTAATAAAAACTCGCCGTAGAGCAACAGGCCACCGGCGGATTTGCAAGACGGGAAAAACAGTTGACCTACGAAGGCGGTCTAGGGTCGTTCGTTCGACCTAACACTTGTAGATAAATAATTTGAATCCAGGATTGGCAGTATGTTTAAAAATGGGAAAGAACTACATATTTATAGAAAGCCTATAAAATAACATAACTGAAGAAAAGATAATTTATTACATAACATCTCGGCGTCAAGCCAGTAAAGCCAGTTAATGAATCCTCATAAAACTGTTTGACTACATTGTTGAAAGCTGAAATAAAAATCATCGTCGATCTTGTGGAGGATTGAGAGTCATGTCACTCCAACATAAAGTGAGGATTCTCCCACCAGGCGAGGTGATCATGCCTGGTGGACCGCGGCTCGGTCGGAGGATCTTCCCTTTTTGTTGGAGGTTCCGTCCTTCTACGATCTCATTGATGTGGATTGTAGGTGAAGGATTAGTATCATCATCATCAACAACAGCCTTTACTAGTCCACTGTTGCACATGGGCCTTTCTTTGGTTTTGGCCTACTACACCACGCTGGCCAGACGGGTTGGTATAGGGTTTGTGTCAAGTTTTCCTTCTCTCTGCAGTGCTGTTGTCCTGCGTAGTTTACTCCCTTAGTCGCCTTTTTAGGATTTACTAGGCAGAGCCTGTACTATGATAACCAGACTACTGATAAACATACATATATCTTTTTAAATAGATAAATTACACCCAGACCCAGAAGAAATGACCGTGCTCATCACACAATATTTGTCCTGGGTGGAAATAGAACCCACGACCTCCGGTTTAGCATTCAGGGTCACTAACCACTGTACCAACAGGCCCGTCAAATAAATTTCCTACTAATATTATAAATGCAAAAGTAACTCTGTTTGTCTGTCTGTTACGCTAAAAAGCTGAACCGATTTAATTCTTTGGCACCGAGATGCTTTCATGAGGAAGGTGGGACATAGGCTACTTTTTACTGCGATAACACAGTAGAGACACAGTCGGAGCCACGGGCATAAGCTAGTCTCTTATAAATTCATTTGTGACATCAAGATAATACTCGGGTTCAAAAAAACCATCCTCCAGTTAAGCGAGAGCAACTCTAGTAACTGGATAAGTATTCGAGTTATCGACTACAATATTCTCTTTGGTATTTAAACTATTTGTAATGTCTATGGCTGACGCCATTTTAATTGTTTCATTACAGAGGTTGTTTCTGACGTATTGAGTGTTAATAAAAACTAAAGTTTTATGAGAACGATTGATATAATTATCAATTTAGAATATACAAATTAAGAATAACATTGCATACATTGAAATTTATCTTACTGTTTTGCCAATTTTTATATAGTTCAGGTTATAAGTGTTTACTATGAGTTCGAGGCATCGAGACCGAAGTCGTTCAAGATCTCGCGATCGAGATAGGCACAAGGAACGAGATCGTGAAAAGACGAGAGATCGGGACCGAGACAAGGATAGGGATCGCGACCGCGACCGTGACCGTGACCGCGATCGGGAGCGCGACCGTGACAGGGACAGGGACAGGGACCGGGACCGCGACCGCGACCGCGATCGTGACCGGGACCGGGACCGGGATCGGGATCGACACCGTTCCAAGAGGTATGTACAGGCCTGGCTCCAATCAATTCAATGTGATGTATTTGTAATTAATTAACTGCAATACAGGGATAAGGAGCGAGAAAGAAGTCGCAGTCGGGACCGCCACAAAGAGAAACGCCGCAGTCGTAGTCGGTCGCGTAGCAGAAGCCGAAGTCGCAGCCGGAAATCTAAAGATAGGCAAGTACCCAACGCTTATACAAATAATTATATGCGTCTTAAAACGTTTCCTATTGGGACATCAAATTAAACTAACAATTAGTTGTGTGAACAGAGACGGCACCATAGCTCTACTGGACCAGATGGTGGGCACGACGACGAAAGCGACAGCTCGGCAGGTGACCCCTAATGGTGCCATCAACCCTGCGACCCAGGCTGCTATCCTCGCTGCTGCAGCTGTGGCTCAGGTGACTTGTCTTGACATGCAAAAGAAAACAAAAGACTGGCTATTATATTACTTAAATAGTTCAAATAGAAACTTGAAAGGCAATCTGTACTAAGTAACACATGTATGTCAAATAAGTTACATTATGTATGTTGACATGATGAAATCCAATAATTTGAACGCTATATGTAACGTAAGTGTAAGTAACTCATATGTGTCTCTCTTAGTAAGGATTGCCCTTCAAGTGCCAATATTTGGTTTTATTCATGTTATGCTCCATAGGTTAGTTCAATACTGACCCAAAATTTGATCAGGATTCATGGCTGTTGAGGAATTATTTATAATCAATACCAAAGTCTTACAAGGAATTCATGTTATTTGATGAGTTATTGATATCAATGAAGTTGTTAGAATGAGCCGTAGTAATGTTTTTCAGCACAATGCTAGAGAACGAGAGGTAATTTCAATCATTTAGTATTTGTTTGTTATTACATAGTATTTGTAGTTGTTACTCTAATGATTCAAGTGACATTTAATGTTGTAGAAATACATCAACTATGCGGTAAGGACTCACAAATCATTTACAAAATTCCTTGTCAATGCTTCAGTTTATTTGTGATTAAAGGCTTTATATTTTGATGTGTAGAACTTTTATGTTTTTATTATGTTTTAGCAAATTTACTTCCTCATTACGGGATCTCACTACAACAATATATCAGACTAAAGATTGGTGGTTAAGTTGGTACAAGTAATGTCTGACTAATGCATGTTAGATTGCAAATGTTATTCTGACATTTAGATTTTTTTTTGTAACAGGAAACATGTTTAGCTCATACATTCTTTAATTACACCATCACAAAACTTAAACACTCATCCTTGATATCTTATTTTGTTTGATTGTTTGTTTGTTTATACATATTAATCTCTAGACCTATCAATCACATTTGTATGTTTTTTGTGCTGGATAGATTACTAACTGGGGAAGCCATTAGATTATATGAAATCATTTTACGAGCCTCAGTGCAGGGGCACGGTACAATTATAATACAGTAGTGTAACTCGGCCGCATGATAGAAATAAATGCCTACAGCCGCGCGGTACGTAAACATGCGTTAGGGCTGCCCGTCCTCAGCATTTTAATTATATTTGCCTACTTTCTGTTTCTATTTAGATTTGTGATTGTAAATATCCTTTTTATATAAATAAAACAAATACTTTGTATATTGAATCGGAAGTGTTCAATAAAAATGCGTCTTGTTTTTTGATTGGTAGATTTAATTAAAAAAAACATGTTTTTGTTTGAAAAACAAATCGGGCTTATAAATTTGCGACCGAAAAAAATCCTTCTATAAAATAAAATAAATGTGCTTTCTCCTTACGCGTTACAAAACTCCAATCCTTAGAAACTTCAACACCCACCTACTCAACTAGAATGCAAGAAACAGCTGACGAGTAAGTAACTTTTTATCTCAGCTTATTAACGTCTCTATAAATTAGGTACCTACCTACAACTCGCAACAACTCAAAACAAAAATTCTTTGTTCACCAATTAATTAATTATTAAAAAGCTGAACAGCTGACTACGAATGTTTTAAAATCACAACCCTCAAACATCTAAATATTATATATGAGTCTAGCTGTTGTTGTTAATACCGAGAAAATAAAACCAGTTTTTAGTGGTATATGTTGTTATAGTAGCAGCAGAAACACTTTGTTAAAATTTCGAAAACTGTCTAATGACACACAGGCGGTAAAAATTTTTTTTTAGTATTATTCATACACACAGATAATAAACAAATATTATTAATAATAAAATACCACGTCTTTACTTTGAATTATGCAAAGTAACAAAACACACATGCACCGAAGTTTTAACACAAGCGTAAGTAGGTAGGTACCTACCGTATCATGATTCATTCATTCTGAACTGAACCTTTTTTTTCGTGAGATAAAAGGAAATACTTATCCATTAAAAAGACACACATTATGTACCTACCTACTAGTAAGTAAAATTATTTTATAGTCTTACCTTTCAGAGTTTCCAGGTAATTTAAAAAAACTTATGTCTGGATGCGTTAGTGACGAATTCATACAACCAAAAACAGCACAATATTTCCTACTCGTCATATTAACTGATTTTTAGAGAAAAAATCGCGCGGTTATTGTTAAAAAAACAACACACAGTCCGTTCGACACTGCGGTACAGCCGTGACTGTCTGCGCCCCGAGCGCACCCCGAGATCGAGGCGCGTAGGTATAGCTCGCATTTCGTCCGTTTGTATGAAGTTGGAGTACTGTATTATAATAGTACCGTGGCAGGGGTGACTTAAAATGCTGGTAAAACAAAACTGAATTTAAAAAAAAAAGTTTTATTAATGTTTAACAAATGCAAGGTGTCATTTAAGTTAACGTTAGCTAATTTCATGCATCTAAGAACACTGGTTTGGGTTTATATTAATATGCTAATAGCCATCATTGTTACAACAATTAACATAAAAATAAAAATAAAAACATTGTAGTTGAGCATCCACGCTAATTAGTATCCCTCTTATAGACATTTTAACAGTTGCTACATTATTTATTTGTTATAACTTATCGTGATATACAGTTTAATTGCATTTTAATTTTTGTTTTTAATAATTAAAAGACATAATAAAACACATGAAAATAATAATAGATGGAGTCTCTTAGTGATGGTATACATTTACACTATTATCCTACATACGTATGTAGCAAACGTATTGTTTGTATTTATTTAATTTTGAGTTTGGATTTTGTTCGTTCGATGTGTTGACGTTTGTGTTGCTCCCTGTGGATGGCGTGCGGCGGGTAACAGACGTTTGTGGCGCAGCGGCGTATGGCGGCGCCCGTGCAGCCGGCGGCGGCGGCCGCGGCCGCGCTATCGGCCGCCACGGCCATCCCGCCGCCCACCTCCGTGCAGCAGAAGCTGGAGCTGATGCAGGCGCGCACCGAGTCGCGCTACCGGGACAAGCCCACGCACCACGACTACCACCCCGACGACGACCAGGACGACGGCCTCGGTAGGTGCCCCCTGCGTCCTTCGCTCGCCGCTTTCCTTCGGCGCGCGATGTGCAGTGTGTTAATGAGAGCGTTTGGCCGTGCGCAGGGCCGGTGGGCGAGTCGGCGGCCGAGCGGCGGGCGCGGCGGCGTCGCTCGCGGTGGATGGGCGGTGAGCACGACAAGACCTTCATCCCCGGCCTGCCCACCGTGCTGCCGTCCACGCTCACGCGAGAGCAGGAGGAGCAGTACCTACGTGAGTATCTACCTGAACCTTGGCTATATACGCATTGTAACGAATCGAATGTATCAATAGTTGCGTCTTATTTCTATAATAACTGAAAACGTTTGATTGTATTATCCTCTATATTGATACACAGCTCGTTTATACTTAACTACGTTTACCATACAAACGAATTATGCAGCGTTTAGAAATGCTAATATTTATTTCCTACAGTTGTCTGATCGATACCGATTGAATTGTATTATTTTGGCTTTGAATCTAATAACCACATTCTCTAATAATTAATAAATGTAATTAGTCATCAGTTTATACTCGTGTACAGATTACAGACACAATATGTCGGCTGCGACGCGCTGGCACTCATTATGTTGAGCTAGTTCCCAAATAATGTGCGATGAGGCTGCTCGGCCCTCCGCCCGCTCTGGGACATCGTCCCTTATTACGATTACGGTACGTTATGCGAGCGGCCATGGCAGGTCGGGTCGAGCAGACCTTGTAATTGTGGACGTAACCGGCATCGAAAAGCGCCAGAGGCGTAGGCCGAATGCTCTGTTCGGCATCTTCGGGTGGGTAATGTCCTTGTGTGATGTGTAGAGTAGGTGTGACGTGGCTGTTGGCGTCAGTATTCTAATGTGTACGTCTGGCCGCGCGTGGCTAACCCCTTCCCTTGCAGTCCAGCTGCAGATCGAGGAGGTGTCCCGGAAGCTGCGCTCCGGCGACCTCGGCATCCCCGCCAACATCGAGGAGAGGTTTGTGCCACAGCCGCCCGGCGCTCCGCTCACCATTCACTGAGTATCGAACACTATGTTTCATTATTACCTCTAGTTAACGACCGCTCCCGCGACACGATCACCCGAGCTCCCACTGCCCCCAAGTATTCAATATAATTGCACCGACTTTATTCACAGGAATAAGGTAATTGTAAGCGAATGAATGCACACTTGAACCTATAGATGCTGATTTTTATAACTTTTATATTGGTAACTTATTTAGTATTAGAACATATCCATATTCAGCTAATACAAGACTATTGAAACTCTTTTGTTAAGGAGAGGCCTATGTCCAGCAGTGGACCATTAAAGGCTGTCGATGAAGACTATTGAACAGCATTTGTATGTCTTTAGTGATCAGTGAAGTGCCCGGAGCCGTCCCCTGGAGCGTGTCGTGAAACCCCGCCCTACTAATTCGTAATTTTCTTAATTTTGCAGGTCGCAATACAGACTGTTCGTAACTAATGATTCAATTAATTATTAACTTAATTCCTTTAATGAATAATTTTTCAGCTACAGGTCAATATTAATCACTGAATTATTTTCAGGGCTAATAAGCTTAATTGAAATTTCAGGATAAAATTAATTGAATTATTTTTTCTCAGAGCGTTAGGTGATAGGTTTTAGTGTAGGATATCAGTGCACATGACATGCCTTTCTGTTACGATACGATACACCGCCTCGGCCCGCGCTACCGCACCCCTCTCACACCCTGCTCTTTGTGCAGAACGTCTTATGCGAACCGCTTGTACTCTTGCGTGGTGCAGGTTTGATATTCAATTTAAGTAAATCTCATAACTTTTAATAAGCAATTACAATAATAATAAATGTATAATATTTTTATACAAACAGTAAATTATATATGGTTATATTTGAATAAGGTCCCTGGTACTAATCGGATTCCATTCCCTGAGGGGTCAACAGGGATTAAGGCGCCTGATGCGGTGATGTCACTTTCCATCAGGTGATCCGTCTGTTTGTCTGCACAATTTATTGAAAAAAAATGTCAAATAATTTATAGACCATAAATTGTAAAGAATAACCTTAACGGTCCTGTAAAATATTTTATTTATGGTATAGGAAGCAAGGTCTGTTAACCTCATTCACTCAGCGAAAATAAAAGAATTAATTTATTACCCTTGATTTTTGTCAGACCGTGGTAATCACGCCGCTCCTATCTGCCCATTTCTCTTACAGTCTAAGTGATATTAATTATATCGGTTACTTTATTTACATTGTTAAACTATTTTTAAACTAAATTTTCAACTGTTATGAAATGACATTAACATAGATTTGCATTTAGGTAGACATTCACATGGTGATTAGATAGCTTGAACATCGTTGTAACTGCGATTGATTTATTACGAGTACTCTGGTTCACTAGAGCAAGTAGTAGTTGAACGTTGAAAGGTGGTCGATACATGGAGGCGGAGCGGTTCGCATAGGTGTGTGTGTGGTGCGGTAGCGTCGTGCCGGTCGCTAAGCTCGTGTGGGGCGCAGGTCCCCGTCGCCGGAGCCCATCTACTCGACGGACGGCAAGCGGCTGAACACGCGCGAGTACCGCACGCGCCGCAAGCTCGAGGAGGAGCGCCACCGCCTCGTGCAGCGCATGCAGCAGATCAACCCCGAGTTCAAGCCGCCGCCCGACTACAAGTGAGTACATGACGATCGGCGCCTGATCACAGATACGTGTACCTATATATGGTTCGGTTTACCTTTGCCACGTGTCACCGAGTCTTAAACGTGCTAGTAAAGTGTGTTATATGTTTGTGTGGCAGGCCGCCCATCATCCGCGTGCACGACAAAGTGATGATCCCCCAGGAGGAGCACCCCGACATCAACTTCGTGGGGCTGCTCATCGGACCGCGCGGCAACACGCTCAAAGGTGACACATGCGTTGTGTACTTGTGACGTTAACTTATCAATAAAGTAGTTATTGAAAACAACTCACGTAATAATGGTAAATGTAATTTAAACCTTTAACCTAAAAATTATTGTGGAGCCCAAGTACAATATACTTCGTATTAGTTAAAACTGACAAAGTTTAAATCGTGAGACCTATGATTAACAATGAACTACATCATAGAAGAGGTAAATTAAATATGTCTGCATGATGTTTCTGTCAACATCATTTCATACGATTTTATCAACAAAATTGTAAAGTTTTTTAATGGTTTATTCATAAAAAATGTACAAGGGTAGACTTAATGCCGTTTTCTCATTTTCTGTAAGTTTGCTAAATCAAGTAAAAAAACTGAATTATCTAGTTAATTACATCATTCGAGTATTATCATATAGTTTTTGTGTGGTTACGCACAAGCAACGGAAATACAGAGTTATAGGACGAGGTGAATGCTTGTAGCGATGGAGAAGGAGACGGGCGCGAAGATCATAATCCGCGGCAAGGGCTCGGTGAAGGAGGGCAAGGTGGGGCGCAAGGACGGCCAGCCGCTGCCCGGCGAGGACGAGCCGCTGCACGCCTACATCACCGCTACCAACGCTGACTGCGTCAAGAAGGCCGTCGAGAAGGTACCCGACGCCTCTCTTCTCGTTTTTAATAATTTTTGTTAATCTATTTGTGTCACGAAACTCACCCGTTCGTCGTCGAGCAGATAAAGGAGGTGATCCGCCAGGGCGTGGAGGTGCCGGAGGGCCAGAACGACCTGCGGCGCATGCAACTGCGGGAGCTGGCACAACTGAACGGAACGCTGCGAGAGAACGACGCCGTGCGATGCGCCAACTGCTCGGCCACCGACCACAAGACTTGGCTGGTACGTATCCGCAGCGGGTGCGAGGGCGGTGAAGGCTCGAGTGGCGTTGTGTGACGCCCTGTGGCTTGTTACAGTGCCCGGACAAGCCCAACGTGACCAACAGCATCGTGTGCTCGTCGTGCGGCGGCGCCGGGCACATCGCGCGCGACTGTCGCGCTAAGCGCCCCGGACAGGCTGCGCTCGCACACAACCTCAACAAGGTACTTATTACCCTTCACTACATTTTCATTCTGTTCTGTTTAAAATTCTTTCAACTACATACCGTTACTTTGAAGGCGATAACCGATGACCCAGATATTGACTGGGGAGTTCTTGTTATTAATTTAAGAGAGGAACAATTTATGCCAATATTATAAATATTTTTTTCTAAAAAGATGTGCTATTATTAAAGTTTACTATCTGCTTAATCCAATGCTAATTTCATGCTTAGAAAAGAAAAAAACTTAAAATATATTAGTGACATCAATAATTTTTTTTGCAATGATCGATGTAACAAAAAAGTACCAAATAAAAGATGTTTTGAATCTATTGAAATGGTAGACACTTACTACTATTTCAACAGATTCAAAACATTTTCAATTCTTTCTATTCAGTTTTAACATTATTTTTGACGTGATCGGTTGTTTGTGATTTTTGATAATTTTAATAAAGTAATAGATGATAAAGATTTTGATGACAGGGTTTAATAGATGTGAAAACAGCTATAAAAGCGGTATATATATTTCAGTAATTGTTTTAATAGTATTATTTAAAATTAATTGACACAATAAAATATAAAATAAAAAATGTGAAATAGACACACATTATATGCGATTACTACAGGAGCCGCATATGATGTGTGACTTTTGAAGGCTCACCTAAGTCGTAGGAAAGAAGCCGGTGGTGTGGCGCGTAGTGACCCGTGTGCTCTCCCCTCAGGCGAAGATCGACGAGGAGTACATGTCGCTGATGGCGGAGCTGGGCGAGGCCCCGCCGGGCGGCGGCGGTGGCGGCGGCGGCGCGCGGCGCTTCGCCCCCTCCGCGCTCTTCGCGCCCCACGCGCCCGCGCGCGCCATCCTCGCGCCGCCCGGTACCCAACACTCTACTGCTCACTTGCACTCCACTCCTTCGACTAGTTCCACTCTCTGGAGTGGAAATTATTGCTACTCGAAAATCTTATTCATATTATAAAATGATTGGTCGATTTTAGAATAGCAATAGAGAATATGCACGTGACTCCAAAATTAACTAAATATTTTTATTATAAACCTTATTGCTAACAAAATATACCTATACGATTATTATTGAAATCATAATTTAATAGTCAAATTTTATCATCAAATAGTGAAACTTCAACAGACAGTATTTTTCATTTTATTTTTATTAAAACAAAACAGTTTATCAAAACTTTATTTGATTAATTTTGATTATTTAAAAAAAAAATGAAAATCATCCAATAACATTCAACAAATATAAAAGAGTAAAAATATTAAAAAAAATATACACTGGACAGCAAATAAACCGAGCCACCCGCTACCTAGGCACTCTAATTCGATTTTCTCAAAACCTAAAAAACCTACAATTAACAAAGTTGTACCTACAGAAAGTGCATTTCATGGTGATTAAAATGAAAGGAAACTCATTGGGTTTAATCAATATTTCAGTGTTTATTAAGGATTTTACAAAGAAGAGTCGTTTTCCAGTCGTGACAATCGTTAGTAATGATAAAGTGAAAAAAAAATTAAAGCCAAAAACAAAGATAAAATCAAAAAAAAGTTTGTGATCAATATTCCGTATTCCCCCCCCTTGCTCGGATAACTGCCAGCATCCTTGTATTCATCGACCTTACGAGCCCGACGATAAAATCTTGAGGAATTGTATTCCACTCCTCTTCAATTGCGATTCGCAGCTCTGGAAGCCTTGTTGGAGCAGGTACCCGGGCTCGAACCCGACGTTTCAGCTCATCCCATAAGTGTTCTATCGGATTCAAGTCCGGGCTTCGAGCTGGCCAGTCCATCGTACGAATGCTGACGTCGCGTAGATACTGGGTCACCACATGAGCAACATGAGGCCGTGCATTATCATGCATCAATTGCATATCCTGTCCGATATATCCTGCGTAAGGTACCACATGGTCTGCGAGGATTTCAGTAATGTAGCGATGAGAAGTCAGTCCACGTGTACGGCCCGTCGGTTCGATGAAAACTAACGCTGTATGTGCTGTTAACGAGATGCCGCCCCAGACCATTACAGATCCTCCTCCATAAGCAACAGTTTCCTCGATGCAACACTGAGAATAACGTTCTCCAGGGCGACGATATACTCTCTGACGTCGATCACTTCCATGTAGACTCACCCTGGTCTCATCAGTGAAGAGTACATTACTCCACTGCTCTAATGTCCAATCCCTATGCTCTCGAGCAAATTCTAGTCGTGCTCGACGGTGTGCTACCGTTAATGCTGATCCTGTTGCAGCTCTTTTTGGGGTCAGGTTCCGTTCAGCAAGTCTCCTTCTGACGGTATCTGAACTTATGACTTGAACTGCGTTGAGGTGGCGATTTCGCAGAACAGTAAGGTGGATATAACGATCATCTGCTGCTGATGTAGCCCTAGGTCTGCCCGTACCTGGACGGCGATCGAATGCTCCAGTCTCTAGGTATCGTCTGTAAACTCGTTGCACCGAAGATCTGCTGATTCGAAGCCTTCGAGCGACTTCACGTTGCGCAATGCCTGCTTGAAGTAATGCTACAGCTTGAGCTGCTTCCTGAGGTGTTGTATCCATTATTAATAGAAAAAAGTAGCAAAAACACATGCGTCTGAACAAACGATGGACAAAAACTAAAGAAATGATAAGAAATATCCGACTACCCCTCATTGTTGAGAAAAAGAACGCTAATTTCAAACTCTGGTGAAAACAGAGCAAATCGTTAGCATTGTGTTTGTTGCTTGATTACAATGTGAGTTGACGGTACTTTTGAATTAATTTTTAGTCATTTTAATCACCATGAAACGCACTTTTTGTAGGTATAACTTTGATAGTTGTAAGTTTTATACTTTTTGAGAAAATCGAATCAGAGTTCCTAGGTAGCGGGTGGCTCGGTTTATTTGCTGACCAGTGTATATAAATAGGATCTATTTTTATACATAGACAACAATTATGGACTTTAATTGTTAGTCCTAAACATGAAGAAATTATGAAGAAAAATCAAAATTCTAAACCGATGAAGTACGTAAATATATTTTTGGTCACAGTTCATGAACTCGTGACCAAATCGCTGCAACTCACAGAGTTACAGAACGAAATGGATTACGGAGCGATTTAGATGAACTAGTTCAGTTTAGTGAGCGAGATTTGGTGAACTGGACCGTTAATGTGAACTGTGATGTGTGTTGACCGTATCGCTGCTGAGCTGAAGTAGCACCGTATCGCTTGTCGGTTACAGGTGACATGGCGCCGTCGCTGTCGGGCCCGCCCGGCGTGTTCCCGCCGCCGCCGCCGCCGCCCAGCTCGCAGCCGGCGCCCTGGCTCGGTAAGCTTTCTCGCACCATGGTTGTACTTGCGATAACCAACGATTTTTACTGTTTTCATTTTTAGTTTGCAGCTTTAATATATCTCACAGCTGTCTGATCCCAAACTAAACAAAGACTGTACTATGGTAACCATGCCTGCTGATAAACATACATATAATAGATAATTTTCATTTTTTACTCTTCATATGAACAGGACTCGTACAGCTCTACGTTATTAAATTTAAGTTAAATATTCACGTTTTTACCATACATAAAGTCGACCGATTTAAACACAGAGGACAGAGTTCGTTCCTCCAAGGGTTACTTTAGACTAAAACCAACTGCGTACATATATCAATCAGAAATTATGTTTTTTTACTTAGAAAATATGTATCACAATAAATTATATTTGACTAACGGCCGGCCGATAAATTATATGATATGATTTTAATAGGGTAAAATTATTAATACAATACATAAACTGTCGTTATCCCAAGAACATTGTATTGAATTATTATTAATATTGTAATGAGGATCTCTCAAAAAACATTTTTTTTAAAGTAAATGCCATTCTTTTACACCAAAATTAATAATACATTAACTAGTTTGCAAAGCGATACGTGATTAAAAATCTATTTGGTAACTTTAACCACTCCAATATAAATAACGCGTGAATTCTGCGTTATTGTCATTGTATGACTGATAGCGATATTCGGTCTAACACCGGACCGTCCAACGTTGCCGTGTTGTCACCAACGTGGCGCAACGAGTATCATAGATGTAATAGAGTGTGTGTCGCGCAGGAGGCCCCGGGCCGCAGCCGCCGCCGCCGGGCGCGGGGTCGCTGAGCGCCTTCCCGCCGCCCCCGCCCCCCGCGCACCCGCCGCACCCGCACGCAGCGCCCATGCACCACCAGGTCACAACATACCCCATTATAAACACACCCTCACTTTCATTTTAAACATCGGAGTTTGTCTTCCTAGTGAAACGCTCCAAAGAACCATTAATTAGACAAACTGTCGAAGTTATAGTATTTACGTAAACTTATAAAACACAAAAAATGATATTTTTAAGTTCAATAGTAATGTACCAAGGGATGATTCGCAGGACGGCAAGATGGGCCCGCCTTCGAACGTGGGCGGCGGGCCGCACATGCCTCCGCCTCCGCCCGGTAAGTGTCACGCACTTAACTATATACACATCCACTCCACTCTACGAACACTTAACGACTGCAATATTTTCCGTAAACAACGTTGTGATAATATTCGTTGATACAACAATACTTTAAAGCACGCATGTTTATACTACGTAGTACAGTTGTATGTTTTAGCAAATTGTTAATTGTAACTTTCTGATGGATGAAGCAGACTTCATATCAAGTGCAGATTCTTGCTCTTAAGAAACTGTACGCGACAACCTCCCTCGACTATCAAACTTTTGTCCAACTTGTAAAACTCTTTTTTTTATACAACTTATCGTTCTGTGTAGACATAATGTTACTAAAGTTTAGTGTCCAGAGATATTGTACAGGTTCCTAGTTGTAGTAATATTTGTTAGACTTTAGTTCTAATAATCCACAAGAATTCTAGAAATACATTATTATATACATATATACGTTTGATAAATATTTGACGAAACAGAGATCATTGCTATTGTGTGTGTCGATCTATGACTTTAGAGTCTACACAAGAGACGATTTCAAATAATTTTGGAAATTTTGTGATCTGGCCGTATCGACTACTCTATTCGATGATCGTTAGTCACTAAGTGTACGCGTGTATGATAGCAAGTGTTGCAATGTTGGCAGGCATGATGGGCATGTCGTGGCGCGGCGGCTTCAACCCGCCGCCCTGGGGTGCGCCGCCCCCTCCCGCCTTCCTCGCGCCGCCGCCGCCCCCCCCGCCCGTGTCGCAGGACTAGCCGCCCATCACCACCACCACTCGTCACTATTATTGAAAATATTACAAGGAACAGTGCACTACCGATGTATTTTTATATTTTATTATAGTGTCATATATAAAGTGTTGAATCGATTGAAAACTGTCTATACTACTAGAGAATCCTTAAATCGCTACTGTATAGTAGGTCTGTGCCACATTTTATACTGTGGCAGGAATCAGGTTATACAGGATGTTAAGGAAACGCTTCTGAAAACGGCAATAATGATATTTTTGATGATGGATCAGACAAAAAACTTTTTTTTTGTTCACGTTCAAGCATAATTCAAGCACGCGATATGTTAATAAGTATAGATAAATGTAACGATACTTTTATAAAAATAAATCGCCATACATTTCGTTTTTATCGCGTTTTTTTTTTTATTTTTGTAAAGAAAAGCGCAATAAAACGAAATTTGTTTACGTATACATTCTTCCACTATCTTAACAGGTTTACCTTGATACCCAATACAATGGCCTTACTAAAAACTTGCAAATAATTCAAATAACATGAAAATATGTCAATCCTATCGCTGAGGTCGTTTATAATTTCTAAATTTATAATTTTTATCGAGAATCTGGTCAATATCCCGAAGGCGGTTCTTCGTATTGTAAGGCGTTTCCTTCATGGCCTGTATAATAAACCGACGCACTCTGACCGTTCAGTACGTTCTTGGAGCGTTGTGCGAACTTGTAAATGTGATGTACAATTATTTGTACACCTGCAATATGTCTGTACTGTGATAATGACATTTAGTGTGGAACTACTTGTTAGCATCTCTGCCCTTGTTTAAATATTGTACATGTCATTAGTTTAAATCGCTGGCGGCTGACACGTCGGCTCAACTATAGACGTTGTCTTCATTCGTTCGTCAATCAGTTATTGGTTTGTAGGTTAGAATTGTCGCGCGGTTGGTTCTTACCGATACAAAAACGATTGTTATAAATTCCTCGTACATTGTGTTTATATTTTAATATGTTTGGTCTTATAACAAATGATGTTGATAAATAAATATCCAACTATTTAAATTTTTAATTGTTTACTAGCTGACCCGGCAAACTGACGTTTGCCGGGTCAGCTAGTTTTAATAATATAAAATAAAATTCTATGGAGAGTGACCCTCACCACTTAGGGGTTTCAAAAGTAGCTTACGACCTCTTCTCAGACAACACAATACAAAAAATTAAAAAAAATTGGTCAAGCCGTTTCGGAGAAGTTCGAAAACAAACACTGTGACACTAGATTTTTATATATTAGATGTCGAGGACTCGATGAACAAGAAGAAAATTAATTTGACTTTCCTATATTCCCATAGAATGCGAATGATTTTTTAAATAGTTAAGTTACGTACCGTTTATCAGTAGGTAATGTTGGCGATGCTCCACTCACCCGCGATAGGTACAACTCTTACCCCAACCTCTTGGGGGCGAATTTATGTTAAAAACATGTTTCTTGATTGTATGTATTATAAATAAACATATTGACTGTCATTATCGTCTTTAATTGAAAATAGTAATTCGGCCGTTTTGTTTTATTTCGTCGACCAGTATAACATTAACTGTCATGATGGAGACCATTGTACCGTCATCATCTGCCTACCCTTTGCCCAATTTTATTTGGGGTCGGCGCAGTATGTCATCTCACTGTTTACTCTCTTCCTAGCCATATCCTCCCTGACGTAGTCCATCCACCTCTTCTTCGGTCTGCCTCTTCTCTTGTACCCTTCAACTCCCATGCCTAAAACTTTCTTCGCCACATTTTCCTCATCCCTCCGCATGACATGTCCATACCAAGATAACCAATAGGTTATCTTTAACCAATAGGTTAAAAGTTAAGAAGTAAAAACTTCTTAACTTTTCATCCAGTGGCGCTACTTTCAGACCCCCTCGTATATACTCATTCCTAACCTTGTCCATCTGAGTCACACCACACATCCATCTCAGCATTCGCATTTCGGCTACGTTCAGACGTCTCTCATCCGTTTTCTTAACGGGCCAACTTTCAGAACCGTACAGGACGGCAGGTCTGATAATAGTTTTATAAATTTGTCCCTTCAGTGTTAAGGGGAAAATGGGGTCACAAGTTGACGTTACCTGCCGCCACTTCATCCATCCCGTATTGATTCGATGCTGTACAGTTCGATCAATCTCACCATCACATTGTAATAGGGAGCCGAGGTACTTGAAATTGGAGCAGACTGTTATCGCTATCCCATCCAGCGAAATGGTTTCAGGACTGGAGAGACCGTCGAAATCGCAGAACATGTACTCAGTTTTGGTTCTGCTGATTTTCAAGCCGACATTCTCCAGCCTTCGCTGCCATTTTTCCAGTCTGCTCTGGACCTCAACCCCATCTTCACCGACCAACACAATGTCATCTGCAAATAGCATGCACCAAGGTGCCTCCTCCTGTATGTCCGATGTCAGAGCATCCATTATAAACAGGAAGAGGTATGGGCTCAGAGCTGATCCCTGGTGCAAGCCTACAGAGACACTGAATTGATCAGTGTTTCCCGTGACCGACCTTACATGAGTGCAAGACTCTCTGTACATAGCACGAATCAATTCTACATACTTAACAGGCACTCTTTCTTCTTTCAAAGCCCACCACAATGCCTCTCGGGGTACCCTATCATATGCCTTTTCGAGATCCACAAACACTATATGCAAGTTGTACCGTGACAGATGAAAATATACAGTGGACCCCTATAGTTTTATATACCGTTTTACTTTTTAATATCATCACAAGCAAATACTGATTGAAAGTTGTAGTTTTCTGCACTTGTTTAAATAAACACTAAGTATTCCTAATATAATATGCTTCAGTGCATCATGTTTATTTAAAGGGGCACTCAGAGTAAATTTAAAATGAGTAATTTTAGACGTGCCCAACCCAGTCAAACAAGACCTTGTTTTGAACTGAAGGGAATATGACTTCATGTGGTATTTTGTATAACAGTATAGCTAAATTGACTAGCACCAGTATTTGTGTGCGCTGTAGTTTGAGATTACAGTCAGCCTGTGACCACGCCCAGTGCAACCTACTGGAAACGTTAGGCATTTCAAAGGTATGTACTTAATACCGTTGCCGTATGCTTACAAACTTACGTCGTATTTTTAATAGTACGCCGAAATCTGTTGTGAGCACAACTGAGTAACGCCAGTGTCGTACTGGCAGTGGCCTCCACTCGCGGAATACCTGCTACCCCACCCGGATGACTACAAACTGTTTTATGTGTGCGTGCAAAAGGATGAAAATCGTAATTGGGATGCCTCTAGTTGCCATAGAGCCTATTATATTACGCCTTACCTTTTTTTATGGCATAGGGGGCAAACGACCAGACGCAGCAACTCAGGAGTCACATGGGCATTGTCAGCCTTTGAGGAAGGGGTATGCTCTTTCTTTGAAGGTTTGAAGGTTGGATCGGTCTAGAAATACCGCAGGCGATAACGTTTTTCACAGATTGGTAGTGCGAGGCAAAAAGTGTCTAAAAGCGCACCGTGGTGGAGCGCCAATTATCCAAGTGGTGGGGATGAAAATTTTGCCGTGTGGAACGATGGCGGAAGGTTGCGGCAAACCTAAATAATGAACAACGCTGCAAGATAAGAGATAGATTCCCTAGACCGACACTTGTTCCAGAAGATAGAAAAGATCGCCGGTGCACATTAGCACGTATCTAAAAGCAAAAGTTCTGTAGCATAAATAGACAGTGTAGGTATGGTTGAAATCAAGAGGTGCAAAAATAAGAAATAGGTCCTGTCTCTATTACTTAGGAGGCGGCACCTTTCCGTCGTTAAACGGAGTTCATTTTGTTGTAATTTCGACATCGTTTATATATATAGAACATAAAATATTATAAGCTTCACCGGTTTAATATGCATTCATATCTAACGACTCCCTATCATTTTGAATGATTTCCTAAATAATAAACAAATTGTTATTAATAACACTGACCGAGTCATTTTGGTGTCTGGAATTTTAGAAATCTTATATCAGAAATGCTACTGATTTTTTGTATCAGCTCTATAGTCCATCAACGTCGTGCGCGACCGTCCAGCGGGGTGAGTGTGCGTTACCCCAGCAAAATAATGTCGAAAATGGTCATTTAATCTTTATAGATAATTAGTTGCTCCCCTTCTGTAATTGTTAGGCACATTTTTAAATTTGTTTCACTTAAACTTTTTTAGTTATTTCAAAAAAACATTTCCTGCTGGGGTAACGTTTGAAACGTTACCGCAGCCAGACATTTTCTTTTTTAATTGTAATATTGAAATAAATTTTATCTAGATAATTAGTTATCTGGACTAGGTAAATGTTACAACTTATTTGGTATTTGTATTTTCTTCGGCTGCGAAGTTATTCGAAATCCTGCTGGAGTAACGTTTGTGGGTTTGCTGGATCTCTGAAACGGGTAAGCGGATTGTAACCATCTTTTGTACATAACTTCTTAAGGATTAGTTTTAATTTGTTCGACAATAAAATAACAAAAATAATGGACCGTTTAAAAATTATTTAGGTAAGTATGAAAACACTTCAATACGTCCTAACACTTTATATAAGACCTCTAAAGACCCTTCAAATGTATACGAATTTTCGTAGGAATACTGTAAGTGACTAAAAAGTTATGATGAAATGTAGCTCTCCACGTTCACGATCACAATGTGTGCGGCCTTTTTTGGCCACCGATAAACCTGTGTGTGGATATATAAACTGAATGTTATGCCAATAATTAGTTGTTTAGTTCAGTTGTTTACCTGTAAAATTTCAGCGTAGTACATATAACAATTTACGAGATAATTAAATAAAAGTCATTAGAAGGTGCAAGACCGTGGTAACCCAACCATGTTTAGGTGGTTACAAAAAAGCGATCACCCAGTACATTGCGCTGTCTTTTAAAATGTTTAGTGTAATACACCTTACGATTTCGGTACAGTTGCGTACAGTGTTAAATACATTCAATATTTATTCATTATTATTACCTATTATTTATTTTGTTTTTTTCCCTAATTGATCTTAAGCACTAGTTTCTTTACTTAAAATGTCTTTAGTCTTTTTTACTACCGGAGCTACAATCAACAGAAAATCTGCACTGGTCCGCTAAAATTATAAATATGTAGATACATGTATGAACGATTCACCTGACTGCAATAAATCGAAAATTTAAACCAATAAGAAATCGTTTCATTTATTTGATTTTTTTTAGTAAAGAAATAACACTAAAGTAATTGTATTTTATTTTGGGGTGTATAGAGCTTAGACTTGAATGCATCAAAATATTTAAAGCAACAAGTCATCTACAATAAGTTAAAATAGACCGAATAGTAGAAGAATACAGTTGTAAATTTATATGTATTATTATATGTACGACGCTGAAATTCTACAGGTAGACAACTGAACTAAACAACTAATTATTGGCATAACATTCAGTTTATATATCCACACACAAGTTTATCGGTGGCCAAAAAAGGCCGCACACATTGTGATCGTGAACGTGGAGAGCTACATTTCATCATAACTTTTTAGTCACTTATAGTATTCTTACGAAAATTCGTACACATTTGAAGGTAGTTACAAGCAATAGAATAACGTTTGAAGTAAGTCTTTAGAGGTCTTATTTAAAGTGTTAGGACGTATTGAAGTGTTTTCATACTTACCTAAATATTTTTTAAACGGTCCATTATTTTTGTTATTTTATTGTCGAACAAATTAAAACTAATCCTTAAGAAGTTATGTACAAAAGATGGTTACAATCCGCTTACCCGTTTCAGAGATCCAGCAAACCCACAAACGTTACTCCAGCAGGATTTCGAATAACTTCGCAGCCGAAGAAAATACAAATACCAAATAAGTTGTAACATTTACCTAGTCCAGATAACTAATTATCTAGCTAAAATTTATTTCAATATTACAATTAAAAAAGAAAATGTCTGGCTGCGGTAACGTTTCAAACGTTACCCCAGCAGGAAATGTTTTTTTGAAATAACTAAAAAAGTTTAAGTGAAACAAATTAAAAAATGTGCCTAACAATTACAGAAGGGGAGCAACTAATTATCTATAAAGTTTAAATGACCATTTTCGACATTATTTTGCTGGGGTAACGCACACGCGGGGTGACAGACGGTGGCGGGGACGAGGTACTCAAGATGTCCGCGGGTAGCGGGTGGTGTAGCGGGGAAGGGAATCGTGTGTAGCCGTGTGCTAGAATGACGCGCTACCTCGCCCCCGCCACTGCCTGTCACCCCGCGGGACGGTCGCGCACGACGTTGATGGACTATATATTTCTCAATACTTTTTTGCAAACACAATAAAGCACCCACTCTTTATCCTGATTTCAATATCAATGCCGAAGTATGCAAATTTTCGCTAAGTTTTCACTCGTTAACACAGCATCTGGACGTACTAGCCATAATCAAATAATAAGATAAATTTTGTAGGTTTTATTGTATTGTATTATTGTAAGAATTACTTTTTTTGAAAAAGACATAATAATTAAAAATAACTGAGGAAACTAAAGCTGATGAGTTGAAATCATAGAGAAATAAGCATAGAGTGAACAAGAGCTCTAATTTTACAGTTTAGTGAACAAGAGAGATTTATAATAAATTCCCACTATCTCTTTCTAGTCGAGCTATGTTGAGCTATGGTTGGCTTAGGAAATTTGTAATCTCCCGCCTGTTCTATGATCAAAACCATGCCCACTTCACGATAGTCAATCGTAGCTTAGCTAAACAGAGACAAATTGAACTATCGGGAATCGATCTCTCGTTGCCTGTATCGCTTCCACTTACGGGCAGCTGTACCCCGCCCGTGTTCTCTCAGTGGTTAAAATGAAGTATAATAAGTATATCAATTCTTGTACTTTACATTTCTTATCGAGCACAGATACAAATTGGGCTGAACCAAGAAAAATAATATTTTTTTTGTACGCCTGTGTAATTCATAATTTTCGCTTTGCCTGTACCTTATTTTTTCTGGGCAGAAATCCCCTACCAGTTACCTAACTTACCAGTAGTCGGGGAACCAGGTGAACCCTAGAAAGGAAATCCTTGGTGTCGCTTTGCCTATGCTTGTAATATTCTGCATCGCGCACAGTCTTGCGTACAGCGCTGTCACATCGTCGAATTTCAAAGTTCAAACTAAGTTAGTTTCCTTAGAGAATATCACTGCTGGTTTATAAATGACCGGTTACGGCTGACAAATTACTCGATGTACCTTAATATAATAATTTTGGTTTTCCGTAGAGAAAACAGCCCTCCTAACTCTTATTAGAAACGTCAAAATAAAAGACACTGATAGCAACATTTAAGCTAAATGTCAGAAGATTGACTAAACATTTTGAAATATTGAAATGGACATATACCTAGGTGTGAAATTGAAAGTCTCGTAAATGGTAGAAAGAGGCGACTGAAAACGCAATTTTGTTATATATTTTTTAAATGAAAATGTTTACAATTTATTACATTGTTAATAATTGAATTTATAAGTTAAATCTATATGCTAAGGTATGTATCGAACATATAAATTTAATGTTATAAATATATATAGGTTCTGTACTGCAGTAAAATGATAAAGTTCCTTCAGAAATTTATTCAACGTATTTATTGGACTTCAAAGGTTCATAACATGTTCGTATCTATAATTATTCCTCTTATTGAGTTGAAATGTTGTCCTGTGCTTATGTTACGATAGATGATTTTCGAAAACTGGAAGATGAGTTTTATTTAATGTTATTATACAGTTTTCGATTTATTGATATGCCTAACCACAATTAAGAGACTACAGGGAGTAGTCTCTTAATTGTGGTTAGGCACTAACTGTTTATGTTTTAATTTTACAGTTACTGTAATGTTTCCTATAAGGATCAGTATTTAATTCATCACGATATCTAACAGTCGTAATTACATTATGGTGCGATCAGGACACAAAGGCACCACAATGGAGTTTATCATAGAAAGCAGTGGAGCTCGGTGACGGGTGCTTTGGTGGCATGGCGGAACCCGAATGTGTGGGCCAGCCCGACGCGGTGCTGTTGGCGCCGCTCACGGAGGACACGTTCCTTCACAATTTGCATGTGCGCTACAAACATGACATAATATATGTGAGTAGCTCCTTGCATACAGTAGGTATGGCTCACAAGTGTCTGTTATTGGCTGTGCTCCCGTTACACTAGACACTCAGACAAACGCCTATTCATACCATATTAAAGTAACTCAATAACATCATAAGATTTTGACTTCAAAATGCATATCATCCAATAATAACTTGATAATTTCAAGCAAAATCCTTGTGAAATAGTTTCTCACTTTTATCTTTTGTGTCAGGTGCTTACTGTCACACCCTGTCTGTCTTTTACTTCTACTAGCAATCTATATACCATTTAGCTACAAAATTATGAACTAAACAACAAAGTAAACAAACTTCCCCACATAAATTGAAATTCAACAAGAGTACATAGATGCTGTCAGTTTGCTACAAGAGACTTATGACTGGTGATGGCATCTTAAAGAGTTTACTCCCAACTTAAATTTGTCACCCAATCTGTGGAACGGGTCATCGTCTGCAGTATTTCCAGACTGATACAACCTTCAAGAAAAGAGTGTACTCCTTCCTAAAAGGCCTTCAACATGTTTGTGACTCCTGAGTTGCAGACGTTCATGGGCAGGGATGGTCACTTTCCATCAGGTGACACATCTGCTCGTCTGCCCCCTCTAACATAAAAAAGAAACACCTGTGACTATGTATCCATCAACTTACCTCAATTCTGCAAGTTTGGCAATATAAGAAAGTCAAATATAACTGAAATGAATCATGTCCATTGTGTGGTTAGTTAATGAGTGTGGAACATTTGGGATCCAAGGACATGTATATCAGTGGGGTACATGGAACACATGTATCCATGTATCTCAACCATTAGGCATAATTGGATATATATCAGCAATGATAAATAGAATGGGGGAATTTACTAGCAGAAATAAAAGTGTAGACTGTATGGTGTGTGGTTCTACTTGCAGACTTATGTGGGCAACGCCTTGGTGTCGGTTAACCCGTGCCGCACGCTGCCGCTATACTCGGCTGAGCTGGTCCGCGCGTACCTGGCGCGCCCACCTTACCAGCTACCTCCGCATTTGTACGTACAGCAATTGCCCCGGTTTATCCTGGTGATGAAAATAATTAAAGTCAGTTTATTCAGACATCTTTACATGGAGTGAAGTTGTTCCCAATGAATTATTTTACTCACTGTCTTTTGACATAGCTTTCTTCCAATGACTTCCAGTTTAATCTAATGTATGCAGCTCTGGACCACTAGAAATCAGGATGTCCACCAACTGATTCACTTTTAGGTTTAAAGTACACAAGCTCTACAGAGACTGTATTAAGTATGAAGCATAAATAAATAAGTAAGTAGTAGTATAATAAGTAGGTAGTCTTCTAACGCAGTGTTCTGGTCCAGGTACGCAATAACGGCCACGGCGTACCGGTGGGTGCGTGATCGGAACGAGAGCCAGTGCATTGTCATAACTGGTGAGTGAATGTCCTCAGAATGCGCACTTGGCTCACGAAATTGATACAGTTGTCTCATGCACACACACTCTAATACATTATGAGGGGTCATATTTACATTTTCATATTTACAATTTTAAATATAAATATAACATATGTAAAAACGAGTGTCTTTCGTCTAGAGAAAGTTCGAAAGGGTTATAAAAGTAACTTTTACCTATGAGAGCGAAACCGCAGATAAACTTTAGTTTGACAACAACCGTGTTTTCGTTTTTCATTGTAATTCCATAAAAATATATAGTTTGTACTCTAGAATTTTTTTGTCAAGCAAGCAAGACATAATTATTGTGAGGGAGGTGTAGAATTGCTGAATGTAGTTTGTATTTCAAGTTAATATTTCAAATAACAAGTGTTTAAAGATCGCTGTTTCGTATGTCGTCTTTTAGCTTATCTATAGCTTAGCCGTAGAATATTGCTGACGACCGCGAGACATACATAGCAGACATTGTTGTTGTGGCGCAGGCGAGAGCGGCGCGGGCAAGACGGAGGCGGCGCGCGTGTGCCTGCAGTGCGCGGTGGTGGCGGGCGAGCGCGGCGCCGAGCTCACGGCCGCGGGCACGCTGCTCGAGGCCTTCGGCAACGCCGCCACCGCCAGGAACCACAACGCCAGCAGATTTGTGAGTGGTGCTCCGTTCGGTGTGCCGAGACCGCCTTACTGGGTTATACCCGAGCCCGTGTCCTGTCCGTGTGGTGACGGATTAAGAATACAGAGTGTCACCACCCCTATTCATCCCGTGGGTGTCGTAAGAGCCGACTAAGGAAGCAAACTACGCAGGACAACAGCACTGCAGAGAGAAGGAAAACTTGAAACAAACCCTATACCAACCCGTGTGGCCAGCGCGGTATAGAAGGCCAAAACCTCCTTCCTAAGGAGAGGCCTATGTCCAGCAGTGGACTAGTAAAGGCTGTTGATGTGATGATGTGACCCGAGCCCGTGCAGTGCACCACTTTGTGTTGTATCGCGTGTTACATTCGCTTTTAAAAATGCGCTTACATCACGATGAATAAATTGTATTCTTCATTCCTTAGTTCCGCCCAACCCGAACCAAACGCAAAGTATCGATTCATAAATGAAGGAGGTCTGAGGTAACAAACAGATAATAATATGGCAAATGCGAAACTCCTCTTTTTATGAAGTCTTTTAAAAATATATATTAGCCTATATTCAATAACAACATGGTGTGTGACGTGATTGTCGTCGTGTCCAGGGGAAGCTGCTCGAGATCGAGTTCGACTTCAAGGGCGAACCAGTCGGAGGACACATCACACACTGTAAGTACATACATCAACCGACAATATTTGATACGTCACTGTCTGCGCTGGGATTTATACGACTCCATACACCTAAAGTGGGATACAAACATTGCGTCTCTCAACTAAAGCTTCTATTTGAATTTGTGTTGAGTAAAAATAAAAACAGGGCATGCTTAGGTCTACTGACGCATCGTTCGGGTCGATCGAGCGCGTGCCTTGCAATTTGCGTAGGTTCAAATGTGGCGAGGCATATGCTACGTACTAGGAGAGCTAGCAAATCAGAGCTTTTTTCTTTTCTTTTTTCAATAGTCGAATGAATTATTATAGGTTAATTTTTTTTAGCCTAACCATGCGTTGCGCGTCGGCGAGCGCGTTTAGCGTTGCGATTCTAGGAGATTTCAATGACGGCCAATCGTAGCGCCGAACCGGTCACCGTGACGATCGAGTAAAATTGAAATAAACTCGCACTTGGCCCTCTGAGAGCGCAGCACACGCCTCGCACAGTGAGTGTCTGTCAACGTCCACGTGTACGCTTTGATCGCAGAGCGTTTGCTTACATACGCTCACACTACGTACCACATGCCTCGCTACGACTGTGAACGTGGAACATTGCGAAGCATGCTATGAACGGTGGTTCTCTGAACATGCCTCGCAATGCTCGATGTATAGCGTGCGATTCACAGATTGTTTTGTTCTAAAATACAAACAATCGGGCAAAACCAATACTGTACTTGAGTAGTAGGGGACGGAGGATACTGTTCACAAGTATGTCGCGGGTCCGGCCATCGTCCAACTCAACCATATTAAAGTTAGACGAGTCAACCAATACGCCACCATCGGCAGGACTCGTACACAAGCGTGACGTGCACAGAGCTACCAGGAACATTGACTATAAGAGACTACACAGTTCTCACACGATCAGTGTGAAATGTCACACAGAATGTCCACAGTCAGACAGACAGTCAACACAACACACATTGACGCATATTTTACATACTTTTCTTGATGAGTACCTACTTACAAGCTTATATTATGAATTTAATAATAAAACGAATGAAACGGAGAAATAATACGTTTTCTTTTCTTTTACGCTGCAATCAGATCTGCTGGAAAAGGTAAAGTATATCAATTTGCAAAGTTAGTTAAGTACCACGCGGGCGATGTGGAGTGAGGCGGGTTGTTGTTGGAGCTCGGGGAGTCCACTATTTATGTATGTCGACCTATTGACTAATTGAGCAAAGTGAGTCTCGCTACTGACCTACTCCTATAGTGGGTTGCATTCCATTCAGGATAAATATTGCATATTTATGCAACCGCATGTATATATCGTAAATCCTTCAAATCGCTTGAAAAAAGGTCACTTGCAAAAGTCGATGTGACATCGCACCGTTGTTACATTCAACTTTTCTCGTAGAAGCTTTAGTTTTCGCTCTAGACGTGAAAAACTGGTTTTTACCATTTTTTTGGCATCTTAGCTGACAATATTTTGTTATAATTTTTATTGCAATCAATTTCTAATAGTTGAATCTTTAATAAAAAAAGTTTTTCGCTCCAATAGGAATTTCCTGGATTTTTTAGGGTTTTTTTAATGAATTAAATGTCTCCACTGTCAATTGTGACATCCAGTGGGCCATGACGATGGCGCGGCTAAGACAAACTTAAGAAAATGATTGCAAATCATTGAAGAGGTTTTTTTTGCACATGCATAATTATGTACGTATGTACGAGTATATACTGAAGGTAAATTGCACTCAGACAGAACACAAACGATCGTGTTCATCAAACTTTTCATTGTTCCGGGTGGGAATCAAACCCACGACCTCAGGTTTAGCAGTTACTAGATCGACAGGCCAGTCAAAACGTGCCTGAAATGAACTATCTAAGCGTTGCAGCAGTATTTCATTCCATTATGCCTCAGTTCTTACAAAACCCTTTGTTTGCCAATTGTGGTGAACGTTGATGGAATAAAAGAATGAATAGCAGGTAAGGTGTTCGTCATAGATAGGAAGGATGTGTAGAGCCGAGCGATGGTGTTGCAGGAGCGCGTGTGCGGCGGTGTGCTGGACGGCGAGCGCAACTTCCACGTGCTGTACCAGTTGCTGGCCGGCGCCGACGTACATCTGCTCAGTGAGTCATATTGTATACCATCAGTTACGGAAGAACGCCAAGATCAGTTTCAATTCCATTTACTATCCCTACACGGTAGTAAATGATCAGTTACGGAAAAGTTTGGTTTGATTAACATGTTTCGTACGGACCGTACAGAGCGGCTTCGGCTCAAGCGCTCCTGGGAGTACTACCGCATGCTGCGCGGCGCGGTGGAGGAGGGGGGCGGGGCCTCCGCCTCCCCGCGCCGCGCGCCGCCTCAGCAGGTGGCGCCCGCGCCCCGCGCCGCCGCGCAGGACCGGGACCACTTCGCCTTCACCACGGTAATCATTTTCTTTTAAAGACAATAATCAACTTCTTCACTGCTCAATCCCTTTCTAGCCATATCCTCCTTTTACGCATTTCATACATGTTTTCTTTGGACGGTTTTACTTTTATGTTCGTCAACTTTCACATGTTGTTCATCTTCCATCACATATCGATACATCTGTCCACACACGAGATTACATCTTAACATTCGCGTAGGTGTCCTTTATTCGTTTTCTTCATTGGACAACATCAAACAAACAAATTGGCCTTTTTAATTTGAGACTACGACTTGTTCATGTCACCTGTTTCATCCGTTTTGTCCGTCCTGTATTGATTCGATGCATATAGACTGGCCTATTTTGTCACTCTGTAAGAACGAGCCGAGGTACTCGAAATCGGTGTAGACTTTAATCACTGTTCCATTGAGTGAAACACTTGCAAGGCCGGAGAGACCGCTAAAATAACAGAACGTAATGGATTTCGATTCTGCTTATTTTCAAGCCAACATCCTCCAGTCATATTTTAAAAACAAAATACAGGTTTTTTTTCTAAAAGCAAAGCAAAGCAAAATATTTTTAAACTAAAGATATCATTGCCCGTTACGGAATTAATGAAGACTCGGTGTTTTCAGGCGGCGATGCGGGCCCTGGGCTTCAGCGGGAGCGAGTGCGACGCGGTTCTGCGGCTGCTCGCCTTCATGCTGAAGCTGGGCAACGTAGAGTTCGAGCCGCAGCACAACATCGACGGCTCCATCGGCACGCGCGTGCAGCACCAGTACGGTCAGTCGCCGGGCCGCGCGCCGCCCCGGGCTGCGCGCGGCCCGTGCTCACGCAGGGCCCTTGTGTGTGCAGAGCTGGTGGAGGCGTGCGCGCTGGTGGGCGTGGACGCGGACGAGCTGGCCGCCGCGCTCGGCGCGCCCGACCTCGACGCGCCGCGAGACGCCGGTAACCTCAACTCCTACCTAACGTTTAGCGTACACACGATAACTATATGAGATAGACCTATTGACAATGTCGGATACACTTTTTTTTTTCAATATTCACTTTTGTACATTGATAATAAAAAATATTATCATTTACGTGGGGCATACTGAAAGTCTCTGAATGTGGCCACTTACAATAAAAGAAGGAAAAAGCAATTATGGAATTCGAAAATAGAACTCTTTGGGAACATGTTACTTTTTAATGTACTCGTATGTCACTTGTTTTTTCACCGTGACGTCCTTCCGAAGATTGTGTGTCGCTATCTAAATTAATTTAACTCGTGAACATTTTCGTTCAATGATTTTTCATGATTTTCGTTGTGGCTTAAGTCAACAAGAGACTTGAATTGGCATTTGGTGATAAAGCACATGTCAAGCACAGCAAATAGTTTCTTTTTTTTCGGCAAATCTCTCGCTACAGTATCGCCTAAAGATCAAAGTGACTGACAGTAACTGCAAATTGGTACGTCAACACTTGTTTGCCCAGAGGCGACCTCGAAGCAATGGAGGACATTGCTTCGAGGTCACACGAGTTCACCACGATAACGCATCCTCACATTCCGCTAAGGTAAAGAAGCCTATTTGAAATCTTTAAATGTGAAACTGATGACGCATCCGCCTTACAGCCCAGACCTCGCGCCCTGTGACTTCTTTTTGTTTCCAAAAATTAAAGACAAACTTAGACGCACACGTTTTACGAGCCCTGAATCGGCGGCGAATGCGTTCCAAGAAGCCATTGAAGAGGTTTCTAAGGAAGACCGGTGCAACTGTTTGTGCAGTGGTTTCAGCGAATGCGAAAATGCATTAATTGCGAGGGAATATACTTTGAAATACAATAAACGTATCGTAAGTCTTATATCTAGCCTTATTTATTAGAATCCAGAAACTTTCAGTATGCCCTAAGTGTTACCTCCCTATAAGTGCACCGACCTCAACCTTTCTCTGCGTAGCCCAATCGGTCGATCAGTAGAGAATGCTTTAGGCATTAAGTCTGCCGTAGCATTTATGTGTGCATGAAGTTATAAATAAAAATAAATGACGGTTTGATTTAGATTCGATTCGATTTAGATTCATAATTAACATTATTAATAAAGTGTTACATTCAACCGATTGAAATTTTTATAGTGATTCTTTAATAATGATAATATTCTAGCACATTCACACAATATCATCTAGTCCCAAACTAAGCAGAGCTTGTGAGTACGACACAGCGTGGAAACTACACATGTTAATATATATAAGGTCAGCCCTCCTGGACAGGACGACCGTGAGGCGAAGCGTATGTCGCGCGTTCATATTATATTTTAATGTGCATTACGCACTTAATGCTTCCATTTTTCTTAACTTTCGTCGGCAAACGAATACACAGAGCTGCGCCATGGTGCTTCATCACCAAAAGCTAATTGAAGTCTCTGGCAACTCTCTCGTTGACTTAAGCCACATTGAAAATCATAAAAAATCATTGAACGAAAATGTTCACAAGTTAAATTTATTTCGATAGTGACACACAATTTTCTAAAGGACGTCACGGTGAAAAAACAAGTGACAGTCTCACAAATTGTAATAATATATCCTCTAAATACAGGGTGTAAGCGAATTTTCTGGCGGAAAATTCATCAATATTTTATTTATTTTTATTTTTTTTGGTTTAAAATGATATCACAATGAGTGAACAGAACATTTTACACAGAACATAAAGTAATAAAACTAGGCGCTTAATTACCACAGTTAGCGCTGTATTTATAAACACACACTTTGATTAACAATAACTTCACTAAATAACTCCTTAGTCGCATTCGAATATCGCTCCGATGTTAATCCGTTGTCTCGTAAAACAATACTGTGTCGTATGGCCAACACGCTTCGCCATACAGGGCCACCTAAATATCCACAATAATTCCTAGGATTTGATAGACCATTCCAGACGATAAGGAATTTTCATTTGCTTTTATGTAAAAAAGTGAATTTTGTTAAAAAATTATATCCGCCATTGTTAATAATAATAATCAAAATATCTATGTACCGTCTATAGTTCTGTTATTAATACCCTAATAATAGTATTAATATTTGGTACTCTAAAACTAGTAATATTGTAGAGAACATTCCTATGGAAATGGTGTTCGTATCTAGTATGCACTGCACCTCGGCGGCGGTGGTGATGCTTTTTTTTTTGGAATTTAATGACCTGGTAACTAAGACCTTTAAGTCAGGTCTTATTTCGGTGGTGATGAGTTCATGTTCAATTAGTGTTAGGGATTATGGGATTCAGGAAAGAAAAAAAAAGTTAAAGATGAAAAGTGCGATCTGTCAAGTTTATATAATACGTTTTTTTTTTCAATGACTTGTTGTTCCGTTTTATTGGTATTAGTAATCTCAACAATTGGGTGAGTGAGTGTAACGATCCAGTCCGTTTACGTTCTTCATATTTTAGAGAGCTCGGAGGGCTCGGAGGAAACGGGCGCGTGTAGCTCGCCGGAGAGCAGCACGGAGTCTTGGGCGGGTGCGCTGCGCGACCAGCTGGTGAGCGTGCTGTACTCGCGACTGTTCACTTGGCTCATCAACAACGTGAACGCGGCCCTGCACCCGCGCACGCCGGGCAAGCGCTGCGCCATCGGGATCCTCGACGTGTACGGCTTCGAGTCTCTGGCGAGCAACGGCCTGGAGCGCCTGCTGATCAACTACGCGGCGGAGCGCGTGCAGGCGGCGGTGACGGCCGCCACGCTGCGGCGCGAGCAGGACGAGTACGTGCGCGAGGGGCTGGCCTGGCGCCCGCTGCACTACACGGAGCACGAGCTACACGCCGAGCTGCTGGACGCGGTGAGTGACGGCGCGGGTGCCGGGGGCCGCGGTGCGTGCAGCGTAGTGACCGCGTGTGGTGTGCGCAGGGCCCGGACAGCGTGCTGGGCGTGCTGCGCGACTGCTCGGCGCGCGGACTCGGCGACGGCGCCTTCCTGCAGCGCCTGCAGCGGCGGCGCCACCCGCGCCTGCTCGTGCTGCCGCCCGACCACTTCCAGTCAGTGTCGTACCTGTGCTTTCTACAACTTCACTGTTGCTAAAACTTATCTACACATACGAGTATATAATAAAATAAATAAAATAACGTATACAAGTCTAGGGACGTCAGATAGAAATCTCGGTTACCATATTCTGACTAGTACTTTCTTACTGGAAGAAGACGAGTACTCCATAACAGGATCGCCCGTCACGTCATACGACACGCGGCAAGGTTTTTTTTTTTATTAAGGAACAAACAGTCATTTACATTTAAAAATGAAACATTTGTATGTACTCATAGAGCTAATAGAACATCTAGATCATGTTTGTATACGATTACAATCCAAATCATTTTAATAAACTTTTTACATTTTAGAGGCGAGAGCAGTCAGATCTTGGTCAAAACAAAAGAGAGATTTGTTAAAACAGATAATTTAGAAAAAAGTCAAAGATAATCAAGAAAAGTTTTTAAGGTAACAAATACCCCGTTTCTTGGAGGAATCAAGAGGTAGATAAAAAAATATAAACTTCACACAGCGCATCATCGTACAAACGGTAGGCTCGTCTAATGAAACTATTACTTGCGTAACAGGTAGTTGGCAGGGGATCAGAGAATAGTTTCCTTTTACGACAGCTTCTTCCTCGTCTGCATGGAATTCTAAAATTTATTTTTTGTGACAGTAAAGCGGAATCTACATAGTTATTTAGTATTTTGTATAAGAAAGTAACATCACATAAGTCTCTTCGATATTTTAATAAAGTTATGTTATGGTATTACGTCAGACGTTTCGTAGTCTTCACGTACGTGTCCAGTGCGGAAATCGAGAGCTTTAACAAATTTATGCTGAATCCTTTCAATTTTATCGATGTGAATTTGATAACGAGGCTGCACGACTACAGAAGCAAATTCCAATCCACTTCGCACACAAGTTTTTTAAGGGTTCTTAGGATTTTTCTTATGAGTCTGAGTTCTCATTCGTATTCTTTCTCGACCTATAGGTTTCGCAATAAAACACCTTCCGGGCGTTTTATGTTATTATTTTTATCGTTTCGCTACAGCGACATATTAAAGCGGACTCATCATTAAATTACGATCGCGTAGAGTCGGTGACCTCGTCCGCGTCGTATCGAAGGCGTTCTTTCGACCGAGCGGAGTCGAACGCTTCGGTCGCTATACGTACGCTATACTATACAACCGTCGTGGGTGCAGGATCGTGCACTTCGGCGGCGCCGTGGTGTACAGCGCGCGCGGCATCGTGGCCAAGAACCGCGACCAGGTGTGCCGGCGCTGCTGCGGCGTGCTGGGCGCGGCGCGCGAGCCGCTGCTGGCGGCGCTGTTCGCGGGAGCGCTGGAGCGCGCGTGCGGCGGGTCGCCGCGCCGGCCCGCCGCGCTCGCGTGCCGCCAGCGCGCGCTCGTGGGCGCGCTCGTGCGGCGCCTGCCCCCCGCGCCGCGCCTCGTGCGCTGTCTGCGCGCCGACGCCGCGCTGCGCCCGCACCGCTTCGACGCCGCGCTCCTGCGCCACCAGATCCGCTCGCAGGGGTCAGTGCCATACGATCCTTATTTGCTCCCTTCTCGTGCGGTGTACGGTACCGGCTCGTAGGACCATATCTTGATTGCTACGCGCCCCTGCACACCGTGTGTCGGGGGTGTTGTGCGATGTTGAATATTCGAAGTGTGCCTTTATCGCTATTGAATTATAATTATAAATTAAATATATTAATAGTCAAAGAAACGCATATCGTACTGATTTTTATTTTATTTTGTTCTATTGAGAAACAAACGATCGTTTACGTGTTAAGTCTAAACATATTTGTATACACTTATAGACCCAATAGTTCCCTAAATTAATACGACATCTAGATCGAGTTTATATACTGCAGAGATCCAAATCATATATATAGATAACGGCAGCCAGATTTTTATTTAAAAAAACAGAGATATTTATTTTTAAATTTTAAAAAGAGTTAACGAGAATCAAAAACTATTATTGAGGTAATGAAGACCCTGTTTATAAACCTAAATCATCAACTTCGCAACAACACAACACAGCGCATCATCATACAAACGACAGGCTCGACTAATGAAATTGTTTTTATTATTAATTATTAACGAAACGTCATCCCTCAGTGTGCCACGTAACTCTCAATGAAACCGTGTGTTCTGATCGTAACCGTCACCTGCAGATTCTTGCAACTCGATATCCCCTCCCGACTACTGGGTCCACGTAACGATTTGTCCGCCCACAAAGACCTTCGTGAACGAAGCGACGTGATCCGGATCTGAACGTACCTAATCTACGCCGCAGGATAATGGACATGGCGTCGCTTCGGCGCAGCGGCTGGTGCGAGTCCATGTGCGCGCGGGCGGCGCTGGCGCGCTACGGCCTGCTGGGCTCCTCCCCGCGCCGGGCCCCGCGCGCCTCCCCCGCGCCCTCGCCCTCCCCCGCGCCGGTCGCGCGCGACGACCCCGTGCGCGCCGCTCGCGCTCTGCTGCGATCCTTGCCCATACCCAGTGCGGAATTCGCGTACGGCCGGACCAGAGTGTTCGTTCGCAGTCCGCGAACCGTGTGGGAGCTGGAGGCGTTGCGCGCCGCGCGAGTGGAGGCGCTGGTGGCGGCGGCGCAGCGCGCGTGGCGCGAGCACCGCGCGCGGCGACGGGCGCGGGCGCAAGCCGTGATCGCGCGAGCGTGGCGCCAGCACCGGCGGCTGGCGGCGCGCGGGGACGGCGGCGCGGCCGGCGGGGATGCGCCCGCGCAGGCCGCGGGGCGGATCTGGCGCGCCTGGTGCACGTGGGCGCGGCGGCGCTACCTGGCGCGGCTGTGGCGCCGCCTGCCGGCGCGCCACATGTCGCCGGCCTGCGCGGCCTGGCCCGCGTGCGGCGCGCCCGTGCTGCTGGGCCGCACGGACTCCATGCTGCGGCGCCTGCACCACGCGTGGCGTTGTCGCATCTACCGCGCCGCCTTCGACCAGACCGCCCGGAACCGCATGCGCGAGAAGGTACGGCTCTCCACGGTAACTGTCTCGGTAATAGGGAATATGCACGTGACACCGAAATGGACAACTTATTTTTATTTGTAATTTTAGTTGCTAAAAAAAGATACCCATACAATTATTTTTGAAATTTATTATAATTTAATAGTGAAATTTTATCATCAAAAATTGGCTTTTTTAAGATTCCCTCGCAAATTTCTAAAACGCAACGCTATTGGTTGAATAAAACGTGACGTCAACCTACACTGTCAAGAGTGTCAACAAGTTGTGTGTATTTGTAATATTTGGTTTCTGGTGATTATTTGTTTCATTTTAAGTTAATAACTAATACGTTTTCAGTGTTAAATTATTAAATTCCCGTGTAGAAAGACTCAACACAATGACTGAATATTTAAAATTGCACTTTGTCAGGTGCAGTTTTGATATTATTTGGGCACAAAGGAACGGCACAATATTTATAATAAGTTTTATTGGCTTTTCCATGGTAATAAGTTAATTTTTATCACTCACTTTTTAACTTTCACAAACTTTGTGAACTTCACTCCGTTGTTGACATCGAATTCGTCTGAAAGTGGAATCTGACGTCACAAAAAAAGCGCGCCAAAATGGACGTGTTCAAATTGCCCCAAAATGATAGTGATTTTAATAAATTTTTTTTTGCTTAACGGTTTATATTTCGGATGTGTTATATTTATTTTTGGTAATGTAATAACTAGTAGAATCGTTAAAAAAAATAAAAAAAATACATGCATATTCCCTATTGCGCACATGTAGATATCGATACCTAAGAAACGTGTTTTTGCATCCTTTTAATAAAAAAAAATCTTATCCATTTTTTTTTTACTTAAAAAAAGATAATGTTAATTTAACTGCTTGTGATCGTTTTTGAAGTGGTCTAGACGGTACTCTAGAGCCGCGGAGCCAATTGTTAGGTGTGTTTTAACTTCGGTCGCCGTCGGCGTCGCCGAAATTAAAAGACAGTGTAATCTTTCGTCTGTGCTCAAAAATTTGACATTCATATTTAAAAAAAATGTAAACCGTCCTCGCATCAAATGTTTTACCATAAGTCGTGAAACGTTTTATGCGAAAGTGTGATGACCTTCATTATGGCGGCCGGCCAACAAGAATGACGAGCGTGGTTTTTAAACGTTCCTAACTATGAAGCTGTTCGTCGCCAGGTGTGTTGAAGCGGAACGAACTAAATCGAACTCATTAGATCCGTGCGGTTCGGTGGTCTGACGCAGGTGACGGCGAGCGTGCTGTTCAAGGAGCGCAAGCTGAACTACGGGCGGAGCGTGGCGCACCCGTTCGTGGGCGACTACGTGCGCCTGCGCGCCTCGGCCGCCTGGCGCCGCGGGCTGGGCGCCGCCGGCGACAGATACGTGGTGTTCGCCGACGTCGTGGGCAAGGTACCGTGGTGTCCGAGCGACGTCGCCGCCGTCACTTGCCGCCCTTGAGCGTTGCGCGTGCGCAGGTGGCGCGGTCGACGGGGCGCGTGGCGCGGTGCCTGTGCGTGGTGTCGACGGGCGCGCTGCTGCTGCTGGAGGCGCGCTCGCTGCGCCTGAAGCGCCGCGTGCCCGCGCACGCCGTGTGGCGCCTGTCGCTGTCGCCCTTCGCCGATGACCTGCTCGTCGTGCACGTGCGCGCGGTGAGTGCTCCCGTCCACTGTCGCCGGTTCTGATAGAGTCTAGCCGTCGAGTCTTTTAAAGAAGAACAAAATTGCGGACCTCGCTTTTTCATACAGTTTTTCATTTCAGCCGTTCTAAAGATGATAATACTTAAAAAAATGTTAAGCACTAAGCGCCGGTGTAAAAAATCGACAACAATAAATCGTAAAATAACGTTCGAGCATAATTTGTGCTGGGAGATGTGCAATTTTGTTAAACGCTTTGTAGAATAAGCAGTTAAAGATATGCTATTTACTTAAAACACATTAAAATATACCGCAGATGACTAAGTATATACTTAACGAACGAATGGATGAAGAACTCCTTAAACTTTAAGTACAAATAATTTTATATAAAACACTCGCTGAACTAGAACGCCACAATTCTGTGCAGTGTGGAGGCTTGGAGAGTTCTACGGAGGAGCTGTCGCAGTGCTCGTCGAGAGACACCACTGACGCGCCAGGCTGTCTGTTTGGGGTGAGTTCATATTGTACGGTTTACGTACACTCAGGTCAATATAATACTATTGAGCTGATTAAGCAAATCGGTAGGAATCGACCGATTTGCGATTTGCAATTTCTGTCCGTCGTAATAATTAATTCGACTCAGTGGCACGTTAATTTTGTAACGTTCGCTCCGTTGTAAGAAACACAAAAAAAATCTGTCATAATAAAAAAAAAACAAATTTTCACTTTTTCCCCGAGTGCCACTGTATTTTTAATATGAGATCGCTGTACTCTTCTTGAAATTTTGTCCGAAAAGTTATATATAGCGTACAAGGGTGTAAGTGTGTCGCGCGCAGGGCGAGGGTGCGTGGCGCCGGCGCGGGGACGTGGTGGTGCGCACGTGCCACGTGCTGGAGCTCGCCACCAAGCTGTTTCTCGTGGTGCAGAACGCGGTGGGCCTGCCGCCGCACGTCAACATCGCCACCGAGTGAGTCCTCCGCTGTATGGCTCTGTCGCTTACGGTTCTCTATAATATCCGAGTGTACTTAACTCATCTTTACCAACTCGTCCACCGCGTCATTAGGGGTGCAGAAAAGAACATATGCAGGGTGTAAGAGACATCGTAACGAATACTGAAATAGTGTATTCAGACCATCATAGTGAGTCGATTTTTTTTTTATTTTTGGTTTAAATGATAGAAAATGATATCACAATGAGTACAGAAAATTTTACCCAAAATAATTCAATAAATACCGCATACGGTCAAAAACTACAATGTTATTAATCAAACAGCCGAAGCGCGCAGGGCTCCCCCCCCGGCCGCCATCTTGTGTTAGTGTGCTTAGACTGTACACTGCACGGAATACAAATATAGTTATTACTTTCGTGCGATATCTATGGGGTACGATCTTAACCTTTGACAGCGGAGTGCATAAAACTTTTAATTTTCCGGCAGAAAATTCCAATTTCAACTCGGAGTTGAAATTTCAGAAAATTTCAACTCGGAATGATCGTCTGAATACACTATTTCAGTATTCGTTACGACGTCCCTTGTACCCTGTATAACCTTTCGCCCAGATAAAAAATAAGTTATATCGCTATCGAAGCCGATGGACACCCAAGCTAATTCTTCTGTCTCTGACTGTCGAAGTTTACGTCGGTGAAATCGCAAGTAAAACTTAGCCCTAACACGAATGATGCTCTCGGACAATCACCGAGTCGTGTAGTGATCGATATGAATGTATGCGTTTGCACAGATTCGAGGCCAATTTCGGACAGCAGCTGGTGACGTTGTCGTTCCACGCGGTGGGAGGCGCCGAGGGCGGAGGCACGCGCCTGCTGCGCCGCGGCAGCCGCATGGACGTGCTCGTGTGAGCCTCCCTCTCTGTTAGCGCACGGTCTCCTAGTAGCTGGACAGCTACTCGAAATAATAAAAAAGAAGAAAAGTCAAGTATGCATTGTCGGCATCGGCGGTCTCGGCCGCACTTATCGGCCCGCGGCGGTTCGTGTGCACGCGGGGGCAGCGTCTCATGTTGTGCCAAATTAGGCCGATCACCGTGTGCCAAAAACTAATCATTTTACAATATTGCTATTAATTTTGTTAAATTTAGGAATAAAAACGGCGCAAACAATACACTATGAAATAAATGTGAAGTATAAAATTGTGCACGGCGTTGGTTATGCGTGAGTTTGCGGGACGCGAGGGCCGGTCCGCCGGCCGAGTGGGCCGGCGGCCGACACACGAGCCTCCACGATCCACACTCAAATAGTTCACTATTTAGTACAAAGCCAGTATTATGAAATATCGTTAACCGTATTATAATGTAAACAACACTAGTATAATATTGAATGAAACAATACTGTACGTGGCGCGCAGTGCGCCTCGAGGTTAGTTTATTTGTCTGAGAAATTCTCCCTGTAGGGTTGGACATCACTCGGCCTCACGTGTTAACAGATCATTGTTAAGCATTGTAATCGGCAAGGTATGAGTTTAGTTCCTTGCGAACGCTTCGCTGATATCGGTACCCGTTTGCTGTGTGAGGTCCAGCCCTGACCAGTGAGCAACTGTTACTATATGTATGTGCGTATGAAGTACACACACACACTCACCGAGGTGTTCTTAACTGTACTGCATGACCCGGACACTAGGATCTTATGATAGGTAGATGGTAAGGCGATCTCGTCTCGTTGGTAGTTAGCGGTCCGTCGCCTGTAGCTGTGGCACGCGTGTGGCGGTGGCGGTGGCGCCACGCCCGCGCGACCACACTTACGCACTCGACGACAATATTATTATAGTTTCTTGCGACGTCACTACATCGTCGCTCCCTCACGTGTGTGAGTGGAGCCAACAATACGCACTGGACAATATCGCTATGTCAAGGGTCTTAAACTCTCACTACACGGAATAGTTATGTTTGTGAGTAAAAATGTTTTGTCACTTTATTTTGTCTCTGGTCTTCCTTTTTTAATGTGTTACCCTGCCTGTGTCTCTTTTTCTTTTTACTGATCCTTTGTCACTAAATGATAGTTTTCGCATCAATTAGAATTGCGCAGTGTAGAGGCATCCCTCAACAGAGCACTTTCGAAACAGACAGCGTAGCTCCACACGCACACGTATTACCAAATAAAAACATTTCTATATTCTTCTTTAGCGGCCTGTTCCCCATCTAACTGTCGAGCGCGCCAGGAAACGAGCAAATGAATATGTTATAAGATGAAATAATGAAATGGGTATGCGCCGCCAGCGGCTGTCGCGGTAGTGCGCTCCGGCCTAGCGGCCCCTCCTATTAAACAATGATTCTACAAAGTGTAATCGGGCAACTTTCGCCTAACGGCTCAAAAAAACCTAAACGTGCACTTTTTTTCTTTAAAGAAATAGAAAAATAGTTTAGATCGTTTCTTTGCTTATGGTCGGAGAGAAGTGGTGAGTGGGATAGTGTGTGATGGGCACGTGGGGGAGGGAGGCCGCAGTTTAGATATATAATGATGATGGATACTTAGAGATTTATCTAGTGCCTTAGTACATCTAGTCGCTTGTTGTTGAGCGCGACTCCACGTAGTCGTGACCCTCCACCTGACGGCGAGCGCCTCCCTCTGCGACGTACTGTGAAGTGTCAGCCACACTGTCACGTTCGTCAATGTACCTTCGTTACTGTAAGGGTAGAAGATATAAGTATAACGATATACGTAGCACACTGTCAGAGTTGAGATGTTTTCTTGTGACGTTCACTTCTTACGCGACAATACGACGACGCAATAGTCGACTTAAGGCACAATGTTGACGATGTCGAGACGTGTTGACTTATTGTCAGTTTGTTTTAATATAATTGAGGTGTGAAAACTTTGTACTGTTTTAAGTAAATAATAAGTTTGATACGTCGGTTATGTTTGAGAGCGTCGTATCGATACGAGTAGGTTAATAGTAAAAGTAAAGTTAAGTAAGCGTGCCACCCGTTGACGTCAGGCGTGGCGCCGCTCACCCCTCAGGGGAGGCTGGCTCCTCGCCACAGACGTCGGCGACTGCAGACTGTATTGCAAAGTATATTGCTGTTGAAACGTTCGTGACTCGGCACCGTGGCCGACCCCAAGCGTGGCGCTGCACGTGGCGCCACAGCGCGCGGTTGCACGACACGCGGCGCGGGGCCGAGCCTCGGTGCCTACTTACGAACTACCGATTTCTGTTGAATAATGTAATGTTACGTTTTTCAACAAATTAATTATGCAAAGGTTTTATCGTTTGTAATAAAATGTACGAAAATATTCGTGATTTTTCTTTAGATCTCCTACCTCCGTCCGGAACGAGCGAACACCTGGCAAGAAAAACTATCTATCGTATAGTGGGCGCATTCAAATGTAAGGTCCGATTATTATTAATAAACAGAGAGCACACTTCGCTTTACTAAATACGCGGTATGTATTGTGGTGTGTGTGTGCGTGGTGTGCGCTGTGTGCACTTGTCATACCAATCATAGTAAGCAGACGAACGCCAGAAGATGAGAATGACATCAAAAATTGTCGTATTTTAAATTGAATATTTTAAAATACAACACGTTTCTAGTGGCGTTTAAAATACAACACAGTGGCGAAATATTATTTGGTATCCAGTTGTTATTTATGTCATATAAAAGTAAAAATCGGCAAACGGTCTTTATTTCATTTCTTTTTGTAAGCAAATTTTAATAGAATGCTTTTTCTTAGACAGAAGTTTTAGAGTTTAAGAAGAGCTTAGAATTTATTTATCGTTGTACACCAGGTTATTTATGCTACAACAATGTTCCCTTTATAGAAATAACTTTCATTTTAACAGTCGATTTATTGACGAAAAGAATATAACCAAGGATAAATTGAATTTATTGTGCAACACAAGAATTGAATAAAAATGTTCCTCAACTATTAGTTCTCTATAGTATTATCAGCCTTTTTATTGGTAACCAATGTTTTAATATTTTCTATCGTCGGTCGAAGTATAGAGCAGGTATTAAGGAATCTGTTTCTCGGTTATTTATTATTGCTTTCTTTTCTAAAATTTTTGAAAAATAAGGATTATTATTATTGATTATTACCTTTAAACATTTGTTGAAGTTAATAGTCTAAGGGCCGGTTTTCCAATCCTCAGTTATACTGTCACACAACTAACTTGGGGATAAATTTATCTTGCTGTTTATCAAAACACAGCTAACATGATGAGTTAGTTGTGGGAGAGCCATGCCTCGGCACATTTAGACCAGGCTCGACCGGAGTGATTCCACGGCCTCAAAGAAAACCTGTGTTAAGCAGTTTTTTCGTTGCTTTTCACCGAGTGAGAGAGGTTTCCGGAGCCCAAACCCTCTCCTTTTCCCTGATTCTGAGGGGAGGGAATAAAACGGGACGGTAATCTAGGGGAGAGTGGGGGAATCACGGACGCGGGGTAATCGCGGATACGTTCGTTTGGCTATGTTAGAAATGGATAGAAGATATTCCGAGTAATGCAATCGTGAGTCGATCCCGAACGTAGTGCCGAACAAAGAGTGGTGAAGCAACAACGCACTCTGTGTAAAAGGTATGTTAACTTTTTGTTTTTTCAACAATTTCATATAATTTTTGAGTAAAATTGAATAGATATATAATATTTTAGGTGTAACATAGAAATTCGGTATTTTTTTTATGAATTAACGTCCTAATTCAAGAATGTTTCTAAGGACTTGCCGCGTGTATCACGCGATTCTAACCTAAAAAAAAAAATAGTTTTGTGATAACGTGTCTGTTGGGTAATTACGGACGATTTCAGTGGGGTAACCCCGACCGTTCGTAATTACCCCTGAACAATTAAATTATTGTTTTTTATTTTATAATTTATGTCCAGCAGTCGACTGCATTGCGTTGATGATAATAATGATGAATTTTGATGAAATACATTTGAGGAAGTTTGTTTTTATGTTTCTCTGCTTTCAGCACTGTACCCTCACGAGCTTATTTATATCTACTCAAATATGTTTCAGATGCCACGAAATTACCAAAGAAAGACGGAGACCAAATACAAATTAGAAGACTTAGAAAGAGCCATTCGGGTTGTTAAGAGCAAAAACTTTCACTAGGAAAAGCAGCTGCTACTTATTCTATTCCAAAAAGTACTATATACGACCATCTCAAAAAGGAAGTTATAAAAGAACCAAAAACTGGAAGGAAGCTAAGAAAAAGACTGTAGGCTCTATTTTCTGAAGAACAGGAAAAAGAATTAGAAGAACATATCATAAAATGCTAAGAAAACCAAAGAAAGAGATGCGAAAGAAAATGAGTATTTTTGCTTAGTTTGTGATGAAAAATATGAAGATCCTTCACATGAAGATTGGATAAAATGCTAGACATGTAATCTATGGGCCCATGAAAAGTGTACGAGTGGTGAAAGTACATCAAAAGGATTTATATGTGATTTTTGTGATGATTAGATTATGTCCGTGATTACCCCACACACCATTCGTAATTACCCCACGTGTTGTGGGGTAATCCCGAACCCCATAGTTTTGTTTTCTTATTAATATTCGTTTCTGTATTGAAAGTTTATCTATGTTGTTTATCAGAACTTAAGGTTCATTAGTTAAAGTAAATGTTAAGTAATAAATGACATTCGTAACTTAATCTGGTTTTGTTTAATTTCAATTTCCCCTTAAGTGTTCGTAATTTCCCCACTCTCCCCTACTGATGAGTCTAAGTTTCAGGAGTCCATGGGCAGTGGTAGTCACTTACCATCATTCGACCTGTCTGCTCGCTTGCCCCCAAACCCCATAAAAAAACCAATCGATCTTTTGATCGCACTGGACGGCGGCGAACTGACCCATAGCCGATGTGGACATTAGTTAGCTGCGAAGTTAACCGAACGACGCACAACACTTTACGACACTGTTTTGGCGCAGGCGAAACCGAAACTAGAATAAAAATTTCGTGTCTGGTAACAAACGCATACCCCCCCTACAATCCCCCCCGGCCTACTGCGCTGTATACGGAACCGGGACAAACTCTTCCTTAAAACTAAAAAAGACCGGAAAATAATGTTGCTAAAGTAACCTATAATCGATACAGGAACTTCTGTAATAACACCCTGAAAAGGGTAAAGAGGGAATATGAACGGGAAGAATTTAAGCGTCTTAGTAAAAATCCTAGGCACATGGGAACTCATAAAGAAGTTAGGGAATATAGGTAAAGAAAAAATGCCAACTAACGAGCTTATAGGTACATGTAACGATCCCCAAAAAACCTGGCATCTAACATTTTTTCTTCAACAAATGTAGTCAACATTCATCCTGTCATCAGCCAATCCTCGCCATTAAACTCAATATCCCTCTTTGTCACTGACGATGCAGAAATTGATAGACTTATTATAGGACTTAAAAGCACATCCGCCACTGGATGGGATGGTATACCTTCCTCTATAGTAAAGGGTGCGAGAGACATACTTGTGCCTATTATTGTACATGTGATTAACCTCTGCATAACACAGGGTCTGTTTCCTGATGTTTTTAAGATTGGATTGGTGCATCCTATATACAAGGGCGGTGACAGGGGCAGTGTCTACAACTATAGACCGATCTCGGTTCTATCCACTTTATCTAAAATTCTAGAGAAGGTACTTGACATTAGGCTTATAAAGTATTTAGGTGGTAACACTATACTGGCTCAAAATCAATTCGGTTTTCGTAGTGGGAAATCAACTGAAGATGCGGTTTTAGCTTTAACAGACTCGATTGTTCAAAATCTTAATAAAAAGCTAAAATCTATTACTATATTTCTGGATCTCTCCAAAGCTTTCGACACTGTCTCGGTTCTCATCTTACTCAGAAAGCTGGAATGCATGGGTTCTAGAGGTATGGCCCACGACATCTTTAAAAGTTATTTCGAAAATCGGTTTCAGTGTGTTAGGATTGGTGATCTTGTGAGTGGGAGACAAAGGTTGCAATTTGGTGTTCCTCAGGGAAGTGTGCTAGGGCCAACACTTTCTTATTTATATAAATGATCTTTGCAAAATGGCCCTACCACACTGTAAGATCATAACTTACGCCGATGACACGGTTTTACTTGTAAGTGGCACAGACTGGACGCACGCTAAATTCAATGCAGAGACAGCGTTATCTGCTGTAACTCATTGGCTTGCTCGTAACCTCTTAACGCTCAACGTTCAAAAGACTAATTTTATGACCTTTAAATCAAGCATAACAACCTTGCCCGATACATCTTTTAATTTAATCTCTCATTCAAATACGTGTAATAACGCGTGCTCCAACTGTAACTGTTTCCAGATTACCGAGGTACCCACTATTAAGTACCTGGGGGTTTGGATTGATGATCGTCTATCCTGGAAGGAGCACATTAAGGTGACCTCTGCCAGAGTTAGAAAATGTATGTATATTATCATGGAGATGAATGGAGATCCTACCTGTAATTTGTCACATTCCCAACTATTCAATATCAATCAAGGCTTTTCCATCTGCATGGAAAATGGCTCAAGTTATTCCTCACCCCATGAAATGTAATCTGTCCTCCATCTCAGATGACTGTCCCATATCTATCCTTCCTTTTTTCCAAAGTCCTCGAGCGTATCATTAACACACAGTTAAGTTCGGTCCGTGTGGTAACGGATTAAGAATACGGAATGTCACCACCCCTGTTCATCCCGTGGGTGTCGTAAGAGCCGACTAAGGGAACAAACTTGAATGTTTGATTTGGTCTGGGTGTTTCTATGTATAATATGTATGTATTTACAAAAAAAACAAACAAAAATGTATATATGTATTTATATCAGTTGTCTAGTACCCATAGTACAAGCTCTGCTTAGTTTGGGACTAGATGGCGTTGTGTAAATGTAGTAAAATATATTATATTATATTAAACTACGCAGAACACCAGCACTGCAGAGAGAAGAAAAACTTGATACAAACCCTATACCAACCCGCCTGGCCAGCGTGGCATAGTAGGCCAAAACCTCCTTTCTAAGGAGAGGCCTATGTCCAGCAGTGGACTATTAAAGGCTGATGATGTGATGTGATGATGTGAAGTTCGGTCCTCTCAAGAAGTCTCCTTTATCCTTTCCAGTTAGGTTTCCGTCCAAGCCGTAGCACTACCACAGCTCTAATCTATATTGCGGACGACGTTAGGTCGGGCAGGGATAGAAAGCTAACGGTCTTTTTGCTTTATTAGACTTTAGCAACGCCTTCAACACTGTGATTTTGATGTCTTGTAAGGTATATTGTGCTCTCTTAACATATATCCATCGGCAATTGACTGGTTTCGTGGTTACCTGTACGGTCGCCAGCAGGAGGAAATGTTTACTCCAAGCAGTGGATGCCAATAATAGACTTAATGCAAAAATACCGGTTGTTTATTGCAATGGCTTGGTTGTTCCATACAGTGGAAAAAGTAAAAAAAACTTAGGGGTCTATATGGATAGGTACCTGTCCTGGGGCCATCAGATCGGAGAAGCTTGCCGCAAACCATTTGTAGCAGCTGGATCTCTGCGAAGGCTACGGACCTTGCTTTCCACCAATACTAAAATTGCGCTCGCACAATCTCTTCTTCTTCCCATCCTTGACTATGGCGATATCAGCTCTCTGGATCTCACGCAAGACCAACTGAATAAACTTGTGCGACTCCAAAATCTCTGTACGAGCTCGTACAATTAGATTCATATTTGGATTATGCAAATATAATCACATCTCAGAGTATCGTTCTAAACTCAAGTGGCTACCAATACAAGAGACAACACACATAAGGTCATCGGAGAATTTAAAAAGTAAAAATGCCACAGAATTACATTCAGTTTGCAGACAAACCTGCACTAGTTTTTTAGTTTTTAGTGGAGGTTTTTGATTTTTCATTATAAATACTGTTGGTTTCATTATATATTTTATATATAAAATTCTCGTGTCACAATGTTCGTTCCCGTACTCCTCCGAAACGGCTTGACCGATTCTCATGAAATTTTGTGTGCACATCGGATAGGTCTGAGAATCGGCCAACATCTATTTTTCATACCCCTAAATGGTAAGGGTGACCCATCCCTAATTTTTTTTTGTTTTGATTTGGATTGATTGTTATGTTATGTAAAAAAAAAATCTTTGACAAATACACACGCCGGCAAATTAGCGGAACACAAAAAAAAAGGGGAATATAAAATAATTAATTTAAATAAATAATGCTTAAACATGAAACAAAAATTAAATTAACATGTTTTGACATTAATTTGCAACATCAAACTTAAAGGTTAATGAAAAAAACTAAGTAAACAAAATGAACTTTTTCTTAGATTTCGTGAATTTCTTAGATTCAGTTAAAAATTTAAGATTTTGTGACGGTTAACAATTAATTAAATGAATGTTTAACATCTAGTGTTTCCCCCCTGTGCTCTGATTATGGTTTCCCTCCGTCTGGGCATGCTGCGGATGATGTTGTCAATGATTTCTTGGGGGCAACCTCTGCCGTTCTTCGAGTAATGCGTGTCGCAACTCGCCCAGATTTTTGGAAGGTGGCATTCTTGATTTGACAGTCCTCTTTAGAAATTAGAAGTCCCAAACGTGTTCAATTGGATTCATACCGGAGCACAGTCCCCAAATACGAATCCAATTGAACACGTTTGGTTCTTGTTAAAACCAGGCAGGCAAAGGCCAGGACAGCAAAAAGATTTACATAAAGGTGAAAATGAGTTAAAACATCTCAATTACATTTTTAATAATCCATACAAACAGAGATATATATAATATAATCCAAGTATAGTACAATAATAATCCATGGACAACACGCAGTGTGTCTATGTACAGCGAGACGTCACAGGCCTAAAGGATAGTCGATAATCTCTACTACTCGCTAGTCGACACTTCATTCAGTCTTCTCGTTACACTCAGCTCATACAGAACGACACGTCGTGATTGCATCCCTGACTCGCGTAGCTGAACAACTGTGTGCCTATGTGAGCACTCAGCGGGGCAAGTATTAGGCCGTCAGTTCAGATATGCCGGAAGGTGAGGCCTCTATTATTACGATTGGTTTACAGTTACAGGTCAGTTTTGATGCGCGTACATATAAATATGTAATGGGCGAGCGGTCAATCGATCGAGCACTTTCACATTGTTCATCGAAAGACGCGACGGGACGAAATCAAAGTGGAAGGTTTATAGTAAGTCTGTAACAACAAGATACAACAGAGAGAGCGACGGCTCCCTCCACACGACACAGGGATGACACGATGACACGACACCTACTAGCTGCTACGGATATGGTCGGCGTTGGTCCCGGCGCGGGTCCGCGGAGCGCCTCACTTGATGGAGCACGTGAACTGAGCGCGCAGGCGCTGCAGCGCCGACAGCTCGGCCTGCAACAACAACTCGGGTGAGAACTCGGTCGGTGGCACCGGCCCCCTCGCCCCGGTCCCCCCGCGGGTACGTACTTTGTGGGGCTCGGCGGCGGCGGGCGCGTTGTCGTTGTGCAGGTCCCCGGCGCACAGCTGTGAGGCGGTGGCGGCGACGGGCACGGTGCCGCACGTGGCGTTCCCGTTGTCATCCGTGTCGGAGCGCGAGGCGCTGCCGGTGCTGTCCCACACGCCGGCGGACGCACTGTCCGTCTGCTCGGTGCGGCGCGACAGCGACAGTGAAGGCGAGGAGTGGCCCAGCGCCTCCGACGAGTCGAGCTCCAGCGACGACTGCGAGCGACACGAGTCGCCCGAGCGCGAGAACGAGCGGGACGCGGCGCCTCCCTCACCCTCGGAGCCCTCTGACTCCTCCGATGAATCGCCGCCCTGCTCCATCATCTCCTGCCGACACGCGAACGTGACAACGAACTTGTCGGCTCCGAGCCCGGGCCAGGAAGGACGCGCCCGACAAGCTGCGCATCCATTTATACAACCTCGGGGTAGGTGTGTAGGTAGATTGGTCTTGTTGTGTCTAGGCGTGTCCCTATCGGATCGGGTCTAGTAAAACTACTGTGAATGGAGGCGTAGCATCTGATACGTACGTGCTTTTTTTGAGTTGGTGTGATATTTGGCAGATCTGCAGCGGGAGCGCTGGTCTCCTCGCTGGAGCTACCGCGTGGGCACTCCGCGTCTGCAACGGTAGGCAAATAAACGTTTACATCTCTGTTGTTCATTTCTTAATTTGGGTCATAGAATGTTTATGGTGGGTACTCTACGAATAACAGTTTCTATATTATTGAAGTGGTTACTTGAATAATTTACGTATTTATATTTAAATTGAGAGTTACCAAGACCAAGTTTATAAGTGCTACAGATGCTGGGACACAATATAGCTCACCTGGTCGTTTTTGTGCTTGTACCTTCTGCTGCAATAGTGGGTAGAAACCGCGTGCCGTAGCGTTGTGGGGCTCGTACTGCAAGATGAGACGGCAGTACTTGAGTGCCTCTGCATACTGGCGTCGCATTATAGAGGACAGGAACTGAAAATAATCACATCAAATATATAGTAATATATTCTATCGAGTCTTCTCGTTCTTTCTTCCCCTTCACTTTCTCCCTTCACGTTCGCCTTCACAATCACAGTAAATCCGAATCGACCACAGCATCGAGACTAATACACGGTCGTAGGCTTAACTCACCTCCGCCAGAAACTCGCTGGGCGCGGATAATGTGTCGTTTCCGTCGGAGCAGTCCTCCGGACTGGTGGACTTCCTGTTTCCTGCGTCCATTATGGGAACGAAGGCCAACGGGTCCACTCGCCCGCCTACCGGCGTCGAGTCTCCGGAGACGTCCGTGTCCAGCGAGCGCAGCCGGAAGTGGGCGCTTGCTGGTACGTATCGATGGGTTGCGGCGGTGGCCACCGGCGGCAACGTTACTACGAGGGGTGGTGCGGGATTGGCCGAGGGAGCGCGACTTGGCGGCGGGCCTGCCCGACCGCGGCGCTGCTCGTTGAGGCGGAACGCGGCGTCCGACGCAGTATCGAGGCGGACAGACGGCACGGGCGGCGACCACGTGGCGTTTGGAAAAGCGGGAGGAGGCACGCGCCGGACCGCGGGCGGAACCGGCTGATACAGGCGCGGGTTGGGCACCGTGCGCCGGAACACGCGCTTGCGCCGCCGCCCGCGTCCCTCTCCGCCGCCGCGGCTGTCCACCTGCCTCTGTTGAGCTTTCGGCTTGGCGTGCACGGGGCCGGGGTACCTGTTCGTCAACAACATGAGGTCAAGACCATCTGATGTTCGGACTTTCTGAAGAAAATGTTTTAAGTAAATACCGATAGAACAAAATATCAGCTATCTAGCCTTTGAGCAGTTACAGGTTATTTAAATCAACCCTTGGTGTAGAACTGAGTGAAACGATATAATGAGACCCGTGGAAGTTGATTACTGTACATTCATCTTCATTACTGTACAATATACCTAATAGGTACTGTAGGTACAGTAATGAAGATGGGCATATAATAATTTTGAAATTGTTGTCTTCGAAATATTAGGTCCTTACATATGAAATTAGCGTTTTGTCGTTCTGACCACTTTGATCTCAAATATCTCCTCTTTGGTATAAATTCATTTAGCTAGTACATTTGAGTTTTGAAAACAGTCATTCATTTGTTTATTCCTCTTTTTTTTTCTTTGGCGTCGCTTATTACCGCACAATGGAAAACATAAAATATCGGTATATTTACGAGTACGAGTTCTTCCGTGGCACCAATGCTGCAGAAACAGCTCGAAGGATTAATTATGTGTACGGCGCTGGTGTCGCAAAAGAAAGCATGGTACGTTTTTGGTTTCAACGTTTTCGTTCTGGAAATTTCGACCCCGGAGACCAAAGTGCATAAATGAATTAAAGGGCTATTGTGGAAGCGGATCCATCACAAAGCCCTTCAGAGATAGCTGCAGGCTTCGGGGTAAGTGATAAAACTGTATTAATCCACTTCCACCACACACACACACACTGAAGCAAATCGGGAAAGTAAAAAAACTTGAACGATGGGTACCTCATGAATTGAGTGAATCGAACTTGCAAACACGCGTCGACTGCTGCGTTACTTTGCTCGACCGACACAATAATAAAGGTATTTTAAATCTAATCATTACTTGTGATGAAAAGTGGATACTGTACGATAAGCGGAAGCGCTCGAAGCAGAATGGCTGAACCCTGGAGACCCACCCAAATCCTGCCCTAAACGAAAATTGACTCAGAAAAAGTTACTTGTGAGTGTTTGGTGGACTCGTTCACTACAGCTTTCTATAATCTGCAAAACGATTACGGCAGATATCTATTGTCACTAACTGCAAACCATGAAGGAAGAACTAGCTGCTAAACAACCGAGATTGGTCAATCGCTCTACGCCACTGCTGCTTCACGACAACGCAACACCACACACTGCACAACCACTAACTTAAATTAGCTATAATTGGAATGTCTGCGATATCCACCGTACTCCCCGGACCTTGCTCCAACAGATTACCATTTTTTCCGGAATTTAGACAACTTCTTACAAGGAAAAAATTCAACTCCGATGCGGTAGTCCAAACGGCCTTCAAAGAGTTTATTGATTCTCGCCCCCATGGTTCTTTTAGTAAAGGGATCAATGAACTACCTATGAGATGGAAAAAGGGCATAACAACGGTGCATACTTTGATTAATTAAATATATTTTACAAAAAAAAATGACTTTATATTCCACCCGTACAAAACGCTAAATTCATATGTAAGGACCTAATATATAAAAGCATCACTACAATGTTTTCTTTCTATTTAATATTGATTTTAAGTCCATTAGGAGCGTTTGGTTAATTCGCATTTGGTCCAATTCGCGGTTGGTTCAATTCGCGATTGGTTCAATTCGCGGTTGGTCCAATTCGCGATTGGTCCAATACGATGTTTTATTAAATAAAACAATAACATTAGTTAAGTGCCAATATTTTGTCGTATTGTGTCCGTGTGGTGACGGATTAAGAATACGGAGTGTCACTACCCCTATTTATCCCGTGGGTGTCGTAGGAGCCGACTGAAGGAACAAACTACGCAGAACAACAACACTGCAAAGACAAGGGAAACTTTAAAGAACCCGTCTGGTCAGCGTGGGTAGGCCAAAACCTCCTTTCTGAGGAGAGGCCTATGTCCAGCAGTGGACTATTAAATTCTCTTGATAATAAGAATGATGATGATGAATACGTTGCCGTTTGATGTAATATTAAATTATTTATTAAAATATAAGAACCACATTTGTGTTACATTGTCATAATTTAAATAGTATGTCGAAGTAGTATCACATTTATAATCACTACTAAATTCCTTATTTTTTTTAGACAAATAAAAAGGATAAAAAGGACATAATTGTTCATTTTTGTTTCATCATAGCTTTATTTTAATTGTATAATAATAATATTTTTCGAACAGTGACACACCACGCCATCTAGATTCAAACTAAGCATAACTTGTACTGTCAAAGCTAGATTGACAATATGTTTGATGAAATAGTATGATCAAAGGGGGTTTTTCTCTTTCTTACTTATGCACATAAGGAAAGAGAGAGAGAAAGAAGATCCATGGGGTAATATAATTATATATTACATAGATATTATTATACAACCATATAATTCTGTAACTATACGAGTACATAAATGTTAGAAAGTAACGACCTCTGTGATTTAGCGGTTGGAGTGATAGTCTCCTATGTCTATGATGGGTCATGGATTCGATTTCCACACAGTCCAAAAATATTATTATTACAAAAAATCATCAAACAATTATTTTTTAATACGCTATAACTTGGTAGAATGAGTGGATTTTCGTGCCACTTAGGTCCCATAATATTTTGTGTACCTACGTGATACTTTTCTGTTTAAAAGGACATATGCCTATTTTTACTTCCTTGTTGTCTCCCACTTTCCTAAGGAGGGAAATAATTTATTACATTTCCTACCTTTTTCTTTTGACTAAAATCGTTGAGGGTTTTAAGACGGTTTAATTGTTCCGGGAAATTCCTGAGTGTCATAACTCGGTGTGTTCCTGGGTCACTGGCGTCACTGCTGTTGATCACGGTGTACAGGGGTTAAAGTGATGGTAATAAACGAAAGTAGGTAGATGAGTGTATTAATATGTGCGTTTATTGTTAACAATCCACTTGCAAACCTTATATAACGCGGGGTATAAGTACCTAATGTGCAGAAGTTCGTGTTATGACTAAACTTCATTTTTGATTAGCTTTCAGCCAAGTGTCTGTCTTCTAAGTCGTCGTTTGTCTATTTTGCTTAAGAATTACTTTGCTATACACCTGAATCTTAGATGGACTACATCGCGCCATGTCTAACGATTATGTACGTATGCAAACTTCTTATTAACACTTCTTCCTAATATAAACACTGGTAGTTGTTACACTGCATGTGATATTCAGCTTATTGCCAGATAAATCACAATTCGGCTATTTCAACTGATCAAGACTCATTTTGAGATCAATTTTACACGTTTTAAATGTGTCAACAACAACAAACTCTAGCCTAAGTAGAATATACCTATACTTAACTACAAGTACAAATACCAAAAAGTCTATACCCAGTAAAAACCAAAAGTGCTAAGGGAGTAAGGGAAAGTTACTAGGTTTAAAAGGTCTAGGAGTCTTTCTAGCTACCGAGCCATATCGTAGTAGGTCTAACTATTTATATTATACTAAGCCTAAAGCGCGATTTGTTTTGTCGTAACTATTGATATGATACATTACACTAGATGAATAATTACCGCCTAAAATCGTTGCCTCTGCACATCTATCCACAGCCATGAGCGTAGCAAACGTCAATTCAGTGTTCAATGTGGCGTCAACCGAGTTGAACATAGCGTGACAATAACAATAGCCAAAATGGGTAAATGCGTAGTGTAAGAATGCGATTCAAGGTCACAAAAACAATATAAATCACGCGGAATTACTTTTCACATGTAAGTTTACAGTTTTTGTGTTGATAATATCGTAAATAAGGCTATAATTGAAATAAAAAAATTGAAAATTGACATTTGGAATCCCACATTAATGGGAGAATTTATAATTTAAGAAATAATATGCTTTATACTGTTTTTAAACATTTTGCCAATACTAATAAAATATAGTAAGAAGGGTACTTATTAGGGCTGGACCGATCACTTTTTTTAGGGACCCGTTGAACGTTATCCTTCTGCCGCTCGCAGTACTGAAGACTTTTGTACAAAAGAATTAATTCATTGTTTTTTCTTAATTAATTATGAATTTTAATAATAATAATAATTGTACAGGATACCTAAAGATGCAGCACGCCGTGAGAAGTGGGTTGAAGTAATTTTATGTTATCCATCGAAACATGTATGTGAAATATGTATGAGTTGCGAAAGCATTATAAGACATGCCATAAAACTTTCAGACTCCAGGTCTTTGTCTCCTAAATTTGGGCTCATGGTATTAGCGTCAAAAACCTTAGAGAAGCTTCAAGGAAACAAAATATTAAAAGCATTTGCAATACACCCTGGGTATTATTTATCATCAGTACAAGTTGATCATTTACTTTTATTATTAAATACCATTATTTATACATAAGTAAAAATAAGATTGTATCATGAAAGTAAATTATCCACACAAACTTATAAAAAGAGTCTAAAAGACAATTATATACAAAACTGATGCTTCACAGCCGAGTTTGATTTTACAGTTGACAAGGGTTTATCTTGTGACAAAATATTTCCAGTTATTTTATTATTTATACCTATTCCATTCAATTAGAAATATATTATTTAAAATATTTAAATTAATTTATTTTATTACAAAATTGTTTTAAAAACTCTTTTTGTGTTTTGGTTTTTATGGGTAAAATTTCATACGGTAGTCAACACTGGCCCGCCGTCGTAAAGTTATGTCTTTGTCTAATCCGAGCGATGGTATTGTTCTTGCCACGCGTGTAAGTGAGACATAAATATGTTTACTTTCAAATGTTTAGTGGTATCAAAGCTACGTCGTCAAAGTTCAAAAGTGGTTACACTTTCTTCCACGTGCGATAATGAGGTTTGCTACTCTAGTGTTGTTTTAACTCAATGGTCGTAACGCGAAGTAGTTGTTCTGCTTATTATTGCTTTTATGTACCCCGCATAAAGGCATTGGACTAACGATAACATTGTTCTGACATCTTGATATTTGCTTTCCTCTCGCCATTTGTGTAAAAACAAAAACAAACTATTTTTTTTTACATAAATACATAACTATTTCTAATACTCAGACTCACGACAAACATCTATGTTCATCACATAAAAGTTGCATACTTCTACTACACTCAAACCGTTAGACCACGGAGATCACAAGCTGTGAATTGGACAAACCGCGAATTAGGACCAAATGCGTTGGGCACGCCGTCATTGCGGCGGTAAGACCCGTTATGGAGGATTGGCTCGAGAGGCGTCACGGGACCCTCTCATACCGATTGACGCAGGTGATCACTGGGAAGGGATGTTTCGGAGATCACCTGTGTCTGATCCGCAAGGAGCCAACGCCTGAGTGCCACCACTGCGATGGCCAGACCGTGGACACGGCTCTCCACACGCTGGCAGAGTGCCCGGCGTGGGTTGAGCAGAGGCGAGACCTCGTGGCGGCCATCGGAGTGGGAGTTCTCTCGCTCGATAGCCTGATTGCGGCTATCGTGCGGAGCGAGAGTGCGTGGAACTCTGCCGTCTCCTTCTGCGAGCAAGTTATGCTCGCGAAGGAGACGGCGGAGCGGGACCGGGAGAGGTTTAGAACTCTCCCGGCCCGCCAGGCCCGGGCACGGGCCAGGCAGCGCAGGCGACTCAGGCGCCGGAGGTCGCAGAACGACCTCCGTCCTCCATAAGCGCAGGCCTGGGGGTGACAGGTGAGGCCATCTGTCACCCTAGCAGAAGCAGGCCGGGGTGGCGGCGAGCGCGTTGCGAAGCGCGCTCGCTTCCAGGGAGCACAGGGAACATGGGGTTCCCACACGGGGCGGGGGTCGTCTACTCGTCTGTAGATGACCCGAGGTATGTCGGGGCACCAGGGCCTTCCTTTCTAGGGTATACCTGGTTCCCCGGCTATTAGTACCCGGCGAAGGCGTGCGGTTTTAGTCGGTTCGAGTCCGACATGCCACCGACAGGTGGTATCCGAGGGGATTTCCGCACGGAAAAAAAAAAAAAAAAAAAAAAAAAAAAAAAAAAAAAAGGACCAAATGCGTATTGGAAACAACGCGCCTAAAGGATTGTTTGTATTACTGACGCCTCTTCTGTTTCTACTTTTGTACTTATTGTGATTAAGTAGAGAGAATTAATTGTGACAAAAGCATATAAAGCTGTGAATACTTTATATGTAGAATCGCATACATTCAGAAATTATATGAAAACTCCTATATAGAACCATAAAGCTATACAGAAGAGAATATGTGTTGACCAGACAATGTGCGGTGTTGCGTGTTTTAGGAGATTACTCAGAAATTGCAGGCCATTAGAGACGTACTGGTTATTATTTAAATGACAACTTAAAAAAGAGTTTTTTGCAATGTTTTAACAAGCAGAATGACTGAGTTTATGCTTAAAGCTCTATAGAAGCCTCCCAAATAGCAAAGTACCTACCTACAACATGGGCATTTTCCGACGTAAGTGGTGGTTTGGTGAGGTGTTAGCTATCAAACAGGGACTGAGCCATATTATTGTGAAAAAGATGTCAAAACGTCAGCACAAGTGATCAAGATACGATTCACAACAACATGCTCCATAACCAAGAATGGCCCTTGCAGCAAGACTCAGCATCGGGATATAGAGCTCGATCCACCCAAACGTGATTGGAAACGAACGTTTCTGACTTCATCAGAGCTGAAGACTGGGCGTCATCTCGTCCCGATCGTAATCTGCTGGGTTATCATTTTTATTTCAGTTTTAGAGAGTAGGTATGGTATGCTCTAAACGCCATGATAATTTGGAGTCCCTTAATCTATCCATAAGACTGCATGTGAAGAATTTACCCTAAGAGTGACTGTTTCTATTGATAACAGGAACTATTTAACTTTTCAAGCTAACTCAGAACATTTTAATAGAGCTTCAAATATTTTTAACGCTATTACTAATTTAAATAAAATAATAAACCACCAACAGCCTATAACAGTCCACTGCTGGACATAGGCCTCTCCTTAGAAAGGAGGTTTTGGCCTACTATACCACGCTGGCCAAACGGGTTGGTATAGTGTTTGTTTAAAGTTTTCCTTCTCTTAGCAGTGCTGTCGTCCTGCGTAGTTTGCACCCTTAGTCGACTCTTACGACACCCACGGGATGAATAGGGGTGGTGACATTCCGTATTCGTAATCCGTCACCACACGGACAAAATACTAAACAATAAGATTTAAATACATAATTATTACAGTAATTTTCTATGCAATAGAAAAAAATGATTTTTCGTTGTAAAAGTATGTGCGGCAAGAATAGGTATAAAACCGAAAATAAATATATTGTATTTCAAACAGACACTTACAGTCGGGGGTTGGGTATGTACGAGGCGCGGTACAGGTTCGGACGCACGGCGCGCGGGCCCCCGTTCGGCGGGACTGTTCGCAACAGCCGCGGCGCGCCCAGGTCGATCACGTCGGTAGGCTCCGGGGCTAGTGCTTGTGCCAATCTGCACCACAAACTCATATTTGATGATTTGATTCGTATGCAAAAGAGCAATTCATTGCAAGCGGCTACAACTTGGATAATGGGTCATGGATAATGGCCTGAGGTGGATTATTTAGTCGCTCTGTGTCATACAGCTCACTCGTAGTGGAATAGGCACTTAGTGATTTGTCAATTACTTATAATATTTAAATGTGGTTAGTCTCACGAGCAAAGCTAAATGACAGAATTACTAGCAATAGAGAGCTGGACGAACGCGTAGGAAGTAGGATTACCTAGTTGTTCAGAGAAACATTTTACCGAGTCATGGTTTGTAGTCCAGTTCTTTGAGTTGAAATCCCTCAAAAACTTAAAATGGTAATAATAGAATTTGTTGCCAATAGTAACTTTAATGTAGAGTCCAATAATCAGTGGGTAGAGGTAAAGGAACAACGAAGCATACCGTCTTTGTTTGGACGAGGACGTGGGGGCCGTTGTGGGCCGCACCACTATCACGTCGGTGACCCGCTCCTGCGGCGGTTCGACCGGCGCGCGTCCGCCCTTTCTGTAACAACACACCGCCGTCAGCGGCCTCTCCCGCCCTTATCCTCCTAGCATTTTTGTATTTTTACTTTAATGCCTTCGGTTCTTTGTATACACGGCTGTACCAATTTGAACACCTCGGTAGATGCTGCTAGTCATTATAATTTGTGCCTCAAAGCAATTCATAGTTTGCAGTCAGTGCGCAGTTTACTATCAAATTTAATGTTAAAAATATCTATTAGATATTTTGCTTTGTTGGAATCTATTCCGACTAATAAATATGTGGTGTATTTGTCAATTGTCTGTTTGGATCTACAACCGCTCGCTTCCATGGGGTTGAGCCTTATTAAAAGAAAGGGCAAACAAACTCACGGCCACTCTTTCAATTACAGCTAGATACAGTCCTATCATTAACTATTTCAGTTGTTAATTACTAAAGGATAAAAGCAATGAAGAGAAAACAAGAAAAAGATGAAATAAAATTAGAAAATGAAGTATAACATAAAAAAATTGAAAAATAAATAAAAAAGACTTCCACACACATCCCACACTACATTTGCACTTTATATTAATCCCAATCACTTTTGTCTTGTATATAATCCACAATCGAGTAATACCTACTGCTGCGAGTATGCCTTCTGACACAACCTACGCCTTTCATTACACAGTACCATCTATAGTTATTGTATGATATTTCATTGTGTTTGCAATTAATACCTTAATTATTATAATTGTACCGTGCCTTAATCTTTCACATTAAGTTTAAATTGAGACTAACGAAAGACTAAAAAACGTTTGTTTTAATAAATTTCTTGTCGTGTCTCTTTTACCAGAACAACTTTATTTTATAAATATTTTTATGTATGTTTGTCGTATTGTCTACTTTGACTGCCAAGGGCCAGTGCGCAATGTCCCCGCGAATATCGCCGCGTCGTCTACTTCACAATGGCTACAAAGTTTTATGTTGTGCTCGTATTTACATAAATAAAATAAACTGATACCGTAGATTAAGTGAGTGAACAAGACGTCACATTCGCATTAAAATTTAATGAATAGACATAAAATTCAGTAAATATCAAGTGTAATTAATATATTTTTATAAAAATAACGTTAGTTACAAAACGTTAACAAAACATTACTCGTAATACACACGACTTATACATTATTTTGATTGTTTAAATAAGAAGTTGTGTTAATTCATAGGAGTCGATTTTTAGGCCTCGTCGACCCCCAAATGCAGTTTTAGTTTATGTCGACCCCTGGCAATTGGATTTCGGGGTAGATATCGACCACTTTTTGAATCCCTGGTCGAAGGGATATTCAATCCACTTAAAAAATATTTTCATATGACTTAAAAAGGAAGTGAGAGTTTACACAGTATTTAATACTACATTGGATGGACACAGAGCACAAAAAAATTCTGCTCAAAATGGGAGCCCACGTGCAGGCGAAATAAAAATGTACAGGTACACTATTTTATTCACTTATTAAATAATTGAACAATTTATTACTCGTACAATTGTGTTTGAACATCATAAAATGAATAGATGAAATGCTATGTTTGGGAATATCTTAATAATAAATGTAGAACACGTCACGTACGGTCCACAAGTACCCGACATCAATGAAGGGCCCATTAAGTTCCCACCAGGAAGCAGCGAGTGCGAGATGTGATTATCGACCAAGCACACCGAACGCAGGTTGCAAGGAGCTCCGCGCCCCGCGCCTTCTGCAATCGCTCACATCATTATAACCTTGGCAACCGACCCACAACTTACTGGCGCGCCTCGGATCCATCATTTATGCATCGCATTTACTCCGTCTTATTGCCTGTCAGCGTCTCATACACCTATCATGAATAACGTACATTTGTCTAGAGTTGTTCTTTTTATATTTTTAATAAACCTACTTGGGCCATGGGTAGGCACATCCTTTCACTTTTACTTTTCCAAAGTAATTTTTATAATGAATTACGGTCGGCATTTCAAATATTTATCACAGACATAAGTATCAAGAAATTAAATGTAACGTTGTACTTCATCAGGAGTAGAAGCAACAAAAATAATGTGTTGCACTCACCGTGATGTGCGTAAGGAAGCCACGCTAGATTGTTCTCGTCAAAACAAAAGCACACTACAATTGTATTGATTGTGGGAGCAACAGATAGTGTCGAGGAACCGGCGAGGGAATGCTGGCAAGTCGCAGGGCAGCGCGGCGCCCCCTAGGCGGGTGGTGGTCGGTGGCCGGAGGCCTGAGACCTGGGTGCGGCGACACAGGCACTTACTTGAGTGGCGAGGGTGCTGGGTGCGCGCGGCGGCAGGTCGCGGGCGGCGACACGAGCTGCCTGCGCGGCCTCTCCGGGCTGACTCGTTCGTTCTCGCGCGAGTCGTCGTCGACTGCGAACGTGCACCGCGCATGACCAACCTTCTTTGTTCCGATTGGACTCACACTAAACGCCGATTCTTAATGTAATGTTATTTTATCACACAATACTTGCAAAAGTTGCTTCTTATTTTTGATTTCAAACTATTGGTATCTAGCTACTGACAAATTAAATGTTGCTCAGTTTGTAATCTGCTAATGCTTACGATTAGGACTCCTATTATTTTCGATTTTCACAAAAACAGAGATTCAGTGCGTGCTTATCCAAAAGTTCAGTGATGATGACAATTATACTAAATAGTCGCAACATGAAAAAGGTAAACACTTACGCGGTTGGGGCGGTCTTGTTTTTAATTACCATTTTATTATCTTAAAAATACTAAGCTACAAACAATTTAACATATTTTTGTTAATTTTCTAAACGAAATAAACTAGCAAGACACTAAATCAATTGACAAACATTTAAAAAATAAACAATAGAATTCATAAATTGCTTATCTATAATAGCGTCAATGCGCCTACATACACCTCTTTGATCGAAAGCTCATAATAAAGCTATGTATGTAATCACTATTATTTATAAATTCAAATTACAGGCACATATTGGATCTAATCTTGAAGTTACAATGTTATCTATATTTTTTAAATAAGTAGTCTATAATGTCAATGGCAACAAAGGGTGCAAATTTGTGATGAATTGCTTCAAAAACAAAGAGTAGTGCAAAGTTAGGTGCATTCTCGCAAGATTAAAATATACTTAAACATAGTCACACGCAGGGCCGTCTTAAACTATGCTGGGGGCCCTGGGCGCACAAGAATTTGGGGCCTTGTTGGACAGTAAAACTTTAGCTGTAAAAATGAGCGCCCACCACTACAATTGGTAACCATAAAAAGGCAAAAAAAAATTTAGTAGCAATTTCAACATTTGGAAAAAGTTTATTTTAATTTATCAAGCTTTACTTATTAGTTTATGTAAGTTTAAGCTACTGAAATCCGCTAATTCTTTTGCTATGAACTTTAAATACTTCCAAAAATAAAAACATTCTGATTTGAGCTCATATGCATTGAGGTCTTCGATATAGAATTCTTTAAATTTATTGCATTTTTAATCTAGTCGTCAGAATCGATTCTTGTTAAGTGAGAAATAACACTAAACGATTGTCAACTTCTTAATGTCCAGCCAAAAGATTTTTCGAATGTGCATGTAATGTATCGATAAACGTATCTACACGAGACGGCACAGGTCTGTGCATTCACCGCAAAGAAGATACCATTTGTCGTATCACCTCGGTTTGAGAGCACCTCCCTAACTGCCTCAACCAGCATCGGTATCCTAGACATTGGCTTAATGAGCGAAGTCCAGTTCGGGGTCACTTATAGGGTAAGGTCAAATCATTTATCGGATTATCATTCATCATCATTATCAGATCGAGGCAGTATTTCAATCCGGCCCACCGCCTTAAGCTCTATAAGGCGCAAGTCCAGCCGCATATGGAATACTGTTCTTATCTCTATGCAGGGGCACCTCAGTACCATCTTCTCTCTCTGGACCGCATCCAACGAAGAGCGAGTCGAATCATCGATAGCCCAAAGACCTCCGATCGGCTCAAACTTTTGGCGTTACGTAGAGATGTAGCTTCACTCTGCTTTCTCTATCGTATATATAATGGAGAGTGCTCCGAGGAATTGTTCGGACTAGTACGGAGAGAGGTCTCTCTCCAAACTCATCAGTCGCGTCAGAGACTTAATAAACTATCTTTAGGAGTTGGGATGGCAATAGTAACATCCACCCGCCACGCAAAATAGGCGAACAACATACGTCAGTCCCAAAATATAAAGCAAGCGCCTGCCCTACGATACTGTTTTATTACTTAACATCTGTATATCCTCTCACGCTTCGCTGTGGCACATTGTGCTCGAAAAAAATAGATAAAGACTATCTTTGAAGTGTGTTGTATATTGTGTCAAATAGATGCAATTTTTTTTTAATTTTTGAAGCGTACACTAACCAACATAACATTTATATATATAGATTAAAGATTTATTTATGAATCTGAGATAAATAATTGTAAAGGAACAGGTTCCTTGTCCTTCTAACACTAAGTGAGGCCTTGACCAGGCGACGTAATGAGGCCTGACAATACGCGGCCCAATGGTCTATGTTGAGAAGTAGTATGCTACTTCTCAACATAAACCATCGTACTTAATAAATCCTGTCACAAACTTTCAATCTAATTGATGATACACTTTTTTATTATTTACGACTAATAACTCATTATATTAAAATTATTAAGTGTGAACTACGACCACATTGTTTTTAGTTATTTATTGCAGGTTTTCTAAAGATCCGAGTTTAAAGGCTAAATGAAAGACCTTTTGTAATAACAGATACCTTACCTGGATACCTACAACAAACATTGTCATTCGCTCAGATCATTTCAAGACCCCTGAAGTGTTGGCGAACAATAGAAGGATTGAACATTCTTAATGAAAAACGTAACCCACCGAAATGTATTCCACATATTTATACAAAATTAAACCAGTTTATACCCAGTGATAGGTAAAACTATTGGCAATATCAATGATGATTGTTGTAGTAATAAATAAAGTCCTATCGATGTTAATGTCCACCTTTGTCTCTTTTTTTTATACCTGATTTTCCTAACCGACATCTCGATGTTATCGATATTGCGTATCGATACAGCCACGGTAGTTTGCAACATGTCAATGTACTGTTACTTTAATTGTTATGTGTGTGAGTTCCGTAGTGATAGACTATTATTTTTAAATGACAGTCTGAGAATGTGTGCGTGGTGAAGATCCCCTCCCCTCCGCAAAAAAAGACAGACTATTTTGTGTCGCGAAAAGACGCTATTGCTTCTCCCCTCCGGTCCGACGGTGGCCCATGTTGCTCTATGATATATCGCAAAAATCATGTATGACAGAATTGTTCCCCTTTAAAAGTTCTAAATAAAGTCCCCGACAGCATATGACTATCTTTTAAGGTTGACTCTTAAGTTGGCTTTTAAGGTATTTTTACAAACATAAAATTAATCCATATTCAAGTAAATACAATATTCACAAAATTACCCTTTATATAATTTTGCTTTCGATAAATTTCTTAGGAGAGATCTATTAGAGAGAGATATTATAGAAGTACTTGTCTAAGTAGATACTCACACAATTAAATGTTGTAGTTGGTACCTAATTTCTTTAGGGTATTATTTTTGATTTCGTAGTAATTTTCTATAGGGCAATTCTTTGAACGTTGATTTGCGATATCTCATCGTCATCATCAATACTTTTTATTAAATAAATAAGTTAGTAATAAGTTTTGATTTTGTTTTTTGCAAAACGAGTATAATATTCCTTTTGAGAGACGCAGACGAAGTCGTGTGGGTCAGCTGGTTTATTATAGGATCGTGTTTTTAATTCCCACCCAGGAGATATTGTGTGATGAGTAAGGTCATTTGTTCTATATCTGGGTGTAATATATATATATTATATATATATATATATATTGTTCGGAATACCAACAGCACAAATAACGCAATTTAAAACATTACAGTAAAGTAACAACGAAGCTATTTACAGGTATTCGCAAAATATATGCATTTAAAAATATAAAAGTATGTTTATCAGCAGTCTGGTTACCATAGCACAGGCTCTGCCTAGTTTGGGATCAGACGGCCGTGTGTGAGATGTGTGAGACATATTATTATGTATGTATGTGTAGATATTATATTACTTAAAAACGGCATGAGGGCTCTATGGACACCCAGTCGGAACGAAGTTCTTTTCGCTTTTTAGTAGACGTTGGCAAAAGTGTTGAAACAAAGTCTTGTTACACATTTTTCGGACTCGCTCCCATCCTCTCAAAGCGTGTAACGCGCGATAAGGAACTTCAGTCTAAAACTGCGTTCCAATAACTAACAAAAAGCAGAATAGATCTAATAAGAAATGCTTACTAAGCATTCTAATTACAATTTTTGTTCCTTTTATTATTTACTATTTTAATGAGAGACGTTGGTTGTCTATTCATCCATTTATCATAATCGGTGACTAGTATCAACCACAAATGCACCCTAAGACATTTGAAGTACAGCCAGCCTTTTCTGTTTAATAGTAACACCCCAATATCCTTCGAGTAGTTTGAGTCGTAACCGTGCTCAAATGATTTAATTTTAAACAAAGATGAGTCGCATGTGTGATCACCTACAATAGTTATACCACAGGAGCCCCTGAAATGATCTCTATGCCACTAGAATAATCCTCCACAGCATAAGTATGACGTACATTGACAGGTGACTCAGAATGTCATTAATGTCATTATTGTCAGCAAATCACAAATCACTACTAGACTGGAGTCAAGTAGGTAATATAGAAATCTCGATGAGTCGCAGAAATGGCTGAGTTGTTATTTGTACCGTTAAAAAAATCTTCGGACATAGATATAGTGAAGCCGTTGAGAAATCTCATCCACTCTACATATAATACCGGAGAAAGCAATGAAGACTACACCGATGCCCTTAACGAATTGAGCCGCCTCAGAGCCAACGCTGTTTGGAAAGTATTCGAAAAGACGTCGCTGGACATAATCTACAGGTAAATACACTAATTATGCGGTATGAGTCATTCGCCAATATCGAATTATTGTATTGCGGAAGAGAATTAAACTTAATATCAAACAGTATTACTGATTCCGCTTTCATAGTAAATTAACTTATAAAACAATGATGTCACCGCATCACTCACACAAAGAAAGAACTAAACTTCTTTAATGATAATCGTTGCGTGATTGTAGTTTGTGTATTGTGTGAAGGGCGTGTATATTGCTAAGTGCGTCTTTGTTGTGTGCAGCTATTATGACCAGTTGGTGTCACTGGAGTCCAAGATCCCGCCTCAGGAGGTACAAATTCCATTTAAGTGGAAGGATGCTTTCGACAAGGGCTCCATCTTCGGAGGACGGATGAGTCTCAGTGAGTAAATCATAAAAACATGTAATACGTTTAGACAGTATCAGTATTGTGTATGATCATCTTATTCCTCTACATTTTGCTTGAAAAAGCAGCATTACCTCGGTGAACACAAAACCTTTTAGTGGTGACATATTGATCTGTATCTTAACAACATCACAGTAACAATGTGCATGCAACAAGCTAAGAAGGAAATAAAAAAGAAACCCAATTACAGATATTCCCTTTTCTACCAACAATTGATTTAGTAAGCATATTGCCTAATCCAAGCAAGGTAATGTTTTGTTGCTCTGCTTTTATTGGTATTGTTAACATTAATGTGACAAATGAATCATCACACTCCAGTACACACACACACACACACACACAGTTATTTTTGTGTTGGAACTTTGGTAGTGACTGATTTATTCACTTCTACTTATTTAATTTAGACAATTTGTCTGATCTGGTCTGATTTGTTTTGTGTTGCCATTTTAGAATCAACCTCCATTATGCAATCACTTTCTATCAATAAAGGAAGTAGTTTGTATTTAGTATTTTAGTAACTGTTGAGGACAATTTGAACTAATAGCTAAACTTTCTAAAGCAACCACATTAAATAGTTTGTGTAATAAGTATGTTCACTGCTTGTAGTTTCTATTACAAATTAAATATCTATGTTGTCAATGTGTTCCTCATCCGCTCCTACATATAATATGTACTTACATTCAAAAATTATAATTTGAATTGTGCACAAAACCATTACATAATTAATTTAAGACTATAAAATCTTTTTTCTAGTACAATAAGATAAATGAAAGCATTTATCTTATTGTACTAGAAATATGTTTGGTTTGGTGGTGGTGGAAATGGTTCAATCATCCTGTTAGATTTTTTTTACAGTAATGAGTACCTAAGTGTCAAAAATTCTAAGAGGACAGTTGTTATGCAGGTGATGAGTGAGTAATGTTGCAATCACAATACTAGATGTGAACATTGCATTGGTGTAAGCATGGTTTAAAGGCTTGAAATGTACAAGTTTAATTGTTGGAAATGCATAGTTGGTTTATTTGTGGAAAACAACAGCCTGGAGACATTTCTGTGTTACCCTTTACAATATTATATTGGTGTTATTTAAATATTCACATACTTGAACCATTTTCTTCATCCATGTCATTTGTGTGTACATATCTACACACACATACAACATAATTCTTCTAAATAATGAAGTTACATGATTGTGTTAATTAACACTTGCCATTGGAAACTTGTAATTATTTATAGTTTAACACAAAGTAGTTTGTTTGCATGCACACACAATATTTTCTCTAAGCAAGTACCTATTTACTTTAAATGAGGAGCTTTACATTAGAAATGTGTTATTACTTATACAAGGGAGACAAACTTAAATATGATCATACATAGACACTTGCAACTACATTAATTACTCTTATTTATTCATCAATATATATCTATAAGAGAAAGGGTCAGACTGATTCACTGACCAATCAATCAACATACAGCTGAAACCGCTAGAAACATGAAATTTTGCACAAACGTTCCTTAGGTGATGCAGGTGAGCTAAGAAAGGATTTTTAAACATTTTTACACCTAAGGGTGCAAAATGGGGGTTCGATATTTATATGAAACTTTATTATTTTTGGTTGTTCAAACTCTCAATAAATACTCCTTTAAAAATAATAAAAAACATTGTTACTAATTTTTCAAAACTATCCTTAAAAAGTTGTGGAAGTTTATATGAGGAACTATTTTGTTGTAAGCTATCAATGCCCAAATCTTTCTCTCTCAACATGGTATCCACGATGTTTGATGTCGACCATCACGCGGACAAAGTCGCGGGCTAAAGCTAGTATTACATATAACATTATTGATCCTGTCGACACGGACTGGTTTCTCTCTAATGTACGTATGATATGATAGTGACTGTGTGATATCTTACAGCTATTAGCTCCCTGGCTTACGAACGCATGTGTATCCTGTTCAACATGGCGGCGATGCAGAGCACTTTGGCCTCACAGCAGCAGCTCGACACCGAGGACTCGCTCAAACTCGCGGCCAAGCTTTTCCAGGTACAATTACCCAACTATCCTTCAATGGTAAAACATTCATCAGTTGATATCAGTTTGTTTGATATTGGCTTATTAATACAGTTTTATTGTCAAAATCGGAATATTTATTTTAAAATTAATTTGACATCTTGATCTTCTTCATTTGTATAAAGAGCTCAGTCTGATTGTCTCTGTCTGTATCACGTTCACTGCTTTTTCCTTCTCCGAGCCTTTTTCCCAAAGTAGGTTAGGGTCGGCTTTAGGTCTAGTATGATACGGCTCAACTTCGACTGTTTATGTAGAACAACTACCAGAGCTCCACAACCCAAGTAGGTGATAACGAAGTTCTGTAGAAAGACTGCTCTGGGACTTTAGGGTTCCAACTACCCATATCGATTGCCACAGATGTTTGTATAGCATGGGACCGACGGCTTGACGTGCTCTCTGAGGCACGGACGGGTCCTAATGTGACGAGAAATGGTCGCCCATCCACAGACTGCTTCGGTTACCACTTATCCATTAACATGTTTCTGCGATTTCTGTTTAGCTCTCCAGTGTAGCTAATTGTCTTCCACTTTATAAAACTCTAATTATTTCAGTTGTATTAAAGGTTACATGATGGAAAACAGGTACCTGTAGTCATGTTGACAACAAAATCGGTAATGTATTTAGAGGAATATTGTCCCTGGACTTGAAAGACCAACCAATAAAAACATAGATAACTACTTTTGTCTTAGCTGGTTTGAGTGTAAGGAAAAAGTGACCAGGCTGACGAGGTGGGGCCGATGCTTATCTTATCTACTTGTGTGTGTACAGCAAGCCGCCGGCATCTTCTTATACCTGAAGGCGAACATAATGATGGCCGTGCACCAGGAGACCACGCCCGACCTCAACCCAGAGACGCTGGACGCGCTCGCCAAGCTCATGCTGGCGCAGGCGCAAGAGGTCATCGCCTACAAGTGCATTAAAGGTACGGTTGCCGGTTGTTGTTATTGACATCCAAAATGTGTATCACTTAGATAAATTTAGGTATTATCATATTATAAACGGTAACAACCTTGTGGTAACAAGTCCAGTTCTGTCGTCGAGACGTTATCACTTAACGCTAAAATAATCTTTTTTAATTAGTGTAAAGTATAACTTTTATGTAAACATAGAAATATTATCTCTTAAACATTGTTGACGACCGCTATTGGTCGGTAGAGAGGAAACGGGTTTTATTTCGCTCGATGTAAATAAAGTCTGCAAATGCCTATTTGTATTGGGGTTTGTGTTTCTACACAAGAGATGAAGTTAAAAAAAATAATCGAAACAAACGTTTTAAAAACAATTAATCGAAACAAATGTAGGTAATCTTTGTTTCTTTCTGGATAATACAAGCTCTGCTTAAGTATAATGGTCTAGGTGGCGATGTCAACATGTTCCAGGCTATTATCTGTACAGCAAGTTAGTATACGCAATAATGTTCTTCGCACTTCTCATTAACTAGGGCTGCGGGTGCCGAGTGATTCTTAACGTTGACGATGTTTGTCAGCACAACCCGTTCGTGACGACGGGACGCGTCTTATTGCACTTAGTGCACTACATGTTAGCGAGTTTGTTTACTAGTTCAGCGGAATGAGCGATATCAGTCGGCGAGATAAGTGGAAACATGTTGACTTAGGTACTTGATGTTTATAATGTGTGAGTGTTCATTAGATTTCGGTTGGCAAAGGTGGGCCGAGTGGCTCGCACATCAAACATTGACAGTACTTTTATCCCAACAGGTGGACGCCACTTCTAAATATCATGACTGTAAAATTATTGTACATATTTTACGTTCCATGGATTTACCGTGCGGGGGTGTCGGGTCTATCGCGTGATAGATGGGGGCAACACATGTGACTTCGACAGCGCCTGTGCGACACAGGCCTATTACGAATTAAAGAGACGATTAAAGAAAATCGAATAAATTAATATGTGTAGGCATATATTTGTAATATTATTTTCTGTGTGGCCTGCTCGGTGATACGGGAATGCAAAGAGAAGCTGTTTTTATACTGGTTTGTTTTATAAGTAATCATAGAAATTACAAAATGCACTTGGTATTAGTAGGTAACCATGTTTTAGAACACTCACAATATGGCGACTGTAACAACTAGAGTTGTCCATTAATAATTAACGAGGCTGTGGTAATTTCGTTTGAGTCGATTCACTTGTGCCGAGACATGGCTCTCCTACGGTAGGCCTGCCTTGATTGAGTTTACGTTCATTTATTTCTTCTTGGAATTCACGTCCATGCCTTAGACAGCCTCTCACTGACGATCACGTAGCTTTGACAGATGTCACTAACGTACGAGTTATGTTTGCAGACGAGATGAAGGAGAGCATGGTGGCGAAGGTGTGCGCGCAGTGCGAGGAGCTGTACACGGACGCGTGGCGCGCGCTCAACAAGGACCAGCTCAAGCCGCTCTGGGACCGCGACTGGCTCTCTATCGTAGGTGTCACCCCTCGTCGATTCGCGCCCCGAGCACTGAGCGGACGGTGAGAGCGTGTAACGTAGACTGTGCTGTCGGTCGCAGGTGAGCGCCAAGCAGAGCGCGTTCCGCGGGCTGGCGCAGCTGTACCAGTCGCTGGTGTGCCGCGCCAACAAGGCGGTGGGCGAGGAGATCGCGCGGCTGACGGTGGCGGAGGAGCAGCTGAAGCACGCGCAGTCTCGCGTGGCCGTGCCGGGCTACCTGCAGGAGCACGTGACGCGCGCCGCACGCAATCTCGCCTCCGCCACCAAGGACAACGACTTCATCTACCACGAGCGCGTGCCCGAGGCCGCGCAGCTCGAGCCCATCGCGCGCGCGTCCATCGCCAAGCCGCTGCCGCCGCAGGACAAGTGGGCCAGCGGCGGACGAGGTCAGTGCCTGGTTGTACTCTGCTAGTGGTCTCGCTTGTCGCTGAGGACGCTACAGTTTTCCTCAATGTGATCTCAGTTGGGCGACTTAGAGAGAAATTACTCAACTACAAAAATAAGACGCTCAGACTAACTTTCTTGGTATTGAACTGTTTGTTTATTTATATACATTCGTTCCCGGCGATAAGTAACGCGAAGTATTACTTATCGCCGGGAACGTAGCTGCGTGAACAAATTGTCTTTGTGGCGAATTCCACCATAATTGCGTCTAGAAAAACAACTCAGGGCTTAAATTTGTTCAAAGGCAATATGCCATTTTATCGGGCACTCTGAATTATTTTGTATTATGATTTTAAACTGACAGCAAAAAAAGAGGAGATTTTTGTTTGTTGCACACTTTTTTTAATAAACTTATCTCACATCTCGCGAAACATTATCATGTAAAATGTTGCCAAGGCGGGATCATATGGCTTGCACTGTCAAAAACAAATAAAAAAAACTAAATGACTTCAAAAAAACATCAAACAAAAACACCCTCCCGTAAAACACAAAAGTGCTAAGCCCGATAGGCACCACATCGGTTATAAATTATATTAACTAAACCTATTCTAACAATTTTCTCGAGATAACTGCGGACTATTGATATGTTCATAACGCAGTGTGGTCGACTCATGTTACTAAATTTTGATTAAACTAAAATTGAACGCACTAACGAATGAATAAACTTTAGATGCGTTATAGTTGTAAGCGTAAAGCGTTGCACGAAATGCAACGATTAGACTAATTGTAAATATTTAAACTAAAACACTAAGACATGCTAGGTACGTGTACGTAGTGTAGGCTGTTCATCCACCTTTGCGTGTCTCTCCTTTCCTACAGAATACAGGTTACCATATCGGGAACTTAAAGTGTCATCTAACTCCTGAGCGTTGAATGCAACAGAACTAAAGGTCTGTACGTGAATATGATATTTAAAGAATCATCCTCTAACTCCTAACCGTTAAGGAGTTTAACCTTCCATCATCAGCTCACCTGAATAAATTGAAAGAATGAAAGAAACCTTTATATCGGTCTATACATACATATGATATTTAAAGAATTATCGTTCAACTCCTAACCGTTGAGGAGTTGTACCTTGGACTGTACAAATGTTAACTATAAGTACATCAACTTGTATCGCTCTCTATGTTGTAGGCACATAAATACAGCAGGCAACATACTTGACACGCTTAAGTAAATAAATTAGTTTAATTAATGTTGAAAAATTCAATTAAAAGAGGAACACAATACACACCATTTTATTTAAGTTCCTACACTTATGGCCACGCAGGCAACTTGGCATACAGTTGCTGGTGTCACTTATGTTTTTTAATAAATAGCAAATTGCAAGATTGTTGTCCGACTTGCAATCGTTCTTAAACTACAAACTTAAATTGTTGACTGGAACTACAGGCTAGCTACGAGTAGCTTTACCTATACAGAGGATCGCTTGACACGTTCTTAATGGCTTCCAAAAAATGACAAGTAATCGTACTTCACGGATATTTACAGAGGGTAGGCACTAACTTGGCTTCTGTTAATTGATGCAGCGAGCCTTAGCCCTAAGCCCATAGCCCATCCGAGGGTTCGTGTAAACGAGCTGAAGTCATTAAATGTTTGTATTTGGAGCGTAGTACAGTAAGAGTGTGCGTCGTCAGATCTGTTCGGAGGGTTGGTGCCGATGGCCGTGCACCAGGCGCTGCAGACCAGCAGCGCGCGGCGCGCAGAGCTGGTGTCGGGCGAGATCAACAAGCTGCGCGAGGCGACGCAGCTGCTCAACAGCGTGCTGGCCTCGCTCAACCTGCCGGCCTGCCTGGAGGTGGCGGGCCCCGCGCTGCCCGACGCCATCCGCAGCAAGGCGGCCGCCGTGCGCGACGCGGGCGGGCTCACCGAGCTCACGCGCCTCATGGCCGAGTTGCCCGAACTGCTGCAGCGTAACAAGGACATCCTCGATGAGGTACGTCGCTGTAAAGTGTAACCGTACTGATGGGTGGTCTCTGGGGAAAACAAAACTTTTTAGCAGTAAGGTAAGGTTAAGGTCAATATCTAAAAAGGCTGTTTTGTATTTTGCGCGCACAAAGGAGTGCCGGTGACAGAACATTTCTTATTTGATTACAAAGCTTATGAGTAAGCGTAAAGGAGCAGAGTGTAGGTGGGACAGGACTTCTGCAGCACAAGTACAATATTTGTAGTTAATATTACATAAACACGAATTGGGTCCGTCCGCTACTGTCACTTTACGGTCCCGGGGATTTAAATGGTGGCCGACTAAAGTTTGTATTTAAAAGAACAATGTCGACTTCGTAGTTAGGTATAATTTGAGCGTCTTAAAATGTCATTCATAGGAAACTAAAGCTAGTTATTATCTAAGTTTCTTGAAATTATCGTCTGAGTCAGTAAAACCCCAGGAAGAGAAACAAAAATATTATAAATTTATTTGATTATTTTAATTTTCTTTACCAGTTTAGTGTTACCATTTTACAGACATTTTTTTCAATCAAGTATCGTAATATGGTAATCACTTAATAGTAATATGGTAATCAGATAATAGTTTTATAATTGTAAGAACTGAACCAATAAAGAATGTAGTTTGTGGTGCATTATTTACTTATTTGAAAATCCTGTAGTGGAATATAAGGAAGTAAAAAAAAAGTGTCAACTGCAAGCTGAAAAAATGCACAGCTTTTTTGACAACTCTTGACAGACGTTTGCGCTCTTTGTTTCAATATGAAGACTAAATGTCTGAGGGGACAGCCGGCGACTGGTTGCCGCAAATCATATTAGTTAGGTGTAGAATTTACAATTCATTACATATTGAAATAGGTAATAAATTAAGTTAAAGGAATATACAATTGGATTGGAGCACAATAGCACTGCAGAGAGAAGGGAAATTAGACACAAACCCTATACCAACCCGTCTGGCCAGCGTGGTATAGTAGGCCAAAACCTCCTTTCTGAGGAGAGGCTAATGTCCAGCAGAGGACAGCCTACTACTAAAGGCTGTTGATGTGATGTGATACAAAAACCAAGTTGAAAAGTCGATAAATTCATAAAATAAAGGAAACTTTATGAAGCTATGTTATAAAAGGATTTTTTATCTGTTGACCCTTTTTATAAAAGAGTCCACAGATAAAAATACAGTGCGTGACTAAAAAAATCAAATGCTAATATGTTTTTTCCTAGCCTTTCCTGAGCAAAAATTGTTTTACACAAAGATTCAATAAATAAGCCGATTTTATTTTTATTACAATTTGATTCCAAATATTTTTTTTGTATGGAGACCCGCCATTGTTCTTTCAATCATAACAATAATCTGCCCGACCCTCAGGCGGAGCGCATGCTGCGCGAGGAGGCGGAGGCGGACGCGACGCTGCGCCAGCAGTTCGGCGCGCGCTGGTCGCGCACCGAGTCCGCCAAGCTCACCGAGGCCTTCCGCGTCAACGCCGACAAGTACCGCCAGATCATCGACAACGCCATCCGCGCCGACAACATCGTGCAGCAGAAGTTCCAGCAGCACAAAGAGGTAAGACGCCGACCTCGCGACCTACGGGTCATACGCGTCTCGGTGACTGACCTTACCGCGTCTCCCGCAGAACATCGCATTGCTGTCGAGCTCGGAGGGCGAGATCTCGGCGGGCGTGCCCGACGCGCCGGACGGCCCGACGCCGGGCTCGGACGCGGACGCCGTGCGGCAGCTGCGCGGTCTCATGGAGGAGGTCGAGACGATGAAGGCGGAGCGCGACGCGATCGAGGCCGAGCTGAAGGACGCCACCGTGGACCTCAAGGACAAGTTCCTGGCGGCGCTCGCCGCCGACGGCGCCCTCGACGAGCCGTCGCTATCGGCCGCCGCGCTCGGTAACCGACTCCCCTTTTGGCAGATTTAACTTCGGAGTAGGCGTATTTTTATTATCTAAAGAGTCAGTGATATCGACGTGCCCGTGCGCTCGCAGGCGCGGCGCTGGCCCCGCTGCAGCGGCAGGTGGGCGACACGCTGGCGCGCCAGGCGGCGCTGGTGGCGCGCGTGCAGACGGCGGCGGGGGCGCTGGCGGCCGCGCGGGGGGGGGCCAGCGGCCGCGACGTGGCGCTCGGCCGCCTCTGCGCCGCCGCAGACGCCTTCCAGGAGCTCACCGCCAACCTCAACGAGGGCATCAAGTTCTACAACGACCTCACTCAGGTACCCGCCCGACCGTGATAATCGTTAGGCTACAAACCGATCCATTTTCGATCGAAATTGGCGTGGCTTACGCTATGAGCTAGTCATAGGTCGTGACATAATCAATAACCCAAATAAATAAATAAATAAAACCCCCCGACTTTGAACAGTTAAAAATATCTCGCACCTTACACATTAGTCAAGTACACCGCCGCAGACACAGCGAGTTCACATGTGTTACGCTGTCGTCGCATCCCAAACTCAAGTTGTTCTACATTTGCTCCCCTTTTGCATTTTTATTTATGAATATAGTATCATTATAATTTCGTATAATTAAATTCAAACTACAATAAAATAACTGAGCATTACATTTACAAAAATCATACAAATCACAAAAACCAATCTAAAACAATTCTCAACGATATTTCGTTTGTCCAAAGCCTACAATGTCAATTGTGGTGAGGTGGACATGTTCGCCGATGCATTCCCAAAATTCAAAAAAGTTGTTAAAAGTTGCTGTGTTGTTAGTTAGGCTTGGCAAACGATTCAAGTGGTCTCTTAGTTAAAGTTAAAATTATATAATAGTAACAAGCTTGTTAATTTTAGTTTCTTTGTTTCATATAATTTGTAAGGTAATTACACCAAGAAATAAAATGCTGGATAATTAGTTAACTTGTTTTAACTATTTATTGTATTTAGCTAAATCTAACTAAATCTAAAATGATACGGGTTAATGACACTCTTGTTAGGTCAACCGTTTGAGTACGAAGCTTGATATGTACTGCTTATTGCTAATGAGTAAAATGTACGTGTTGGCGTAATATGCTGACACGACAATGTGCGGGTGCATTGCCCGTACATACTTATAAAACAAATTAATAATAAAAATATCTAATGTAATTTCGGTATTTTTAGTATTCATTAGAAGTGAAAATAAGTATTTATACTAGAAACCGACCTAAATAATGATGTGTTATTGATTTCAAAACCGAGGAGCCTCGGTGTTCAAGGGCGACTGATATACTCGTAGCTCTAGTATACAGTTTGAACTAAGCTATAACGACTAATTAACCTCGATTGGGAGACCATAATAATACCCGGTTTCCACCAAAGCAGAGAGGAGACGAGACCAAATTTTTCAATATTTTAATTATCGCCGGCAACATAGATTGTTGATAAGGAACCATATAAAACGTCACAGTCATGGCGAATATGCCACACTATTTGATGAGTTTGTTGGGAGAAGGCAGCGGGGAAGGGGACGCGGGCGCCGCCCGGCCGCTAACTGCACACTTCTCCGCTCTGCAGCGCCGCTAGCTCGCTCGCGGCATTAAATAGTAGAAAAGCGCTAAGAACCACTAAAGCTAAGTGGAGACGAGATGTGAAAATAACGAGCTCTAATTGGTTATTCAAAACACATCTCTCGTCTCCTCTCCGCTTTGGTGGATACCGGGCCTATTATTGAATCGATTGTCACTTTTGACCTTGTTTTTCTCATGTGCTATATTGACACTCATAACAAGCGACGTAACGCGTGTATCGATGCCGGCAGCTCCTGGTAGCGTTCCAGAACAAGGTGTCGGACTTCTGCTTCGCGCGCAAGACCGAGAAAGACGAGTTGCTCAAGGACCTCACGCAGGAGGCGTCGCGCGGCTCCGTGCGGCCCGCACCCGCGCCCCCGCAACACCACAACGAGGTACGTGCACTCCCCCTCCCTCCCTCCCCCCCCCCACTCTCCTCCACACGCCACACTCGCTAAGACTGTCTAACGTTCCGTGCGCCCCCACAGCCGGCCGCGGTGGCGCGCAGGGAGCCGCCGCCCCGCCCCCCGCCGCCCTCCGGCGCCCCCGCCTCCACCTCCGCGCTGCCCTACCCCTCACAACCGCAAGGTAAGTGTCGGCCCACTACTGATGTGTCGCTGCGCGCGGGTCTGTGGCACTGTCAAAAGTGATGAGGGTATTTATTGTTTAGTACTTACGTGCATGTTAACTACATGCGCACGACGGTCGAATGTCTTCCACGGATCCTTCTCGGCTCGGTGAAGACTTTCGAGAACGATTCTCTGCGGAGATGTTAAACTAAAGACGAAAGTTCATAATATTCTTGAGCAGATATTAAAACTGTATTTTTACGTTCAATCGTGTTCGTATGTGAGAGGACGCCGACACAGGTCGCAGTAGTGGTATCGATGGTGACGGTCGAGCTCGGTCCGCAGGCATGCCGCTGCCGTACGGCGCGGTGGGCGCGGCTCCGTACCCGTACTACGCGGCGCCGATGCCGGCGCTGTACAACCCGTACGCCACGCTGCCGTACCCGCACCACCAGCGCATGCCGCCGCCGCAGCCCTACCAGCCCTACCAGTACCCCGCGCCGCAGCCCGGCCAGCCCTACCAGCAGCCGCCGCCCGCCGGCTACAACCCCTACCAGCAGTAGCGCGCTCCCCCCCCATACGCATTTGTAACTTAGTATCGGCTCCGCTCACCGTTCTCCTGTATTTTCCTTTTACCGATTCACTCGAGTCGTGCTCCCGGGCGAGAGATAGACGATCTCTCGCCGAGCGCACCTCGCCTCCGTCGCTCACACATTAATGTAAAGTACCTACGATTAACGATAGAAGGAAACGCGCGCGGGACCGTCGCCGTCGTGTTTCGTCACGGAGGCGAACGCATGCAACTAATGTTTAAATGAAATATATTGATCGTTTTTAAGATTCAAAAATATTTATAATCTCTGGTTGTTTGAGACACAAACGCTATGGACAGTAGGTACGTGTCGTACGTAAGTGGACGCGACCGACGCTCACGGTATGTCAGGTGTATGTAACGAGTACACGAACACATTATAAATAGTGATACGTTCGTTCGTATTTAAGGTCAATATGTAGCATTGTTAAGCGGAAATGAATGGCGCTACGTCCGTGGTGGGGGGGACTGTTAGTACGTCCGACTGGCGAGTACACGATCAGGTGCTTATATACGAATGTCTCACAACCTCACATAATATAATATATAGGCTATTTAAAGAAATTATTGTTATTTTTCATCAAATAAAGGTAGAATAAATAATTTTTATAAAAATGATATTCCGTTGTTTTATTAGGGTTCCGTACCTCAGAAGGAAAAAACGGAACTCTTGTAGGATCACTTTTTTGACCTAGAACTATAAAATTATGCAAGTGACATCCTCTTATACTCAAAAAGAGGTAAAAAATCTGAAAACTATACATTTGTTATTAAATCATTCATCAATGAGTCATCTGTGGGCGAGTTCGACTCGCACTTGTTCAGATTTTTTTTAATAGCGACTGGCATGGACCACTACAATGTCACTATCCAACGATGGATGAGATGTTTTGTTAGGACGACTATGATCTTCCCTGTAGAATTTGTAAAAGCATCGACCCACCAATACTAATTAATTCTTCAACTTATGTCGAAATTGACCACTACTAAATATCTAAAAGATATGAAGAAACACTATAGTAAAACATATGATTAAAATATATGTAATGTAAAATATATGATTTTCAGATAGTGATTAAATACAATGTTGAAGTACATTATTAAGTATTCAGTAGACATTTATACAAAAGCGTTAGTGTCACTGTTGTCATCTCAGGTAGGTACAGGCAATTATTTATTGTGCAGAACGTCAGGATTGAGGGACCATCAGAGGAGACGATCCTGACGTTCTGCATAACGTCAGGAACGTGCACGGACTACGGATGGCGTAGTGGTTATTAGGTGCACTAAAATTGAGTAAATATACGTATGCGTTGCGCCAGCGGAAAAAGTTCTCTCAAAACATCTGTCACTACTGGCCATGGAGCAGGTTACAAGGTATGTATAAACGTTGTAAACTAGACCCTAGTGCATAAGCACTAAGTACTAGGATCTAATAACCTTATTTTACGTTTATATTTATATCTTCTGACTGCTATGGTTTTTTTTAAATCCGTTTTTACAGACAGTATAAACAAATTTAGAACAACGTATGAAAAAATCTACAGCTCTCTAGAAAAGCGTTTTATATGAAATCTAGCAAATGGCCAAACGTTGTCGCAGCGGAAACTTGAATATCTTCGCAGTTTATTGACGCACAAATTTCATTTATACTTACAACTACATACACTCACATACGAGACACTCACGTCATACAATAATTTTTGATACCATTTCTTTCTTCTACGTCCACAGGATAAAAAAAAATATGCGGCTGGGACACCGTTGTCCCAGCGGCAACAGTTTTAGGTTAATAACTTCGCAATAGTTGGATGCACAAATTTTTCCTTACATACACAATTACACGACATTCATACACTAAATATCTATTAAACTCAAACAAAAAATTCGAACTTTTCCGTTCGGGCAACACACACGATGTAGAGCTGGGGCTTCCGGCTGGTCTCGACAATCATTGAGGGAAGAACGTTCCCAAATGGATGTTGGACGTGAATGGATGTTGTCAAATAAAACAACTACTACAACTATGTATTGTTGAATGTCTAAATGTTTTATGATTCTACACCAAAGTATACATATATCAACAAATGAAAATATCGTGTATAAAAGAACTTTATTGTTTTCAGATCTTATAAGGTACAAACATTTAAATCAGTTTATATGATGTATTTTTATTATTTTTGTAATACTAAAAAGTACTTACTTTGACACGTAGAAGCTAGTCGAGCATTCCCGTAATAAACACGTCAATGAAATCGTATTTTTAATAAATAGATTTTAAAAAGCAAGTAAAGTGATTAGTAGGCAGGTAATAAGAATGTAAAGTTCGCCGGCTCGTTACGGCGGCGGCGTCGCTTTGATGTTTATTTATTGATTTAGGACATCTTACAAAACATACACTAATACATAATTTACAAACATGTTTTACAAATATTTTCTGAGTGTTGTCTTACTTACAAGTTGCCACGGCATGGTAAATTACGACGCTGCCATGTAGGTACAGGGCCTCAATTCTGCTATTTTATGTTCACGCCAAGCCACTGTCATACCACTGACACGCTATTGAGATGCCATCGAGTGGCCATTGGCATCGGTATAAATAGCGGTAGTCTACACTAACTCAGTGTCTTTACAGTGGCGATGAAATGGCAGTGGCTCATCAGTGGTGATATCAAAAAGATTTCCATATTTGGAAAAATAAATAAATAATTTCCTTATAATTTGGAATATATTACGTTTTTTTAATTTTGGTCCATAAATTTGTTATGGATTTATCATATTTATTGATACAAATGTATAAACTACAACGACATAATAAAGCGTAATTAATAGAATTATCGTTGCTGTTTTTGTTGTTGCTTAGTTAGAGTACACTACCGATATTTATACCGATGCTAATGGCCACCCGATGGCATCTCAATAGCGTGTCACTGTTAGGACAGCGGCTTGGCGTGAACATAAAATAGCAGAATTGAGGCCCAGTTCACCGACTCATGTTTTCAATGGTGTTCTAATTCGGCATTATTTTATTGTATTTATTTTGCTCTAAATTTGCATTTCTGTATTTTCGTACTATTTTTTTTTATTTTAACCGACGTATATTGAACCGTGTTATATGGTTTTTCAGTTTTTGTAATAACCTTCAGCACATTGTGTAGAAATCTTATCTTGAAAGTAAAAAAATATATGGTAGCTGTCTGTAAATGTGGCTGGTCGCTGTCTGTATTAGCGGCCTGTCATCTAACACAAGGATGTGGCCATAATAGATAGTTCTGGACCGTATAGGGCTTAATTCAGTGAAGTCTTTGTGTCGTGTAGATAAATAAAACTAAAAGTATGTTATCACATATTTTTTGCTATTTATTAAATAATAATCATCTAAACTTGCGTTAATTACTATTGATTAGCGGTGATTAACATTAAACCATTTAAAACAATTAAAACTTGGGAGCGGGCGAGGGCGTCTTCGAGTAATCTATGTTCGGAGAGTAAAACTGAAAACAAACACAATTTGTTAATGTTGCGTCATTGTTTATTTGGCCAACGACGCTATTCGCTACGGGGTAGGCCATGATGCTTTTTGCTCTCATAACATTACATTTATCCTGAAAACTTGAAACAAACCTTATACCAACCCATCTGGCAAGCGTGGGATAGGAGACCAAAACCTCATTTTTAAGGGCAGGCCTATGTCCAGCAGTGGACTATTAAAGGCTGTTGATGATTGATGAACATGACATTGGCAAATGATGAGATACTTCTCCAAAGTATTTTAACTAAGGAATCAAGAGTTGAGATCATAATTCAGATGTTGCGTCAACATGGCTAAGCCCAGTGACAGGACTCTATAGAACAATGCTTGTGTCATAGAGAGCTTTTACAAGTACACAACATAGTTGAACTGATCCTGAAGCTCCATTATCATATTTAAACAGTACTACCATAGACTTGCTAAGAGTCAAATAATATTTACGCAACCTGTATAGCCTAATAATAATTTTCAGTGGGGTTTACCTTGTATTGCTTGTCTTTATACTCTTGCCAGGGCTCAGGGTTAGTCTTCCTGTTCCATGTTACATCTGGGTTACGTGTGGCCAGCCTGCCCAGGTAGAACATTGCTCCTGCACACCCGACCCCCACACACACATACAGTGGGATCAACTGCAGATAACAAAATACTTTTTAAGTTTTATGAGTAATGTCTCACTGTACAGTTCACAAATCGATACTCTGTGGATAAATAAAAATATTAATTAAAAAACTGAAATCAGATATTTATGCATATAATGTCATTGAGAAGTATATATATTTAAATACACTAAACTTAGGTAGCACCATAGTTAGTTTTACTGAACAACCTTTAGGCTTTCTGTAACATCACCCTACAACTAATGGGAATGACGCAGAGCTCTGAGCCTCGGGTGAAGGCTAATCTGCTAATAATATTCTAATCTAATAATCTTGTAAGTAAATATACTAGCTCTGTTAATCTTAATATGAGCAGCAGACAAAGCTTACACTGTGAAATGTGACTGTCCAGTGTGAAAGGAACTTCTTCAAGAGAATCTCAAATTGAAATGTCCATAAAACTATACAAGGGGTCAGTACCCCTATCATAAATAAACCACATCTGATCTCCCAATTAAAATATAAGGTTATTTTCACAATACAATTTAAAATTACTCTAATCAAAATTAACAAAATTGATTTAGAAGCAGATTCAGATAGTTTAAATCTTAACTTTTATAATTAGTTGCTTTAATTTGATTTTTAATTAACAGTCCTAGAACTACATGTTACATTTTATTATTTTTGATTATAGTAGCAAAGATTAATACAGATTTAAATTAAGGCACACATATAGTTGTATATAATTATATTTAGAAAGTTGCCCTGGCCTATGTTTGCTTTGTGAATGATTAACAAAGAAATCAAGTATGAAAAAAATATATATATAACGAGACATATTGCACAGCGCCAGCTAGACACAAACTACGCACAACTTGTGCCATGAGTTCGAAAACATAGACAAATGTTTAGAAATAAAAGTAATAAGGGCTGTCTTGACATATAATTAGCTAATACATTTATTGACTTATACCAGTCACTGAACAACTGCCAGTTTCCTATTGTGAATATACATTTACTACCTTTTATACTAACATTGCTTTCTTTTAGGGGCGCTTGAAGCAATATTATATTTCAATTTGCATTGGGAAAAGAATAATATCATTAAATGAGACCATTGTTTTAAGTCTAATCCAATTATTATCAAAATAAGTCCTTTTTTAAATTGATATGTTGTACAGGTAGAATGTGTTATCATTCCCAGGTTTTTATGATTGACAGAAAGGGCCTCTCCTATTATTGATATCATATGACTAATTACTACGCAGCGTTCTTTATTAGAAGTGACAAAATTGTGATTATTTATAATTACAAATACGCGGATTTTAATCTGTATCTTTAAAAGTATAGTTTTACAACACAAAAAAACGCTAGAGGCAGGTAAATATACCTACGATAACAAATCAGTAGAGGTTAATTATGTAAGCACTTCAGCTAAAGCGTTGACGTTTGTAATGAAGAAATACAAGGAGGTACTTACTGCTTTGTGTTTTTTCAAACTTTCAATGGATAACCCCTGCATGCTGATGGTTTTAAAGTGCTAAATATGTGTCCACTGTGAAATAACTGCTAATGCACCAATCGATCGACCTTAGAACACTGCCACTGCAGAATGTTTGATACGATTTAATTAGTGGTGGAACGACTCGACTTATCTAACTGATTTAAACCAGCTTGAGCATGAACCGAGTTGACTCGGTTAGTCCGTGGTTCAAACCGGGTTAGCCTTATCATAAGATCGCGCTGCGCTTCGCGTCGTACTGTTTTATCGATCGAACAACTGATTTATCTATTTGGTAGATTAATCAGATTTTGAACCGAGTCGATGCGTTACGGCAGTGAATATATATTTATCAATTTATTATTATTAGCACAAGCTATATTATTATGTTCCTACAAAATTGGATACGGTTAGCGCACGTCATCAGTTAATAATAATTTAATACACAAACCGATTTATCAACCGTTCACTTTAAGGGACATATATATCCGCCAAATGAGAAAACAAGAAGCCTTGGTAATCGTGTTACTTGATTGGCTAGTTTGTTGTATTGCCTTTAGCCCTTAAAAACCAACTACCAATCAATGCATACCATCGCTACGTCAGACGTCGGTTTGCATAGGTAATGTCAAGCTTAACGCTTGTATGTAAACTTGGATGCCAACCGTTCACAAACAGATTTTTTAATGACCGATCCTTTAATGGATCATATCCAATCATGCATATCACTTTCATTTGTTACATTCGCTGATCAACTCATCATACGGTTCAAACCGCGGTTTAATACAATTTCAACTGCTCGGTTTAAACCGATTCACAAGAATTATCACATCGATACAACTCGGTTCAACAATATACCAGACCGTCACATCTCTAGATTTAGTGGAATGTATGACATCTATTTGGCACTGCCAGCTCAAAATAATATTTCATGCTAAATCTAAGTTTATAAAAGGTCGAAATAAGCCAAACTTTATTAAAAAGTGCTAAAAAAAGAAAATAATAACGGAATATATTTTTGAGTATATTATAGATAAAACTAAATTAAATAGTAGTTGATAATATATGTGGCAGTTCTTTTTCGAAAATATTTCTTTAACCGATTTACAAATTAATATTCAATAATAAAATCTTTTCTGTGAAAATCTTTGTAAGATTATTAAATAATCAAAACCAAAAAAATACTTGATTTGGCCTGAAGATGAAAATTAAAACTATAGGCAACGAAAACGTAACTTGAATGTAAATATCTTATATGGTTATGTTCAATAAAAAGATGCATTATGTTCTTTTAAATGTGATAAGAAACTCACTGTTTATCAATTCTCTCGTTAAGCTAGGTATTCATCAAGTGAGTGAGGGTAAGGAATATTCCTCTCCTCCCCCTGATTCTGGGGAAAGACTCAAAGATTTGCAAAGCACTTGTAACAGGTGACCCGACTGCTTGTGTGCTCTCCTATATATATATATATATATATATATATATATATATATATATATATATATATATATATATATATATATATTTATATATACCATAAAGTCGGTATAAAAAAGTTGACATAATTTTATGGAGATAGAACCAAAAAAATCCATCTCTGTGTTTAAAGTGTCCGTAAAAACGCGTCCAATAAATTTATATTGACTCAAATAATAACTAGACACTGTGTACTAGACTGCCAAAATAGTCTTACAGACAATAAATAAACGTGTAAAAAATAATGTATAATATAAAAAATAATAGTTTTACAGACAATAAATAAACGTGTAAAAATTTTCAGATATTAAAAGTATTATAGTATTTTAACTCAGTACGTTTCACAATCGTCAATAATAGCTTAGTTTTTTGTACGCCAGCGATCTCCATTTTTAGAATACAGCTGGACACTTTATCATATTTTGTATGGAGTGTAGAGGCAGGGAGAACCATCTCATATAGGGATATAAGATGATTCTCCTTGCCAGTACACTCCATATAAAATATGAATCTAAAGATTGACATAAATATCAAACAACATAACAGATAATTTACAAGAAACCACAGCCCGGGAAGTCCTGTCCAATGGTTACACCATGGTTTCACCACACCGCTATTCGTTTTTAGCACAGATTAATATAATGAAGCTTTTCAGGCGTAAAATGTACAAAAATCATGTAATTTTATTTTGGCAAAAGTCGGCAAGACTATCAACTGGTTATTGGGTATATGTCAAAGTTACTAATATAAAGAGAACACATAGAAGTTCATTTCAAATTATATCATATTACATTAGAGGAATAGGTAATAATTATTAAATAATAAATAAACTTAATAATTATTAAATAATAAAATTAATAGATTTGCATTATTTTAAAAATGATCAACAATATTATTATTGGCAATACTGATATTGTCAAATCAAAAAAATAAAAATGCAATAAACATTTGACATTTACATATAAAATATTTTATTGTATTGAAATAACCTAATTTTAATGACTTGGTGCTATCCCTTTGAAAAGGGTTTTAGAAAATAACAAAGAAGAGCAATATATTTTGAAAATGAGTTTTTTATTGTAAGTATTATGCGTTGAGTGGAGGCAGTCAAATTGTGTATCTATTTTTAACTAATCTTCTTCCGTTCTATTGCGGTGACGTCTTGTTTACATCTGCGGCAAAAGTTTCTGCATCCAGTACCAACGGTTTGAATGTGGAGAACTAGTAACTGGCTTCTTCAGGCTCGGGGATTATGTGTAACATTACCTGACAGTACGTACTCTCTTTACGGTGAAATATCGTGATTTAAGTATAGGCGAATTTGTATTCCAGTGGAAGTCGTTCCAACAAAACGTTCAAGCCGAAGAAGAATATTCCCGAGGGTACGCACCAATACGATCTGATGCGGCACGCTGCTGCCACGCTCGGCTCCGGAAATCTGCGTCTCGCCGTCATGCTACCAGAGGGGGAGGACCTCAATGAGTGGGTTGCTGTAAACAGTTAGTAATCGTTATACTTTACTTTGCCTGAACTATGAACACTTGTTAACTTTACTATTTTACTGTAAATGTGGAATCTATTTGCCAGAATATTTCATAAAATGTTTTCCTTATAGTAGTATATCTTAAATATTGTTGAAGTTATATGCATTACAAATTTTAATAGGGTATCTTTATAAACCACATATTGAATCAAGTAATAAATATGACCAAGGATTGTTGTTGAAGTTTCAAATTAAATCACTATGTAAAGCTGTAAATTCAGGTACAGTTGAAATTTTTTGAAAACTGATAGTCAGTTGGCATAGCACAGTTGTAATATAATATTTTTTCCATGTAAAAGTGTGATGCACTTGATAGTGTTTGGAACGGACATTACATGCGTGAGCTACCATTGTTTCCTGTTCATAGCCATTGTTTTCTGTACCATCACATTATGCATGTTGACTGTAGGTTGGTGCCAGTGTTGAGTCACTGTCTGTAATCTTACATACACTACTATATCCTCTAAAGGCACACTGAACTTCTTTGAACTGCATAATGCACGAGTACATAATAACTATTATCCTCATGAATTAAATAATTATATTGTGTACTTTGTGTATGCAGTGTAAAGTGTTGATATAACGAGATAATAGCAATAGAAAACAAAGAGATTAGATAAGATCTATAGAAAAAGTTCTATAGATCTAAACATGTTTGGTATGGTAATGTAACTTATGAATATATTACAATGGTGTTAATCTTATCTTGGTGGGTACTTGGAGGAGGTACTGCATGTCAGGGAATGCCCCTGCCTGTACAGTGACACCCTCCATTTGGTGTATAGACACATACTTTAAACAAACATTCTTTATTTATGATTTCAAATGGTGAGACAAAGAGTTTATAAAATACAAAATACACCAGCAATATTTCTGAATGATAGTGTAGTGTCGGTATTATTATACCTTATTCTTTCTTAGTTATGGTTCATCTAAAGGGTAGTTCTGTTTCACATTAGGAAGGTAAGAATTTGGTATATCAGATTTAAATTTAATGATTGATAAAAATATATATATATTCACATGCATTTTGTGTACCAAGATGTTTATTTTGTTACCAGTTTTACACATGCAAAAAAAAGAAGACTCAGCAGTGTGTAAATATCCTGGTCTGTATGTTGTGCTAACTAATACCGGCGGCATCTTTCCGCCATCGTTCCTTCCGGGAAAAATTTCATCAGGAACATCAACGTCGTATATAAATACGAAACAAAACAATTGCTGGACACCAATGCAAAACAAAGTCAGTGTCAATATTAGATTAGGAAGCATTTGTTTGCCCTGGCCGTATATATATGTTATGGGTGCTTCGACTCATATCTGTGCTATGAGCAATAAGATTTCTAAGTTAATAACAATTAAGATGTACCAGGACTGCCCAGCCTATACTCGGCGAGCTTGCATGATACATTGGCAAAGGATTTTTAGTACTTGAAGACAAAAATATTCTCAGCTAAGCCAATGCGATTCGTATGTCCATGCACAATACTGAAACACTTACACAGCATATCATTATAAATTGTCAGTATTTTAAAAGTACGGTAGATCTTGATATTATCGAGTAAAATTTGAGGTTTACCTACTTTTAATTATAAATTTGAACTTTAAAGTCTATCAAACGATTCTTCCCTTTTTAGGATCATAAAAAAAAAATCCTAAAATGTCATAATACGAAAATAAGTTAATATTATAGCATAAGGTTAGCTCGTAGCCATTCTTGGACCCGGCAAATGCCCATCGGATCCAAAGAGCTACCGCCCGATTTCACTGTGGTGTCATTCTTTAGGCTCTTTGAGAGAATGCTATTGAACCGCCTTACATCAATCTTAGAACCATCTCTCATACCAGAACAAGCTGGGTTTCGACCCGGCAAGTCCTGGATCAGCCAAACCCTGAACCTAGTTTAATTTATCGAAACTCAAAAAGTGACTCGGGTCATATTCGTGGACCTTACAGCTGCTTTTGACACAGTAAATTTTAAAAGACTACTGATGAAGGTCTACGAAATGACTAACGACCAAGGATTTGTCAACATCTTAAGAGAAGTGTTGAACAATCGGCGGTACCATGTTCACATAAACAGCTCCAAAAGCAGGTTGCGTACTAAGAAAAACGGACTCCCACAAGACAGCCCAACTTTATTTAACATATACACAAATGACCAGCCAAAAACACCTACTCAACGCTTTGTCTACGCTGATGACCTTACTCTCACTGCTCAAGCATTCTCATTTTAAGAGGTTGAAACATCACTAGCGGTTGCATTGAACGCGCTTAATGAATACTATGATGAAAATGCCTTAAGGCCAAATCCATCGAAAACTCAATTATATACGTTCCACCTTCGCAACCGCTTAGCAGGCAGAACTCTGAAGTTATCGTGGCTGGGCGTTATTATAGATCACTGCGCTACCTTGGCATAGAACCCTTGACAGAGCGTTGACGTACCGAAGACATTGCTATAACACCAAGCAAACAATTGGAACCAGGAATAACTTGCTGCGGCTATCAACGCTCTGGGGAGCAACCCCTCATGTTCCCCGTACCTCTGGACTCTCGCTTTCTTTTTCTGTCGGAGAGTACGGGTGACCGGTGTGGCATAGATTCGCTCACGCCAAGGAGGTTGATGTTGCCTTAAATGAGACATGCAGGATCACAATGGGTAGCATGTTGTATCCCCTTGCAGGCATTGCTCCTCCAAACGAAAACAAAACCAGGAAAATGATTCCTGTCACCCACGACTACAAGATGTACTACAGAATCATTGCTCTTAAAAAGATCTATTGAAATGTAGCACCGCTATATGTCGATTAGTTAATATTACCGCACAACAAAAAATACGTTTTAACATATAAATAAATGATTTTGTATGTTAAGTAATAAACTTATATACTATAAAAGAGGTATAGTATCCGTTTTGAGCTGTCATAATACAAAATCTACACGATGATACGAGGGGAGGTCCAAAAGTTCGTGGAATGGAGGGGATGGAGTGCGGATAGGGTCGTTCGCTTTGTGTCATACTAATTGGGGACTCATCAATTGTATATAAATTAAGTTTCAGCCCTATTGTTTCATTCGTTTACGAATATTCGCCTGCTAAACAAGTCTATCTGGAAGAAAACTGAAACTATGGAGAAAATTGAACACCATGCTGTGATAAAATTCCTTACCAAGCAAGAAAAAGAACGTTCAGACCATTTTGAATGAAATGCAAACCGTTCATGGGGGACAGTGCCCTAGTAAATCAATGATTTATAAGTGGCATGGTCTTTTTATATATGGTGGGGCGTCGATTGAAGACGACCCCCGCTCAGGAAGGCCATTTGAGGTCACCTCATCAGACATCGTCGAAAAAGTAGAAAAAATTGTACTGGAGGACACCCGTTTGAAGTAAAAACAGATATCTGCATTAGTTGGAGTATCAGATACCACCATTTTGCGAATCCTACATGACCACCTGGTATGAAAAAAGTCAGTTCAAGATGGGTACCGAGAATGCTCACGCCGCTTCAGAAACAACAGCGCGTCGATGCGCCAAAACCATTTTATGGAGTTGTGTGGAGACGAACCGGCACAGATTTTGGAACGGATTGTTACCGGAGATGAAACATGGGTTAACAGCTATGCAATGGCATAAAAAGGGTACACCACCGGCAAAGAAATTCAAAGTGTCGGTATTGCCTGGAAAGTTGATGGCTACTGTTTTTTGGAATTGTGACTTATCCAGTCACTTAGTCAGACTTACTCATTGATTACAAAGAAAAGGGAAGGACCATAACCGGTGAGTACTACGCAACGATACTAGAGAAATTAAAGGAAAGAAAAACGTCGAGGAAAATTGACCAATTGTGTGTTGCTCTTGCAAGACAACGCTCCGGTTCACAAGAGCAGAGTTGCAATGGCTGCTCTGCATTAGCATGGCTTCGAAACACTGGTCCACCCACACTACAGTCCAGTTCTGGCCCCAAGTGATTTTTATTTTAGTAAAGGAGGCAATTTTGGCTCATTTTGAGGCAAAAAGTAAAAAATATTTATACGATGGTTTAGAAAAATTAATTCATATTAATATTGGCCTTTTAAGTTTTTTTTTTAAATTGCCGAAATAACAATGACGAATTCGTAGTTGAGTATAATTTGAGCGTGTTATAATGTCATTAATACGAAACTAATTCTAGTAAATTTCTACATTTTTAGGGTTCCGCTTTCTTGTCTGTCTGTCCGTGTGTCACCACCGATTTTCTCAGGAACGGTTAGACCTAGCAAGTTGAAATTTATACCAGATACTGAGGTCTATGGTCCCTATTAGGTGTATAAAAATCAAGGTCCTGAGTCAACACGATAAAAAGATATGGGCAAATTTCGATTTTCGTAGGTTTCAGTAACTATATTAATTCTTTATTATCTTTTATTTAATTTTATTTAAATGGCACATATACAGTTATAATTATCAAATAATTATGTAAAACAATGCAAAAATAAATTTGAAAAGTCGATAACCATAGACAAATTGATAAAATAAAGGAAACATTATGCATCTATGTTATAAAATACTCTTTAACCCGTGGACTCTGTTAAAAGAGTTCACAGATAAAAAAATGCGGTGCGTGCTTTTTCCCGAACCTTTCCCAAACAAAAATTATTTTAAACATAGATTCTAAAAAATAGGCAAATTTAAAAAAAAAAGCTCCTACAAGACGATGCAATTTGATTCCAAATATTTTTTTGTATGAAGAACCGCCATTGTTCTTTCGCCTATTAATTTTTTTTAAAACCTTATTTTTTTTCTTTTTCATACTGTTTTGATAAATTGTTTTAAAATTTCAATTACTAAAACTAGTTAACAATCTGGGCTGAAGTAGATGGTTAATAATAGCAAAAAGAAATATTTTTTTAAAAAGATTCTTTTTCTTCGACTAATATTATATACAACATCTATGACAAGTAAACTGTAGATTCATTAAAAAACATATCCGTATTGTTAGCTATCTAACAAGGTATAATAGTCTAGAAGTATCAGAATTCATAGATGTTTAGTGGAGTGGAGGGAGAGCACAAATCAGTAATATACGTCTGTAGAAGAAGGTCGTAATGTAACTAGTTATAAAGATAAAATTTCGTAAAAGTCTCTTTCCATCATGTAAACCGCCTGCTCGTTTGCCCCTATGTGACAGAAAAGCGATCGGTCATTGGTTTAAGCATTTTAATGTGACAAGTGTATTTTGTCCCCAGCGGTGGACTTTTTCAACCAGATCAACATGCTGTACGGTACGATAACAGAGTTCTGCACGGAGGAATCGTGCGCAGTAATGTCAGCGGGGCCCAAGTACGAGTACCATTGGGCGGACGGACATACCGTCAAGAAACCCATCAAGTGTTCTGCGCCTAAGTATATCGATTACCTGATGACTTGGGCACAGGACCAACTCGACGATGAGATGCTTTTTCCCTCGAAAATAGGTGAGTAATCGTTCGTCGCCTCGTCGAAAATTATAGCGCTAACAATACGGACATTTCTCTTGACAATTGCTTTACAAATGCATTTATTGTAATAGTGTGTGTATCTTGTACCTAATGAATTAGTAGAGGTGTGTGTCGATGCGCTTGTTGTACAATTCATTCCATTTCCATCTCTATATGTTTGTACAAATAAGACAATCTAATTTTGTTAGTAAATTTGAATTAATGAATAAAAATAGTTAGTGTTGGGTAGGAAAGAATTGTTTTAATGAGGTACCACGTGTGATTACTATCGTCACAGGTGTTTCGAACGTACTACAAACTCCGGCTCTCACTAAGGGCTCGTGCAGCGTGCAAGCGATGTCGCGCCACTTGATAGAACGTATAGTACTGGCTCAGAGAACTAATTTTTAATCTGAAAGTCGCTGGGGCCGTATGTTGTACTTGTTACAGTTAAAAATCAATGTACCTACTTGCCTTTATGGAGAAATAAACAATATTATTGTTATTATTATAAGTGGGTAGAGCTATAAGTGAGACTGTTGTGTGCTTGGCGCAGGCGTGCCCTTCCCAAAGAACTTCTTGGTGATGGCGAAAACGATCCTGAAGAGGCTATTCCGCGTGTACGCGCACATCTACCACCAACACTTCCCCGAGGTGGTGCAGCTCGGGGAGGAAGCGCACCTCAACACTTCCTTTAAACACTTCATCTTCTTCGTACAGGTTAGTTTCTAGATCATCAGCGCTTCTACTTCATTAGAGGGGTTTCGCACATTCGACATTTTTGCGAAGCCCATTTCTGCAACGCCAAATCGAAGGCCATTTAACCTGTTGGTTATTTGTCCGATGTGTTATTTCACGTGTACATACTCCCATATCACCTTCTTATTGCCTTTTTACACTTTTTGCATGTACATACAGTAATAATATAGTATTTTTTCACTACACTACTATTGTAACCCGACTACAGTATTGGCAATAATGGAGGAAGTGTCCTAGTCAGCATAATAACAGTTTTTTTTCTCTGCACTTTTAGATTTTATATTTTACCCACCTACTGATAGTATTTGTTCTTGAATTCAATTTAGTTTTGTTTCACTGTATATGTTACAGTCAAAACTCTAAACCGGCAAATTCAGTTAAATGTTTGGATGATTCACCAACAATAGAGGGGGATGCTGGGAGCCCGAATTGATAATATTCAATGTAATGTTATTCTAATAAACGTGAAATATACTTGAACACAGTTCCAGTATAATGTGTACAAGCATTTCGCGAAGAATTTTAATGGGTCATTATAGTGACTAAACACATTATTTACTGTACCTTACCGATATTGGTACATCGGTTTCAAAACATTGTAAACGTCTGTTTTATATATGTTTATAGGTAAACACATTTTGGTAATAATGTTAATAATTAAACAAGAATGTTCATAATTCAGTCATAAGAGTACTAGCTCCCGGCTTCGATCACGGCAAAGTTATTTTTCAATCCCTCGAGAACGTCGTTACTGTATGAAATATTAATGATCATGTAAAGTAGTAGGTGCTACTGCCCAAGACACAGGCTTCCTCCTACGTCCTGTTCTGTACCGCTGTTAACGTGTGTTTAAAGTTTAACCAGAATCGATTGTAGCTAAGGCTTGAAAGAAAATATACATTAATAAAACAAACATTGGGATTTGTAACGCAGCAATTTTTGGGATGAAAGTTACCATACGCCTAACTCTGTACCCCTGTAGGTATACAAAATAGCAATGTTAAAAAAGTAAAAAAAGTTTAAATTTGGTATCATAATACATATATAATAATAATTTGGTCTTTGCCATCATCTTTATCAGATTCTATAGAAGAACGATGATACTAATGATAGAATAGGATGTCATTATATGAGAAATGTGTAAAATTGAAGACACTTTTGACCAAATTAAATAAAAAGTTAATCAAGTATATTTAATTCGAGGGCTGCTATTTTGCTGTGCTGCTCACCGTGTGGTGACGGATTAAGAATACAGAGTGTCACCACCCCTATTCATCCCGTGGGTCTCGTAAGAGCCGACTAAGGGAGCTAACTACGCAGGACAACAGCACTGCAAAGAGAAGGAAAACTTAAAACAGACCCTATACTAACCCCTCAATTGTAAGGAGAGGCCTATGTCCAGCAGTGGACTGTTAAGGGCTGTTGATGACTGCTATTTATGTATCCGGTACTGGCCAGTTACAGAACAATATTAAAAAAAAAAAAAACTTTAGAAATGGAACTCGAAGGATGCAATTTGTTTCATGTAGCTGTCATTTGTTTATGTAAAAATTTTTAATCTGTAAAAGTCGTCTCTGGGAATAAGTATGAAGAGTATATATAAAATGTTACACGAACATTTAGCTGTAAAAAAATTAGTTCGCGTTGGATTCCGCACAACTTGAGAATTGACCAAAAACGGGCTCGTGTCGATTGGTGTAAAAAAATGTTACAAAAGTGCAATCAGGGTCCGTCAAAAGCTGTCTCTAATACCTACACAGGTGATGAATCTTGGATATAGTCAAACTTGTAGTTACACTATATTTTACACACGACACAAACACACCCCCATAATGTCTGTTTGATTGTAAATAATAATAAAGTTGGCTTGCTCTGTTTTGTAATTAAACCACTTTCTTTTCTATATTTTTTTTTTTGTTTACACAATTATATAAACATGTAACAAGGTAAACTCACGGGTCCTATAATACAGTTCACACTAGTTTAGCAGCCAGATTTATGCTATTTGTAACACTTTAATGTCAATAAATATTTCATTTCATATTTCAAGAATGTGGACGTTCGATAACTAGCTGAATATGAACTTGACGATATGGTTTACAGGAATTTAATCTAATCGAGCGGCGAGAGCTGGCACCTTTGCAAGAACTCATCGAGAAGCTCACGGCCAAGGAGGCGCGATGAGCCTGCAACCACCTCTATATCCCGCTCCTTATCCCTACCATCTTCACTCCGCACCGCCCCGTCGATTCCCTTGCACTGTGTGTGATTCCCCTCCTTGCTCCTTGTATAGTATACGCTCCCAGTCTGTTCGACGCCGTGTACGTTGCAAGACTCGAAACTCTCTCGAAATGAACTCTGTTAAGTGAATGTAAATGGACAGTGACTAGAGTTTTGGAGCATAAAGTCAAAAGAGCAGACTGTTGTTAGAAGCGCACAACGTCAAAAGCGTATGATGTCACAGTAGAATGTTCAGTTCGCAGAATGTCCAATATTGTTCCGGTAAGCGCTAGAGCCGAACTGTTTGGTCGCCGTAGTTGAACCGATTCTACGAGCTTGTGGAAAGTTACACGGTCGGTTAGTATTGCGACAAACAACAAACCGAACTGCCCATATTATACATACTGTATGTAAAAAAAAAGTTAAAATCGCCATCCGAGCAGTTAGCCATTTTTCACAATGTGCGCTTTTGACGTTGTGCACTTCTGACATTCAGCTTTTTTGATCATTTGCGATCATTTGTCATTTTACTCTTTTGACCTTAAACTCCGAAACTGTGAATAGGTGTACGCTTCTCAATGAACACCTTCCTCTCGACTTGTAATATTTGATATGCGCTAGTTTTAGGTTTTATGTAAGAGTTTGTGATATTTGCTTTGTGGTTGAGTGTGACGTCACTCGCACCCTCCTTCCTGAACGGAGCAGTGAGAGACTAACGAAGGAACCAGTAGGCTATAGAGATGAAGGCCTTCCTACAATAACTTTATCAAATATAGATGCAATTTATCTTTTGAAAATATTTAGATTTGATACATGAAGTATAATGGTATATATAAGAGATAGGCAGTGGTGGACGAGCCCGCGCACGCGTGCGTGGGCCGCTCAGTATCTAAGCTATTTATTAATTTGGCAATAGGACTGTTCTTATCGCTATCTAGATTTTTTTATTAGAAGAAATGTTGTTTTCGTGTACGAATCATTTAAGTATATTAATGGTTTATTGCAATAATCTCTCGTAGCGATATAAGTAACGTAGTGTAGATATATTTGGTGCATTTAATATATTTGATTTCGTGTTTAATCAATTTGATTTATATTGCGACTGACAACTGATGTATTTAATTTAAAATTAGACAATTTCTTAATAAAAACTAAAGTTTTCTTAGTTCCTGTTTTTAATTTATTCAATGCATTTAAATGTACAATGGTATATCGATATCATTATATATCGTTGGTCACAAACAGTACCGGAACATTTCACAAAATTATATTTCGAGTTAATGAGTATTCAAGATTTTAGAAGTTTTCAAAAGCTATTTTACCTATTAAAAAAAATCATTGTTTTAATTTAATAACACGAATACTTAGTGCAGTTTTATTGTATGGTACGAAAAATTTAAGTTTTACTAGTAGTTTTTGTGTAATTAATAGGTTTTCTGAGATGTTCCAATAATGAAGCAAAAATTTGATGTTAAAAATAATGTTTAAGTGGAATATTTCTAAACGAACCGGTAGTAGCCAATATAAACAAGTAGTATAGAGGTCTTTTATGGTTTATTTTAAAATCCAAAAACTTGAACTAAATCATTTTCGTCATTATCTTCATATTTAATGTTATCTGCAGCCTCCAAGCGTGCCTGATAATCGTAGTACACGCGGTTCGAGTTACACTGAAGTGGCATAAAGAGATTAAATCCTTTTCCTTGAGGCCAGACTCGTTCCATAAGTAGCAATAGCCAGCTTTTGAAACAGCGTCATACACGGTACAGTTGTATACTTTAAATTTCCTTTTATAGAAAGGTAAGGAATCGTTAATCTGCACAAATCTGTTTCTTTAAATACCATACCATTAACCAATCCAATGTGCCAAAAAAACAGGAACTCCGTATAGAGTTTACGAATTAGATTATATTTCGCACTGAAGTATTGGATCTTAAGGATTTAGTAAGGTGATTCGGTAAAATTTCATTGTCAACAATTATGGCGATCGTATGGGACCGGACCGAGGGGATTTGAAACAAAGGTGAATTGAAACAGTACCGATTTCTCGGAACTTAAAACTGTAAGTTCTGAAAAATCGGTACTGTTTAGGTAGGTACGGTGTAGCGAGTAGGCAACGTCGCTTTTCAACCACTTCCTTCCGCCCGCTAACGTGTCAGTTCGCGTCGGTGGCGAAGTCAAAGCGGTTGTTGAGTTCTGCGTGCCATGTGTCAAAAATCCTCAAAAGTAAGTTTTTAACGTTTTTACGATGCCTATGTTTTGATAAGGGTTTTGTATTTTGGTTTAAGTTATATATGATTCAAAAGCTAATTAGCTGAAGATTTATTATATAGACTATACTTATTATATTTATTTATTATATTTATTACATATTTGGTACAATTGATTTCTGTGTATTTGCTTCTTGATTGTGAATTAAATAAAAATTGGGAGGTTTTTATGGCACAAAAGAGTTTATTTTGTTAATTTAATTTGTTTATTTTGCTTGAGGCTTCAGCATGCTTACTAATTATTAAAGAAAGACTGACAGAGGTATGGCGAGTCGCGAAATATATGATCTCGCAGCAGAGGAAGTAACTTTGCGAGATTCAATTCAATTCACCTGATCTAGCGATATCTGAAGTAATGCTTAATACTATCTAGATGCCGTCAACTACTGGACCCGTTGTTCCCTCCACAACCTTACATCTGATACAATACCTGTAGCAATCAAGAGATACTTCAGTTACTGTGACAGCATTTCCATTCTAACCTGAAACTCTTAGACCCTTGCCAAAGGCTCCACCAAGGAAAGGAAACAAATAGACGCAAAGTGAAATCAGCTATATTAACTGACACTCCCGTAAAGGAGGAACAGCTGCAATCAAATTAGCTAGAAAGGCTAAGAAAAAGGTGAAAAAAAAACTCACTTTGAGGAAATAAAAACAAGAAAAAAAAACAGGCACTAAAACTAAAAAGATCAAAGAGGAAACGAAGACAGTGAAGAAGAAGGATCCTTTTGCTTTTGTTGTTTTGAGCCATATTCAAATACTTAGCAGAGCCAAAGAAAAATGTGTGCAATGTCTGGTATGTAAAAACTGGGCTCATGAAGCTTGCACTGGTGGGAATGTTCTTATGTTTGCAACAACTGCTTGTCAGATTGGCGTTTTTTATTTTCATAATATTTTTATTTTTCACATTTGTGAGATTATTGTAACTTAAATATTTGAAGAAATATTGATCAAGACTGTTTGTAATACTTAAGAAACGACTGAAAGTTAGTAATTATTTTATGTCAAAGATTTAGAATATATACATAGGTATAAGAATGTAAAATATTTTCTTTATCTGACTGTTATTTTAATTAATGTTATGAAAAGGACGTTATGGTACTTTTATTTGGGAGTTGATTATTTGTATTAGACCTGTAGTTACCTACATAACTGATAATTAGTACAAAATATTAATAAAAAAGTTTGTTTCGTACTTGAAGTTTTTTTTTAATAAATACCTTTAAATTATATTTTATGTTACAGCCCTTAATACTTCTCAAAAATCATATGTTTCAACTCTCCTCGACCTCTGTTTCATCTTACCTCAGTATGAGGGGGAGTTAAAACAGGTTGACTTGTTACGGTTAAGTCGAGTTTTCACCACAATATTTAACGCTTACAATTTCTTTATGTTAGACATTCGCAAGCGTAAAGAATGACCTATCGATTGGTACTAATATCATACGATTTCTGTCTATAGAATTTGGTGTATGAAACAAAATGTGAAAATTGTTTAAACTTCCCTCAGTTTCCCCTAATTTAAAAAACTATTGTCGGTAGACAGTGAACCGATCACTCGTGTACTTACACTCCGTTGTAGCGTGTCATTCGGCTGCGTTTCTCAAAGTTTTCTAAATCGTAGTAAAATGTTCAAATGCAGGCGTTGTGAAGTTGAGGCAAGGGACGGTGCTACATGTTCCGCATGCATGGGACAGTTCGATTTTCCTTGCGCAGGCCTGACCGAGGTCGGTTGGAGGAAGCTTGGGGATCGAAAGGCTACATGGAAGTGCGGCAACTGTAAGTCCCTGTCGACAGCTAACCCTCGTACAGGCTCCATTAAAGTGTCTTCTGGAGACCTGGAGAACATCGCGGCTGAACTAAAGCGTCTGTCGGCTCAGATGGAGGTGTTGCCAGCTCTGATTGATAACATCAAAGCCATCCAAACTGAGCTCATGGAGTTGAGAGCCATAAGAACTGAGTTCTCTGATATGAAGGCGTCCATTGAATTTGTACACGAAGCAATGGAGTCACTTACCTGCAAAGTGTCAATCTTGGAGCAAGACATAATATCAGTCAAGAAAACCAAAGATGACGTGAACACCCTTCAGCATCGCGTTGAGAAACTCGAAAATCTGCACCATGAGAGCGAACAGAGATCCCGCATGAACAATATTGAGATCAAGGGAGTGCCGATGACTAACTCTGAAAATCTTTTTACCATAGTAGCCAAGATAGGTGACATAATTAAATGCCCTATACCAAAGGATAAAATAAATTATGTTGCAAGAGTCCCGATGAGGAATGATAAGCTAAATAAAAATATTATTTGTTCCGTACATAATAATTACTTAAAGAGTGATTTCGTCTCGGCGGCGAAGAAGCACAAAAACTTAAAAAGTAGTGACTTGGGCCTCCAGGGGGACAACACAATCTACATAAACGACCACCTCACATTGCAAAATAAAATGCTTTTAAACAAGACCAAAACTCAAGCAAAAGATAGGGGATTTGAACATATTTGGATTCAGGGATGCAACATATTCATAAGGAAAAACAACACTTCACCGAGACTTCACATTAAAAATGAACAAGATCTAAAAAAGTTCTTATCTTAATAACGTCAGTACAACACTCCGGCATGTGGTATTGTTGCATCGGCTCACTAATGTTGAGAAACACAGGTAACAACATTCCTATTCGTATAATGAAAAC